TTTCCTAACGGTTGGCATTTAAACCTTGACAATTTATTCATTTTTAATTTTTCGCAAAAAATCATGGGGTACCCCCTTATAAAAAAATTAAAAATTGGTGAAAATTTTATTTTTCCAAAATTACACGGAAAGTTTTATGGATTTATAGCAAATTTTGTTATCTGTTCAAAACAGTATGAATTTTTGGTGTACGACCTTTTTTGGCCAAGTTACAGCAAAAAGCCAAAAGAAAAAATTCCAATTTTTGTCAAAAACTGAAATCGCGAATTTCCAAAAAAAAACCAACCCCGTTTTTTCGCTAAAACGTTGCAGTTTTTTCGCTATAACAAAGCAAATACTGATTCAAAGTATGGATTGTCATACCTTTCTGAACTCGTTATTAAATTTCCTAACGGTTGGCATTTAAACCTTGACAATTTATTCATTTTTAATTTTTCGCAAAAAATCATGGGGTACCCCCCTTTTAAAAAAATTAAAAATTGGTGAAAATTTTATTTTTCCAAAATTACACGGAAAGTTTTATGGATTTATAGCAAATTTTGTTATCTGTTCAAAACAGTATGAATTTTTGGTGTAGGACCTTTTTTGGCCAAGTTACAGCAAAAAAACCAAAAGAAAAAATTCCAATTTTTGTCAAAAACTGAAATCGCGAATTTCAAAAAAAACAAAACCCGTTTTTTCGCTAAAACGTTGCAGTTTTTTCGCTATAACAAAGCAAATACTGATTCAAAGTATGGATTGTCATACCTTTCTGAACTCGTTATTAAATTTCCTAACGATTGGCATTTAAACCTTGACAATTTATTCATTTTTAATTTTTCGCAAAAAATCATGGGGTACCCCCTTATAAAAAAATTAAAAATTGGCGAAAATTTTATTTTTCCAAAATTACACGGAAAGTTTTATGGATTTATAGCAAATTTTGTTATCTGTTCAAAACAGTATGAATTTTTGGTGTAGGACCTTTTTTGGCCAAGTTACAGCAAAAAAACCAAAAGAAAAAATTCCAATTTTTGTCAAAAACTGAAATCGCGAATTTCCAAAAAAGAACCAACCCCGGTTTTTTTGCTAAAACGTTGTAGTTTTTTCGCTATAACAAAGCAAATACTGATTCAAAGTATGGATTGTCATACCTTTCTGAACTCGTTATTAAATTTCCTAACGATTGGCATTTAAACCTTGACAATTTATTCATTTTTAATTTTTCGCAAAAAATCATGGGGTACCCCCTTATAAAAAAATTAAAAATTGGCGAAAATTTTATTTTTCCAAAATTACACGGAAAGTTTTATGGATTTATAGCAAATTTTGTTATCTGTTCAAAACAGTATGAATTTTTGGTGTAGGACCTTTTTTGGCCAAGTTACAGCAAAAAAACCAAAAGAAAAAATTCCAATTTTTGTCAAAAACTGAAATCGCGAATTTCCAAAAAAAAACCAACCCCGTTTTTTCGCTAAAACGTTGTAGTTTTTTCGCTATAACAAAGCAAATACTGATTCAAAGTATGGATTGTCATACCTTTCTGAACTCGTTATTAAATTTCCTAACGATTGGCATTTAAACCTTGACAATTTATTCATTTTTAATTTTTCGCAAAAAATCATGGGGTACCCCCTTATAAAAAAATTAAAAATTGGCGAAAATTTAATTTTTCCAAAATTACACGGAAAGTTTTATGGATTTATAGCAAATTTTGTTATCTGTTCAAAACAGTATGAATTTTTGGTGTAGGACCTTTTTTGGCCAAGTTACAGCAAAAAAACCAAAAGAAAAAATTCCAATTTTTGTCAAAAACTGAAATCGCGAATTTCCAAAAAAAACCAACCCCGTTTTTTCGCTAAAACGTTGCAGTTTTTTCGCTATAACAAAGCAAATACTGATTCAAAGTATGGATTGTCATACCTTTCTGAACTCGTTATTAAATTTCCTAACGGTTGGCATTTAAACCTTGACAATTTATTCATTTTTAATTTTTCGCAAAAAATCATGGGGTACCCCCTTATAAAAAAATTAAAAATTGGTGAAAATTTTATTTTTCCAAAATTACACGGAAAGTTTTATGGATTTATAGCAAATTTTGTTATCTGTTCAAAACAGTATGAATTTTTGGTGTACGACCTTTTTTGGCCAAGTTACAGCAAAAAGCCAAAAGAAAAAATTCCAATTTTTGTCAAAAACTGAAATCGCGAATTTCCAAAAAAAACCAACCCCGTTTTTTCGCTAAAACGTTGCAGTTTTTTCGCTATAACAAAGCAAATACTGATTCAAAGTATGGATTGTCATACCTTTCTGAACTCGTTATTAAATTTCCTAACGGTTGGCATTTAAACCTTGACAATTTATTCATTTTTAATTTTTCGCAAAAAATCATGGGGTACCCCCCTTTTAAAAAAATTAAAAATTGGTGAAAATTTTATTTTTCCAAAATTACACGGAAAGTTTTATGGATTTATAGCAAATTTTGTTATCTGTTCAAAACAGTATGAATTTTTGGTGTAGGACCTTTTTTGGCCAAGTTACAGCAAAAAAACCAAAAGAAAAAATTCCAATTTTTGTCAAAAACTGAAATCGCGAATTTCCAAAAAAAACCAACCCCGTTTTTTCGCTAAAACGTTGTAGTTTTTTCGCTATAACAAAGCAAATACTGATTCAAAGTATGGATTGTCATACCTTTCTGAACTCGTTATTAAATTTCCTAACGATTGGCATTTAAACCTTGACAATTTATTCATTTTTAATTTTTCGCAAAAAATCATGGGGTACCCCCTTATAAAAAAATTAAAAATTGGCGAAAATTTAATTTTTCCAAAATTACACGGAAAGTTTTATGGATTTATAGCAAATTTTGTTATCTGTTCAAAACAGTATGAATTTTTGGTGTAGGACCATTTTTGGCCAAGTTACAGCAAAAAAAACCAAAAGAAAAAATTCCAATTTTTGTCAAAAACTGAAATCGCGAATTTCCAAAAAAAAACAAAACCCGTTTTTTCGCTAAAACGTTGCAGTTTTTTCGCTATAACAAAGCAAATACTGATTCAAAGTATGGATTGTCATACCTTTCTGAACTCGTTATTAAATTTCCTAACGATTGGCATTTAAACCTTGACAATTTATTCATTTTTAATTTTTCGCAAAAAATCATGGGGTACCCCCTTATAAAAAAATTAAAAATTGGCGAAAATTTTATTTTTCCAAAATTACACGGAAAGTTTTATGGATTTTTAGCAAATTTTGTTATCTGTTCAAAACAGTATGAATTTTTGGTGTAGGACCATTTTTGGCCAAGTTACAGCAAAAAAAACCAAAAGAAAAAATTCCAATTTTTGTCAAAAACTGAAATCGCGAATTTCCAAAAAAAAACAAAACCCGTTTTTTCGCTAAAACGTTGCAGTTTTTTCGCTATAACAAAGCAAATACTGATTCAAAGTATGGATTGTCATACCTTTCTGAACTCGTTATTAAATTTCCTAATGATTGGCATTTAAACATTGAAATCCCGAATTTCCAAAAAAAAAAAATCCAAAACAGTATTTTTGCAACCTATGCTTTCCGATCTCAAAAGACATTCAATTTTACAGGTATTTTTCAATTTATTTATTTACGACAAAATACACAAAATTTTACATTTGATTTATTTAGGTTTAGCTTTTAGTTTAGTTCTTCGGTTGGTTGTTGTTCTTGTTCTTTTTCTCTTTCACACTGCATTACAATTAAAATTACTTGCACTTAATATACAATAGAAAAAAAATATATATGTGGGTGTGTGTGTCTAATGGGTGTGTGTGATTCGGAGAAGTGCTTACAAAAATTAGGTTTAATTACTCTAACAAAACGAAAGAGCTGGATAAATTGTTTAACTATGTAAATTCCAGTAAGATGTTAGTAAATAACAAAATTAGTTCCCTTTTTTATATATTTTATTTATATTTTCTTGCCTTTTGCTATAAACTAAACAGTGTAAGAATAAAGTACAAAAATTGTAAATGCATATTCGTAGTTAAATATGTGTTATAATATATATAAAAAACCATGAAAAAATATATTAATCGAAACATAGTTTTATGAAATTTTTGTATAACAACAAATATTGATTTCTCTTTGTGCACTGAAGTGTTGGTAAGTGTGTGTGTGTGGGTTTTGGAAGAGCGCCAACTACAGAGAAAGCAGTGTTGTAAAGCTGCATATCACTCATTAACAAATGACATCAGTCGATCGAGTATAACTATGATAATCTTGGCTTTTCTAGCAACTATCAGATATAATGAAAGGCAACAAAAAATTAAATGTGAATTACTGAAAACGAAACTTGAGCCCGTTATGGCACGTCCAAGTAAAAATAAACGATTAACAAAATACAGGAGAAACACGTATTATATTTATACTATAAACTAAAATTGGGGAGTCTAAAAGAGTGCTAGTTTTATACAAACTCTACAGTTGGTTGAGTTTGGCCGTTGAATTTTATGAATAGGAACTCGATCGGTCGTCTTTCATAGTCGCACCCTCTTTCTCTCTCTTTCCATTTGGCTCACTAGCTTATAGATTTGGCTTTAGTCGATAGGCAGTAGTTGTAGTTTTGGACAGATGTCATGTATTTCGTTAGCAGATCGAAATTGTGTGAGAGAAAAAGGGCTACATATGTATATGCAACTTTACAACACTGTAAGTTCTTTTATATCTTTACATCACTGTCTGGCATTAAATTTTTGATGCGGTTACTTAGAAGAGCTCTTTGTTTATAGCATGTCTGCATGTATATAGTATATATAGTATAGTAAATAAATAGCTAACACTCTGCTTAAATGGTTTTCGCTTTAAAGTTATACAAATTTCACGTTGATTTTTTGTTATCGTTATCGGGTTATCGTTTTCGTTTTCGAGAGAAAAGGCCACAAAATGTTGCGTACGAAATGCATAACTTTAGCTGAGATTAACGTTGGTTTTTCTTTTCTTTTGTTTTTTTGATTGTTACCCGGGCAAACATCACACACACACACACTGGCACACCACACAGACGAGACGAGTGTATGTGTGTATAGCATGTGTGCATATACATATACAAAGATATATATATATATATAAATATAATATCGGAGTACATTTTGCTACGTTCGATTGCAGTTCGAAACTCAAATTGTAAGTTTCGAGTACGCCTCGCTGTTGTCTCTCTCTAACAAATGCACACTAGCTCCGTCCTTTTCGTTCGCTCTCCTGCCGTCTCCTTCTCTCCTTGCCGTTTTCAGATCGGTTACAATTCCTTTGCGTTGCGTTACGTTGTCATTGCCATTTCCTGGATGTCCCACTCCATTAGGTTTCACGCCTTGGCCCCGGGAATCTTGGACAGGACCTTGGACAGATCCACTCCGGTGAGGGCGTTGATCGAGGGCGGCAGCTGGGCCACCAAGCGGGTCACGTCGTTGGTGATATTATCGTTGCCGCCAATCAGGACAATCTCCTCCGTCTTGGCCAGTGGGGCAGCCACCTCGGCGGCAATCTATGGGGGGAATTTTAAAGCCACTTTAGAAACCATTTATGAAAAATATCTAAAAATCACTAACCTTCGGCAGCGATTCGAGGACAATGTTCATGATGGCCGCGTCGCCATACTGCTTGTACACATGGGCCTTCATCCGCATGCGTTCCGCCTCCGCCTTGCCCACCAGCTCGATGGCATGGGCCTCCGCCGATCCGATCTTCCGGATGCGCTCCGCCTCGGCACGGGCACCCTCAATGGTCTGGCACCTGTAAAAGGGTGGAAAAAGGGGTTTTTTATATTTATTTATTTGTAATTATTTAACTCAATTAATTTATAAATGACACGAACATCAAATTACTACCCTTAATGCTGGAGATATGTATATTTTGCGTGCTGACTGCAATTATTGAGTTTATCTACCTAGACGTTACTATAATCGGACAAAGCTGTAACGTTAAAACTATAATTTTCATAGCCATTCATAACTTGCACCATATATTATACAGATACTTTTAAACCGAAATAAATATCTCATAATGCTCGGATCTGAAGAATTCGCGTAGTTCTCTGATACCTAAAATGCTTCGATCTAAAGACTTCGCGTAGTTACATGACACTTAAAAGGCTTCGATCTGAAGAATTCGCGTAGTTCCCTAGCACCTACTACGCCATAGATTAGCCTATAGTCACATCTCAAAACGCCTAGATCTCAAGAATTCGCGTATTTCTCTAGTACTCACTGCTTGGCCTGGGCGAGGGTCTGGAGGCGGAAGGCCTCCGCCTCGGCCGGCAGCTTGACGGTGCCGGTGAGCTCGCGATCCTTGCGCTGCACCTCCTGCGACTCGATCTCGATCTGCTTGCGTCGCTCCACCACCTCGATCTGGATCTCCTCGTTACGGATGCGCTGGCGGATCTTGGCCGCCTGCAGCTCGTAGGCCAGCTGCGATTCGGCCTTGGCCGTGTTGATCTCCTGATCGAAATTGGCCTTCTGCAGCTTGTACATCCTGGTGTTGTCCTCGATCTTCGTGTCCGTCGAGTACTTCACGTCCATGGCGCTCTTCTCGCACTCGGCCTCACGGATTCCGGCATCTCGGTTGGCCTCCGCCACGCCGGCATCGGCGTCCCGCTTCACGACGGCCGTCTGGGCCTTGCCCAGCGAGGCCAGGTACTGCACATCATCGTAGACGTCCTTGATGGTGAAGGAGAGGATCTCGATGCCCATGCGACCCACGTCCGGGGCGGCCACCTCGCGGACTAAAGCCGCGAACTGGTCGCGGTCCTTGTACACCTCTTCGACTGTAAGCGTTCCTGCAAGGTCACAAGCGAAGTAATCGAATATTAAATGGGTGTCGTTTGGGGGGGAGGTAAAATATGTGGGAATTACACGTGAAAAATAAATGACAATTTAATACGAAGGAGCCCCTAGAAATTGTTTAGGAACCATTAACTTATATAATGTCCGAATACTCATAAGGTCTTTAAATAATAAACTAATACAACAAAATTAATAAAAAAAATTATTAATATTATTCATTGTTTCTCACATTTTTAAGAAATATAGTTTATAATAAAAAATAGATATTGATTATAATAGATATTAGATCAGTGTAATCCCATTCTAAGGCGTCTAATTAAAATACCTAAACACTTTGACAAGACTTGCAATTATGCAATTTAGTATGCAGTATACACAAATCACGTTCTCAGATCGGAATTAAATTGTGGGAACCTTGGAATGCGAATATCGGTGCACGTACTTAAATGGAAGGACAAATTGCTAATTTTTAGGAAATAAATTCGCTTTGGAAATGCCACTGTTGTGTTGATAAACAAATAAATATGTTTAAAAGATAAGAGTCTTGTTAGCTAGTTAGATAGTAAACCGACTATAAATGACCACTGTGTTTGGGGTGATGTCTGGTAAATGGGGCTTCATGGGGTGGCTATTTCTCCTTCTCTTTCCCCCTTTAATCGATGACCTTACCGCCTGACCACCAGCGAGGTGACGCCCACTATGAGGGCCACCTTGAAGACGCCCATCCACACGGCGGACATGTTGTCGAACAACTGTTCCAGTGGCCACCGAACGGGGCTCTACTTATTGGATTGCTATCTCTGCGCCGACACTATCTAACCATCTATCTTGCTGGCTTTTAATTAAATCACGCCCTGTTCTCTTCCACTTTTGACGTCATTTGTCGCAGTCTTATCGCTTATCAGTACACAGAGAAAAAAAAATACCAAAACTGGTCATCATTCGGGTATTTTTTCATATCAATTTTGGTCCCATATGTGGTCATACCAAAATGATATTTTCGAACATACCAAATTGGTATTTTCGAACATATTAATAAGGTATTTTTCATACAAGATTGTTATGATCTCATATCAAATTTTGCTACAAAATTTTGTATTGTATTTTCTCTAACTCAGAAAAGCATTCTGCCACGAAAAAAAAAATGTCTGCATGGCTCAGAGGCCAAGGTGCTAGGTCCTGATATTATTTTGTGCTCGGGGGAACGGGGTTCAAATCCCGCTCACAACACAACACAACTTTTTTTTTTTTATTAGTAATCTTATCATATTAACTTTTTACCACAATTTTGTTCTTAATATTGTTAAGGAAATGTTAATTATGCGCCTTAAAAACTTTTTACTTTCTCTGCCTTAGCCGGTTTTGAACCGGGGTCCTCTCGCATCAGAGTCGGATGCGTTACCTATTGGGCCATCGCGACAAGTTACACGCGAGTATATTAGCTAAACTTGAATGTAAAATTAGCTCGTTTAAGCATGCTCAACTTGTAAGTGTGACCACAGCATATAAAGCGGTATAATACCAGAAATACAACAAAAATACAACTTTACAGCCATACTATTTTTTCGAAGACTTTTCGATGCCCCATTTGATATGAAAAACATATCAATCTTTGAAGTATTCATATTAATATGTTACGGATTCATATCAACATGGGTAATTGTTATGATTTCGTATCATATTGGTATGAATTCGTATTACATTTATATGGAAAAATTGATATGTACAAATTGAGGAGACAATATCAATCTGGTATTGTTCCATTTTTTTCTCTGTGTAGCAGTTGATAAGAGTGACGTCACTTCAGACTAGAGAAAAAGGGGTTCGAGCGGGAATTAATCGGATCGCATTGGTAGCACTGAGATCACAGCTGATTTCCTCGATGCGAAGGCCAGGTCTCCATGGCACCCGCAATTATTAATATATTAACTTTTGGCCTCCGACTATTCACACGCGATTGAACAAAAAAAAAAAGAAAAAGTAAAGCCAACAACCAGAGCGTCTCGCGATGCGCTTACAACTGACTGACTGACAGCTCAAATTGTCCGGAGACTCGGATTCGGATTCGGAATGGGTATATAGGTAAGGGAATCGGAATCGGTACTGGAATCGGGTACCGGCTCGCAAACTGAAATAGTAATCGCGCCGCCAAATGGAAACCGCCTTGAGGTCTCGAGCTTCTCGTAAACACACTATAGACTAGACTATTGTAAACTACATTCGTATAACGACTCGGGTTCGATGGGCCCATAAACCCTCGACTCGAGTTATGTTTAATTAAAAGCTGTAGATTGGCCATCAAGGTCGTGGACACGTCTGGGCAAATAGAACTGCGCAGAGTTGCGAATGCGAACTTGGAAATATAATATATATTATTACTTTAAAAATTAAGAACATTTTGAAGTACATTTATAATTTAATAATAGTCGGAAAAGTCAATTTTAAACAGGAAAATGATATGAACGATTAAGGTTATTAATTAGAATGTGAACGTTTAGCATGGCAAACGAGTTTCCTAAGGGGCTAGTCATCCGATCGCAGGTTAATCAATCATATCGAAACCCCAAGTAAATCTTGAGAATAATAATATTCAAGGCACATACCATTTTTCGCACTTATTATTTTGTATTATAGGCATAAACGGTCAATAAAATGGGAATAAAAAGTACATTTATAAAGAGAGATATCTCTGGAAAATTAAGTAGGAAGTAGGCGTTGTCCCTAACCTCTTTACACATTTCATTTTCCCGACCTCGAAAGGTTCAGTATCATTTTCCACTCCGACCGTAACGTACACCCAAAAATAAATCGTCTCACTCTCGCTACGGATCCAGTTACAGTATTCTTTCGTTTTTTTTCTTTAATAAATAAACACACAAAAATATAGTTTCTAACCCAGTTAATTCGATCAGTTGATATATTATCAAGACACAAAGGCTAAGATGTCTTCGCTCCGGCGGTCACATGGCGGCGGTCGTGATTTCCTGCAGGAGAACAAGCAGAATGTCTCGCGAATGGAGACGAATGGCAGATGCCTAGCGGCAGCCAATGCCCGTCGGGTGCCCCTGTGGCGTCCAGTGGTGCTCCACTACTCGGAGAAGCTGCGTCCCCATGGCCGCAATAGCCAGCTTCGTCCACGCCAGCAGCCCGCCCACGAGGCTCCCGATCTGCGCAGTGGTCTGGCCCAGCCATATGGCTTCAGGAACGAGCCGCGTCGAAGGATGCTACCTAATCAGGAGGTCCGAAGGGAGCAGGAGCGCCTGCAGGGCGGCTGGGAGGACCAGCAGAAGCAGAGGCCGGCGAAGAAGTGCTGCAACGGTTGCCACTGTCACCACGGTCAGGGTCACCAGGCCGAGACGGTGTCGCTGCATCAGGGTCACCAGGCCGAGATCGGATCATCCCATCAGGGTCACCATGCTGAGATGGGATCATCCCATCAGGGTCACCATGCTGAGATGGCATCTCCCCATCAGGGTCACCAAGCAGAAGCTTCAGCTGCTTATCAGGGTCACCAAACAGTGGAATCAGACGCCATAATATCCAAACAGGGCGAGGGTGATCAGGCCGATCGCGTTTCTATATCTTCCCGACTATCCCGTTTAAGTCGCCGCTCCCAAAGGATCGTCACTCAGAATTCCCAGGAGAACACCGATGTGGAGGCACCTTTAAGCGCCCGCAGCACTGCCTCCGCCAAGACCCTCAAGTCCAGGCGATCCGTTTCCCAGGAAAGTGTGCGCTCAAATGCCACCATCAAGTCCAACATTACGGTGGCCTCCAGGAGCACCACGGCCTCGAAGAGATCTCAGGTTAGTCGCAAGTCGCAGATGATGGAGGTAATGCCGCCTCCCACGCATCTGCAGGATCAGAAGGCTCCCGTGGAGAAGACACCACCGCCAGTTGCCTACGAGGGCTACACACCGTTGACCAGCAGCGAACGAAACGCTGCCCTCCAGGATGCCCACTTCAAGTACGGCAAGCTGGTCGAGGAATACAACCACCTGCCCGTTTCGGAGCCAACTTTGCGCGTGCGCAATCGAAAGATCGCCATCGAACGACAGCTGGACGAACTGGACTATGCCATCAATATGTTCGATCAGCCCCATTTGGATATGTATTACAAGAAGTAATGATCGCACCCCGCTTGTTGTTAGTTTCAAAGAACGTTGCCCATTTCCAAATTGAGTTGTTTGCCAAAAAAAAAGGCCCTTTGAAACTTGAAGCACACATAAAACTAATTCGAATACCAATCAAATGGTGGAAATCGCACAAATCAAAACTCTCAAATTAAAGAAAAGTAACTTATAATTCACTAAAACATGTAACTATAACAATGTCGAACGTAAAATTTAAAAAAAAACCCTAAGTATGATTAAAAACAAATGAATCGAATGAAAATTCGAACTGCATGAATATAAAATCAAATACAAAAATATATTTCAAAGCGACAAGATTCGTTAAGCTTAATTCATTTGTTTTGTTTTTATTGCTCTAAGCAAAAGCTCTTTAGTGGCACCCAAAAGTAGGCATCGATCTATTTAACTGAAGGCATTGTGAATAACTAAAATATAATAGAAATACAATTTAGTTTACAATGAGGTGACCCATAATATTAAGAATTAAAACCGGAATTCGAGGTTTATCTCTTAAAGTTAGTATGATTATAATTATATGATTTGACTATAAGGTTTGTAAATAGGTTTTGGTGACCCCGATTAATTTCTTTTTTAGGTTTTTTCGAATTAAGAAAGACAACTCTAAAATGTTTAATTAAAATCTATAAAAATATAATTAAATGTTCTCTAGTAATATTTTTGGGCACATAAAATCCCTATCAATCCCACTGTGCCCCAGTACTCACCCAATATGGCCCTCAGGTGTCCTTCGAGGGTCTGCAGGATCGTCTGCTTGATCTCCTTGACGCTCTTGCCCAGGAATTGCTCGCTGGCAGTGCCTAGAAGCTCGTCGGCCTGATGGTGGAAATAATAGACATTCATCATCTGTACGTGTGTGTGTGTGTGTTTGTGTGGGTGTGTGTGTGGATTGGTTGGGTGTGTGGGTATCACCATGTCGGTGTGCGTGTGTGTAAAAGGGCATTTTGTAGGTTCGATTGATTGATTTGTTAAATATATCGTTTTTTAATTTTGATCACGAGTTTGTTTTAGTTTATTTATTATGTTTTTTTTTGTTGTTTTGTCGATTTCATTTAAATTATAGTTCACCCACACACACGCACATGCACACATAGACAGAGCGACAGAGAGATATATTCATATATATATTTATAAGGTATTCATAGAGATATATATATATATAGAGCGATACATGGAGTATAACGGTAACAGCAGCAACCAGAGCAGTAACGGTAGCAGTAACGGTAGTGGAGCAGTAGAACAATTTAGATTTAAATGATTTTTGTTGGTTGAATGCATGTGTGTTTTGTTGTGTTGTGTTTTTTTTTTTTTTTTTTGGTTTTTTGGTTAATTATAGTTGGTTTCGTTTACAGTTACAGTTAGTTGCGGATTAGTTTTATATATTTTTTTTGATGAGTTGAACGTTGAACGATCGGTCAGCAGGGTTTTTGGTCGATTTTTTGGTGGTGGTGAAAAGAAAGTAGAGAAAAAAGAGAGTAGAACACAGAGATCAACATGGTTTCGATTTTCGATATTTTCATTGTATTATTTTGCAGACTGTACTTTTCTTTCTCCTTCTTCTTCCTCCTCAGCTTCTGATGATGATGATTGAATGACTTCGATAAACGCAAAATGCATACGAAAAACGAATATATTTGAAAGCACATGCATTTAATATTAAATAATGGATCATGATCCCTTTTCGCTAAGTGTGTGAGTGGATGCGTGCGCGTGTGTGTGTGGGTGGGTGGGTGGTTAGGGTGCTTGATAATAAAAATGGATGTACAAATATTAATTTTAATTTTAATAAAGTTTTAAAAGGACACAAAACCAACGAGAATCGAACCCAGGATAGCAAATCAAATAAATGCAATAATAAACATACCTCGTCGTTATTATAATCGTTATGCTTATACGAAGATGACTGCAAAATCGAATGGAAATAATTAAGTAATAGAACATAATTTTGAGGCAGGCAAATCTTAGTATATAAATCGATCATAATTGCGACTAAACTGAAGGGTGAAGTGCAGTTTTTTTGTACTAATTGGTGCAGCATTCACTGATATTTGTGATTAGACAAGTTAAGTGTTTTGATGTTATATAAAGTTAAGTCACATTTTTAAAAAGTTTCGGAGCTGGTAAAAATTAGACATAAATAGAAATATTTAACGGACTTCACTCTTTAGAATAAAAATAAGTTAATTTCAAAGTTTCTTAATTTTCAAACATCTATAGATCTTTATAAAGATTTAGTAATCGAATAAAGGAATGAGTTGAAAATCAACAGATCCCGAAAACCAGTGATAGGATGATTAAACAATCAAATGGCTAAACCTTTGAAAGTGAGTTAAGATTAGAACAATAAAAGGAAAACATTAATTACGTTTTGGTAAACAATGAAGGAAACGTTGAGAAAAATATAATGAATAATACTACGACGAAACAGAATCAAGAGATGTGAGTGATTAATCAGGAAATCGAATTATAAATAATACATGATACTGTCCGGATCACGGATATGTCTGAAAAGTCAAGTAAATTCACGATATTCCGGTCACACAGTCACTGTCCAACACAGCCAACAAACTGAAGATAAACCTAAATAAAATAAGATAAAAAGGTAAGGGGAGTAAACCAATTTTTGCCTTTATTTCAACAAATCTAGTGGGAATATTGTAACAAATAATAATTTGATAATAAGTACCGAAGAAAAGGGACAAACAATTGAATAACTGAGATACAGCAAAACAAGGACATACAGGATACGGGGTGTTCGATGAGTTATACGTGTGGTTCTAGGGCTGCATCTATAGTATCTAGGTCTACGTGAGAGAGATCGTGAGATCGCAGGGCTGGATGATCGCAACTTACTTGGCGGTGGTCAGATTGAGAGCACTTGCTAGGCTAAATATGCATTCGATGGGGATGGAGGTTGGATTACTTGGGGGAATCGGGCGGGAAATGTACAAAACAAAGAGCCAAACATTCGATTAAAGTAAGTTCGATACGGATCGGTTATAGAGAAGATATGTACTATGTATATAAACGGGTGCAGGCAGGATACCGAATCGCTACATTCGGCACTCTAATCGGCTAAGAATATCGGGTACAACAAACCAACAGATCTTGCATACGAAACTCAGGAACTCAGTAACTCAGTAACTGAAAAACTCAAACTCGGGCAAGCTTCAATCACTTTCGCTCAGATTGGGGGGTGCAGAAGAGAAAAGGGTGGCCAGAGTAGCCACAAACGAGCGGAGATCGGGTGGGCAGAGCCATAAAAGGGTGTATCTACGGATTCGGTGGTGGATCGTACCTTCATGATCTTGCACTGGGCCACTCCGGTCACCGTCAGCGGAACGCCCTGGGAGGTCTCCACGTTCTCGCACATCGGATTGAGGGTCATCACGTTGAGGGAGAGTCGCTGCACATCGGTCACCAGCCACCACGCCCACGCCCAGCCGCCCACAATGGTGCGCTTCTTGGTCGATCCACAGCAGCCACCTGAAAGAAATGGTCAAAAATGGAAATATTGGTTATTTAATTGAAATAAATCACATTATTGATACTTTATTGTATCACTTAACGCTCATTAAAAGTATCTATTAAATGTATAATAAATATATGACAGCATTAACAGATAATGCTCAGCATTTTTAGAAAAAATATATTTTTTGACCAATTTTTGCATTTTTTTATTTTGCGAAATATGGTCAAAAATTAAAGTTGCAGTGTTTTAAATGCCTATCGATTGGGAATTGTATTATAAGTTCATGGAGGTATGATATTCTTTAGTCCAACCTTGCTTGGCACCCTTTTAGGGCGAGAAACGAAGTAACCATGACTTAGCACTTACTCTTGATTAAAAAATGGTTCATAGGTCTTTGAAAATATTTTCCATAGTCTACCTCCCTTTTTCAGCTCTTTCGACGGCGGGCAAGTGACGTCACACGAACAGTGACCCACAAAAAGGTGTTGTCAGCGAGCCCGTCACCTGGGAAGATCGTGGAGCTTTTGGCTCAGGTGGTCAGTTGACCAAATAGTAAGAGTGAAAGCATTTCGCCGAACCGTGCGTTTGGTGGTATATAATAAGTGATGGCTACGTGCCGGCAAACACGTCACAAGGTCCAAAAGTCGAAAAGTCCATATGGTATCGTATTGTATCCAGCCACACAGGAAGTGATTGTCATTGCCCATTTACAGTGGACAAAACTAACGGTCGGGCTGGCCAAAAGGGCACAATTCTGCGCTCCCCGGTGAGCCGAAAAGAGAAGAGCCGAAGAAAGAGAGTGGGATAGAGAGGCGCTACCATCTTTAGCGGTATCTTCGGCCTTTCTTTCTTCAGTTGCTAAGCGAACCTCAAAGCGTGAGGTCGTTTTTCGAAGCTCCGCCTAGGGAATTTAACGAAAAGCGCCTGAAAAGCGCGCACGCATGCGCAGACCGAAAGAAAGAAGAAAGAGGAGTAAAAGAAAAGAAAGAAAGTGCGCACGAAAATAAAAACAAACAAATCGCGCTAAGGAATTTGAGAATTCTTATTTCGTTTCTCAAGTGAGTAAAGAGAGAAGAGAGCGAAACAACAAAAAAAAGTGTGCCAAGCGCGAAAATCGTAAAAAAAGAAAAGAAATCAAAGTCAAACAAGAAGAATCGGGGCTCCAAAAAAGAATACGCACAGCAATTCTCCAACGCCTACGCAGAAGCTTTCTCAACGAAAGTGATTCATGTGTTATGCATTTCTCTTTGCCAACTGTTTGCCGAATCGTTTAGCAGACTATTTTCCCGGTGCATTTGAAGTTTTTTTTTGTCTGTGTAGATGGTTTTTTTTTTGTTTTTTTTAATACCTTGAACTTGATCTGTGGGCACATTCAACTCTTACAACCAGTTTGCAACAACAACAACAACAGCAGCCGAACAGCAGGAACAACAACAAGTTTTGTAATTGCCATTGACTGAAAAAAAAAAGAAAGAAAAAAAAACAGCAACATCTGTAACAGCCTCTAATGGTTACTAGACTTTTTATTATGCAAAAGATTAGCAAGAGGAAATGTTTTTCTCACTCTCTTCCTCTCTTAGCTTCTGCTCACTGTTAAGATCAATCGAAAAACAGTCACACCTACAGTAACTCTGTTTTTTTTTTGGGGGAAAGAAGTTTTTTTTTTTAAATATAAAAATGAATTATTAGCTTACTTATAATTAGTTCTTTTTGTTTTGAAATTTTTATTAGAATACAAGAATATCAAATAGTTTAAAACATTATTTCTTTGTTCTAATAAAAGCTGCAATAACTTTTTATTAGTTACTTTTCCAATATCCGTAAAAATGCTTACTATTAATTAAATTAATTTGTGTATTATTTAAAAAAAAACTTTTTTTGTTCATGCTAAAGAAGCTGCACTGTATCCAGGCAAACTGGTTGCAAGTGAGAGGACTACGTGTGAGTGAGTGTGCATCGCAATTGTTGCATGCCGTTGGACCGGGAGTGAAAAGTTGCTAGCTGCGGCTTTTTCAGTATTATTTATTTTTTTTTTTCTTTCGCTGGCTGCCCAGTAAAGTTTTATAATAGACTGGGAGATTTCACTTTTATGTGGGAGGCATCACACTTCTCCCCTCGAAAAACCAACCATTTGAACACCTATTTTACATTCCAAAACACTGGGTTTATGAAAAGCATATGAAAGATCATTAAGAAAAATGGTTTAAAACGGGTTCGATAGCCAAATTAAATTTAACTTAGGAGGTACTGCAATTTTACACGAATGGTTGGCTATTAAAAAAGCATTACTTATTAACATAGCTAAAATAATAAATTATGTTGTACGATCCGCTAATCCATACCCCTTTCATAAGTAATTTTTCCAAACCGACGAACCAAAAGAACATTTTATGGCCCCGAGAAATGAGGGTTGATTGTTAGTATCAACAAATAGGCTAATAGATTTGTAAATCACGATTATCTTGGGTCGTAATACTTCACAGAGACGCAGCCAAATGAATGCATAACAAATGCAAGTTACGAAATCGTCGCGATCAATGCGATGCGATACCATACGATACGATCGTGATCAAAATATTGAGTATGAAAATCGCACCCTATAACCCGATTACATACGAAATGTCCAAGTAACTTTTCATGTCATGTCCGCTAGTCTCCCTGTTCCCTGAAACCCACCACTTCTTTTCCCAAAAAAGTTAAAACTTTTCAATTTGCATTGCAGCCACGTTCCATCCGAAAATCGGTCGAGCGATCGGCGACCTATTTGATATACCCCAAAAATGAGCTCGGCGATCGTTGGAGCCGCCTCGGCCATCGGGGGAGCGGTGACGGCGGCCACCAGCAACAGTTGGTTCATCCCCATGCTGATGGCAGCGGTGGCCTATTTCCAGTACGAGGAGATCATCGATCCGGAGTCCAAGCCCAGCGATATCGGCGGCGAGGATATCCTCGATCACTATGACTTCATAGTGATAGGCGCCGGTTCGGCGGGTGCGGTGGTGGCGAATCGACTGACGGAGGTCGAGAACTGGAACGTCCTGCTGCTGGAGGCCGGCGGCGATGAGACGGAACTCACGGACGTGCCCCTCATGGCTGGCTACCTGCAGCTCTCCAAGATCGACTGGCAGTACAAGACGGAACCGTCGGGCACCTCGTGTTTGGGTGAGTTCTTCTGCTTGACAGCGTACGTGAGCGTTTTGACTCAGCGCAGCGGCAGAGAAATTGCTTACTTGCCTCTACTGGCCACCACTGATGAAAAACCTTTTTTTCCAGCCATGCAGGGAGGTCGTTGCAATTGGCCCCGTGGCAAAGTGCTCGGCGGATCGTCGGTTCTGAACTACATGCTCTATTTGCGGGGCTCGAAGCACGACTACGACAACTGGGAGGCTTTGGGCAATCCCAGTTGGTCCTACCGCGATGCCCTGTACTACTTCAAGAAGTCGGAGGACAACACCAATCAGTATCTGGCCAATACGCCCTATCATGCCACCGGCGGTTATTTGACGGTGGGCGAGGCTCCGTATCACACTCCCTTGGCGGCCAGCTTCGTGGAGGCGGGCGTGGAGATGGGCTACGAGAATAGGGATCTGAATGGCGAGAAGATGACCGGTTTTATGATAGCCCAGGGAACGACGAGGCGTGGATCAAGGTGCTCCACCTCGAAGGCCTTTTTGAGGCCCGCTCGCCTGCGTTCCAATCTGCACATCTCGATGAACTCGCATGTCACGCGCATTATGATCGACCCTGTGACGAAGCTGGCCTTCGGCGTGGAGTTTGTCAAGGACCAGAAGCTCTACCATGTGCGTGCCACCAAGGAGGTGGTTTTATCCGGTGGTTCGGTCAACAGTCCCCAGCTGCTGATGCTCAGTGGCGTGGGTCCGCGCAAGGAGCTGGCCAAGCATCGGATACCGCTGATCAAGGAGCTGAGTGTGGGCGAGAACCTGCAGGATCACATCGGACTGGGCGGTTTGACCTTCCTCGTGAATCAGCCCGTTTCCATAGTGGAGAACCGATTCCACACCATGTCAACGGTGCTGCAGTACGCCGTCTTCGGCCAGGGACCCCTGACCATTCTGGGCGGCGTCGAGGGACTGGCCTATGTGAACACCAAGTATGCGAACAGCTCGCTGGACTGGCCGGACATAGAGTTCCATTTCGTCTCGGGTTCCACGAATTCCGATGGAGGATCCCAGCTGCGCAAGGCCCATGGGCTAACGGAGGCTTTCTACCGGGCGGTCTTTGAGCCCATCAACAATCGAGATGCCTGGAGCATCATACCCATGCTGCTGAGACCGCGCAGCGTGGGAAACATTCGGCTAAGGAGCGGCAATCCCTTCGATTATCCGTATATATTCCCCAACTACCTGACCGATGACCTGGACATGAAGACCCTGATCGAGGGCGTCAAGATAGCGGTGGCCCTGTCGCGAACCAAGGCGATGCAGCGTTTTGGTTCTCGGATCTCGAGCATTCGATGGCCCGGATGCGAGCAGGTGCCCCTCTTCACCGACGCCTTCTGGGAGTGCATGGTGAGGCGGTACACGTCCACCATCTACCATCCGGTGGGCACCTGCAAGATGGGTCCCTACTGGGACAAGGACGCCGTTGTGGACGCCAAACTGAGGGTCTACGGGATCCGAGGGCTGCGCGTCATCGATGCCAGTATTATGCCCAAACTGGTCTCGGCCAACACGAATGCGCCGGTCATCATGATCGCCGAGAAGGGCAGCGACATGATCAAGGAGTTCTGGATCAAGAACACCATCGTATGATTATGATTATGATTCTGAGAAGGAGGAAGTTCTGGTTTCCACGAGCTGATTTCTCAATGGAACTTTAATAAGGTTTCTAAAAATCAGTTCTTGGAAACCCGGCTTTATCCATTGAATGCCTGAGTATGCGTCTGACTATCGTGAGTGTTTAAGTGTCTGAACTGAGTGTGTGAATGCCTGAGTGAGTGTCTTAGAAATAGAGCTGATTGAACGACCCATCAAAAATTAATTATACCGAACTTAACTCGTCCCACTTTTTTTTTTAGAAGTATTTTTATAAGCACGCCCATGTATTTATTTTAATTTTATGTGAACGCAATAAACAATTGAAAAACATAATTTCCTCGGTTTATTGGTCTTTCAATAATCAGAACTTTTATCGATAACACCCAACTTAATAAGTGGAACATTCTTGATAAGTTTCTAGATATCGTTTGGGATCATAAATTGTGTAGGCTAATCATGACACCGAACGAAATGCAAGCACTTCTATAGAACTCCCTAAATGATGCTTAATTAAATCATTTTAAAGGCCTGACAATACAAGAACACCTGTGTTTAAATACAACTCATTTGCTAGTCAAGTTTCTTGCTTCAAGCGCCACCTGTTGGCCGGGGCCTCAAGCCTGAGAGCTATAAATATATATGGGCTTGATGTTTTGAATGTTTGCTTTCGGGTTTTTATGGCTGGCAAACAGAAAGCAGTCCGAAATATTAAGTAAAAGCGGGCAGGGTAAATGCAAGTATATTTTCTCGTTGATACGGTTATCGTGCGCGACATTCTTTTAATTGTTGAAAAGTTAAAAAGTTGAATTCATTGGCTGGATTTCATTAGTGTTGAACGTAAATCAGCGGAAGATGGTGGTCGTCGGTCAGCGGGCACACGAACCGCGCTTAGCGGGTGCGCGAACCATACTCCCTATACTCTGTCTTTTTGGCGCCCTAATTGATCCGTCGATGGGTCAATTCTACTCGGTGGACAGCAGTGGCCTGGGCATTTCCCTGATGCAATCGGTGGCCGCGGCCCTGAATGCCTCCAGTCTCTCGCTGGCCAACAACACCGCCTGGCCGGAGCAGCACGATCCACTGGGGATCGAGAGCTATGACTATATCGTAGTGGGAGCTGGCAGTGCTGGCTCCATAGTGGCCAGTCGTCTGAGTGAGCGGTGCCAGCTGAGGGTCCTTCTGCTGGAGGAGGGACAACTGCCGCCGCTGGAGTCGGAAATATTCAGCCTCACTGCTGCACTGCATCACGATGCGAGGTACATGTTCCTGGAGGAGGCCGTTCCCAATACCAAATGCTGCCAGGCAATGGCCACCGGTCATGGGTGCGTCTGGTGGCATGGACGCATGATGGGCGGCGGTGGAGCCATAAATGGCAATATCTACATACCCGGCAGTCGGGAGAACTTCCGGCAATGGAACACAACCGGCTGGGATTGGCCAGAGGTCCAGAAGATTTACTCCCGCCTCCAGCGACGCCTGAATGTCTCTTACCTCCAGGCCAATAGTCTCAACCAGAAGTTGGCCAACCTGATTTACTCCGCTGCCTCGGAGGTGGGTGTTCCGCGAATGAAACAGCCTTTGATAGCGGGTTCCTCCTTTGGCTACACCCATCGTGTTCCGGTTACCGTAAACCAGGGACGTCGAGCCAGCAGTGGTCGCCTGTATTTGGCCAACGATCGCGTGAATAGGAGAGCCAATCTCAAGGTGATACGAGGAGCCCAAGTTCAGAGGGTGCTACTCAACGCGGAGGGAAACCAGGCCACGGGAGTAAGATATACCCTAAATGGTATGGAATATACAGCAAAGGCCTCAGAGGAAGTGATCCTGAGTGCAGGAACCCTGAATTCCGCCAAGTTACTGCTCCTATCGGGCATCGGTCCTCGCGAGGAGCTGGAAACTTGGAATATAACCACCCATCAGGATCTGCCGGTGGGTCGGAATCTCCAGGATCACGGAATGCTGCCGCTCTTCCTACTCTTCGGCTCCCAGTGTGCCGTAAATAGTACTCGCGAGCCCACAGATGATCCCTATGCTCCTGTTTCTATTACCAAATATCTGCTGGAAAATCAGGAAGGTCCCTTGGCCAGCGGTTTCTACATGATGGGCTACATCAACTCCAGTTCACCCGGATCCAGTCGAGGTGAACCCGATCTCCATGTGGTGGCCCACACGCTGTTGCCCAAAGGAAGCTCGGGTAGCTTTGGCTACCTGGGCTTTCGGCCCGAATTGATCGCAGCTCAGGCGGATGCCCTGAAAAAATGGGATATGCTGCAGATAATGGGCTCCCTACTGCGTCCCTTGGCACGCGGAAGTGTGAGTCTGTCGAGCAGGAATGCCTCGGATCAGGCACGAATCGAAAATCACTATGGCGAGGATCTGGAGGATCAGCGGACCCTGCTGCGCTATGTGAGATACGTTCAGAGGTTGGCCAAAACCCGAGCCTTCCGTCGTTGTGGTCTGCGTCTTTGGCTGCCGCCCCTCGAGGAATGCGATGTGCTGACCCCTGATTCCGATGATTACTGGCTGTGCTACGTGCGTTACATCTATGTGGGCGCCTGGCATTCCGTGGGCACCTGTCGCATGGCTTCTAGGAAGGATTCCCCCGATGGAGGCGTGGTGGATGAGCGACTGAGGGTTCATGGTGTCCGAGGTCTTCGCGTCGTGGATGCCAGCATTATGCCGGAATTACCAGCTGGCAACTCCAATGGACCCGCAATGATGATCGGCGAGAAGGGGGCGCAAATGATCCTCGAGGATCGACAGGTGGACAATGAGGTGGTCCAGGAGTGCTGATTTATACTTATACATTTCCTAAGAACCCGACTTTAAAAAACTATTAGCTTTGTAATAACCTATATTGTATTACCAAAACTGTAAATATATTGTTTTTATTGTTTTATAAGGAATGTAAAGCTTTGAGATATGAGCAAGCATTTAACTGCTTTCCAAAAAAAAAAAAAACCGTTTTTTCGATAAAACAAAACAGATTTTCGCCAAAACAAAGGAAATATTGATCTAAATATGGATTGTCATACCTTTCTGAACTCGTAATTAAATTTACAATCGATTGGCATTTAAGCATAGACAATTTATTTTTTTTGCCATTTTTCGCAAAAAATCATGATGTACCCCCTTATAAAAATAATGAAAATTGGCAAAAATTGTACTTTCCCAAAATCACACGAAAAGTGTTATGGATTTATTGATAATTTTGTTCTCTGTTCAAAACAGTTTTTATTTTTGGTGTAGGACCATTTTTGGCCAAGTTACAGCAAAAAAACATAGGGAAAAATTCTAATTTTTACCAAAAACCCAGATCCCGAATTTTGAAGTTATTTTGTTGATTTTTATAAGGCTTTGTTTTCATTTTTAAGAAAGATATTAAACGTTTTGTTTATGATATTTTCTTTTGTAGCCAAGTGTTAACCTCTAAGTAGCTGGGATTGCAGAAGCCAATGTTTGGCACATTGGTCAATGCACTTATAGAAACCGTGGCTTTTGTGGGTCAGCGAATTTCGATTTTAGCTGGATCAGCTGGATTGTAATATAGTAATCCCATCGCAATTGTATCCAAACTCAGTCCCAGTCAGTTGTCAGTTGTATTTTCACAATGACGGCGATCAACACGTTCGTGGCGATGTGGCGGTTCCTGCTGACCCTCGGCCCCTCGGCCATGGTCATCCTGCTGCTGAACAAGGGGATCCTCGACCAGAGGCCGGATATTGTGGACGAACCGCATCGCGTGCGCTCCATACAAATCGAGAATCTTCGCAGTTCCTACGATTTCATTGTGATTGGCGGTGGTTCGGCGGGTTGTGTGCTGGCCGCCCGCCTTTCGGAGAATCCCGAGTGGAGTGTCCTGCTCCTGGAGGCTGGCGGGGATGAGCCACTGCTCATCGATTTGCCACAATTGTATCCCGTGTTCCAGCGAAGCCCCTGGGACTGGAAGTACTCGACGGAGCCCTCGGATCGCTACTGCCTGGCCATGGAGGATCAGAGGTGTTTCTGGCCCAGGGGCAAGGTCCTCGGGGGCTGCAGCTCCATCAATGCGATGATGTATATCCGGGGCAATCGGCGGGACTACGATCACTGGTCGGAACTGGGCAATCCCGGCTGGGACTATGCCAATGTGCTGCACTACTTCCGCAAGGCGGAGGACATGCGGGTTCCGGGATTCGAACAGAATCCCTACCACGGACACGGCGGTCCCATTTCCGTGGAGAGATACAGGTAATACGGTGGAAAACATTATTGGCTATCAACTATACTGATAGGAAAAACGTAGTAACTCCATTAATTTCGCTTTCAATCTAACTACTTTCTTTAATATAAAATTAATATCAAATATGGAAATTAAAAACTTAACATTTATAGTTTATTATAGGATTTTTAACTTTAATTCAATTAAAAAGTACCTGAATAAAATGTAGTTAATTTGCTTTGATTTTGCAAATATTTCGATTTATATTAGTTTTAAATATGAAAATTATAAAATTAAACTTTTATAGAATATTTTAGGATTTAGAAGTTTAATTTGTATATTAAATTAAACAATTTAAAACATTAGGTTCAAAAGTTTAAATTCAAAGGTTTAATATTTTATTATTTGTAAAACATTATTCTTAGCATTGGAATTCAAGAGAACTTAGTAAAGATGAAATTATTTTCAAAAAATCCAAATTGGTTTAAGCTTGAATATAATTTAGTAGTTTAGATAAAAATGTATCTTTAATTAAAGATTAGCAGTATAAGAATGCTTTCTAATTTTCCGAAACCCCTTTTATTCCAGATTTCCCTCTCCCCTGCTGGACATCTTCATGCGGGCTGCCCACCAGCTGGGCATGGTGAACCAGGAGGGGGACTTCAATGGTCGTTCCCAGACGGGATTTGCCCCGCCCCATGGAACACTGAGGGATGGCCTGCGTTGCAGTGCCAACAAGGGCTACCTGCGACGCAGTTGGCAGCGTCCCAACTTGGATATTGTCCTGAAGGCCTTTGTGGAGCGCATCCTCATCGATCCGCAGTCCCATCGAGCAGTCGGCGTGAGCTTCGAGTACGGGCTCCTCAAGCATTCGGTGGCTGCCTCAAAGGAGGTAATCTTATCCGCCGGCGCCTTGGCCAGTCCCCAGCTGCTGATGGTCAGCGGTGTGGGTCCCAGGGAGCAGCTGGAACCGCTGGGCATCCCGGTGCTGCAGCACCTGGCCGGCGTGGGCGGGAATCTGCAGGATCACATCTCCACCTCGGGCGCCATCTACACCTTCGACGGTGGCCAGCAGCGGCACTTGTCCTTCATCGTGCCCGAAATGATGAACGAGCAGGCGGTGGAGGACTTCCTGGAGCGGCGCGACAGCTTCTTCTACGCCATGCCCGTCAGCGAGGTGATGGGCTTCTACAGCACTCGCTACCAGGATCCCCGCCTGGACTGGCCCGACGTCCAGCTCTTCATGGGCAGCTATGGCTATGGGGCCGATGGTGGGATGGTGGGTCGCCGGGGAGCCGCCATCACGCTGGAGAATTACGCCGAGACCTTTGAGCCGGTGCTCTATCAGGATTCCTTTGTCATAGCCCCACTGCTGATGCGTCCACGCTCGCGGGGATTCCTTCAGTTGCGCTCCGCCGACCCGAAAGTGCATCCCCTGATCCATGCCAACTACTACGACGATCCGCACGACATGGCCGTGATGGTGGAGGGTCTGAAGCTGGCCCATCGCCTCAGCCAAACGCCGGTGATGCAGTCCCTGAATGCCACCATGAACATCTACGAGTGGCGCAACTGCCCCGAGGTGGAGTACTTGAGCGACGCCTTCTGGGAGTGCCTGGCCAGGTTCTACTCGCAGACGATCTACCATCCGGTGGGCACCTGCAAAATGGCCCCCGTCTCGGATCCCACCGGCGTCGTGGATCCCCGTCTGCGGGTCCGGGGAATGCGGGGACTGCGGGTCATCGATGCGAGCATTATGCCCACCATTCCCACGGGCAACACCAATGCTCCGACCTTGATGCTCGCCGAGAGGGGAGCGGATATCATCAAGGAGGATTGGCGGCACTACCGAGACGGCGGTTGGAGTTAGGCACTACTATACCATTTTTACATTTATTAAAAAAAAAATAATAATAAATTGTAAACTGAGAAAAATAACCAATTACATTGTACTTAAATTGAGAACAGTTGTTTTGAAAACCGTTCAAGCAGAAATAATACCACTTTCAGTTGAATTTTCTCTACATTTCAAGCTGATTTTGTTCCATTTTCAAGCTAATTTTATCTTTAATTCGAAAAAAGACGGAAATTTCAGAAAAAGGGCTATAGCTACTTGGTTTGATATTCTTATCCCCTCTATAGAATTTTGTTTTAATTTAATTGAAATTGATCTCTCTGTGTAGCTCTATTAAAGCTTAGTATAAAAAATCCTCAACAGAAATTTTAAATTTCCTTAATTGACTGCCTAGCTCACGCAACAAGAGAACCTTTATAAATAAACATTTCGTTTTGCGGGCATGGGAAGATATTTATGAAAATAAGATAAGCCCTTCGAGAAGTTGCAAATAATGGCACACATATGGCATTGGAACGAAGTCGGCCACTGTGATTAGCAATCCATAGGTACACATATACCTATATCAATTGCAATTGTATAAACTATCCATTGTTGCCATTCCGACAGGTCAGCTAATTTGCTTTGGTAATGATCTTGGCATTCATTTGACTCTTGGTGCAGCTAGTTTTCCATTTCCATTCCCATTTTCAATTCAATTCGTTTAATTTTCCATTTATGCTTTTTTGCTCTTTTTAACAGCGATCGCTTGAAGTAGCATTTCCCAGCGCTCTGAACTTTTGCAATGTTGTGGTGATTATTTATGATATTTTATTCAGTATTTATTTTTATAGGGGGGTATATTGGTGTTTCTATCTGTTTGTGACAAATCTTTTTATGATATAAAAAATAAAATGGTATGTGGTATATTTCATTTAAAGTGTTGTAAGTATTTTGGGACTTTTAAAAAATATTTTCTGATAACTAAGGAGTATCTCGGCGTTCTATCAATCATATGAAGGCATTGTTCTCAATCGTTTTCTGCCCGTAATTTATGAGCGGCCACTGAACTTAAATGGCAAATGGCAGCGTGCAAAGCTTACGGGTTTTACCAGTTTGGGTGCCTCAGTGGGCCATGGCTTTGCTTTGGGCTTTGCTTTGGAATCGGAAAAGGTTTTCGAGACTTTTCATGCGAGTGCGCGTTTGGCGAGCGGGTCAGTTCACGTCCGCCACTGATCGCAAGATGACGCTCCCGGTGCAGCCACCCAAGTGGATATTACTGATGGCAATCCTGGTGCTCCTGGGCTTCAGCCGCCTGGCCTCAGCCTCGGCCAAACCGCAGCAGTTTCTGCTGGCCGAGGATTTGGTAACGGGAACGGGCACGGCTTCCGGAACTGGAACAGGAACCGGAACTGGAACTGCAACCGGAAATGCAGCTGATCCCCTTAACGATCCTTCGGGTAGGTGTTTATAATATATCGTAATATTTGAAAAGTTGTATTATATAAATTCTATCGGGATGTTGTAAGACCCTGCTTTTAAGGTGCCAGGACCTAAACATCCAAATATTTATTAAAAACTTTTAAAAATTCTAGTATCCTCTCATCTTACAAAAACTATTTCTGATAAAAATGTTTAAAAAATTTTAAAATTTAATTAATTAATTTAATTTTATAAATATTTGCAATGCCCAAAAAAGGAATTCTGTTAAGATCTTTAGTCTTTTTTTTTAATATACCTTATTAAAAATATATATTTATAAAAGTTTTTGTAACCTCTTAAGGTCTTTAAATATTTTTGTGATCTGTTTTTTTTTTGCAGATCTAAGTGCTGGTCTCAATTTCGCCCCCGTTGGCAATCTGATTGCGGCAGCTGCGAATGCCGTACCCCCTGCCCCCATTCAATTTATTCGCACGGCCATGAACAGCGGGCTCTGACCGCCAGGTGGCGCTAACCTGGATTCTTGGCCACCCCAAAATTAATTGTCTCTAATTTTGAAGCGCCTTTTTAAGCACCACTTTTAATTACTTTGTTAAGCGTTTATTTTTTTTTGGCGATTTTTTTTGTTTTGTTTTTGGAAGTAAGCTTGTTTTGTTTTTGTTTGTTGTCTTTATGTGTGTTTGTGCTGAGCTAAGTGGCTATATAAATGACTTTATGATACTTGTTCTATCTGGTTATGACTTTTTGGAGCGATAAAAAGTGTGCAATTGGGGGCCTCAGCCTCAAAAGCTATTCTTGTTATCTGGATCTGTTATCGGGGAATTCTCTATTCTATATCTTTCACTTTTTTAATCTAAATCGGTTTGAGCTTTTTAAAAGTCTCAAAAAAACGAACATAAAGACCGATGTACAGTGAAACAAATGTGTTTTATTTCAAAAATAGGTACAAATTATTATTAATTATTAGACAATTAATGATAAATTGATTGTCAAAGTATTTCGCAACAATAATAAACGGAAACATATGTGTATATGTTTTATTGGATGAAAATATGCTTACTTCATCCTGAATGTGACAGTGATAGCGATCGGAAAATATATAAAGTAATTGGAAGAATGTAGTTCAAATGAGCTTGCAACTGAGATGAAGTAGGGGTTACCTCCTCTTTCAGAACTGGATCCCGTCACTCGAACTGTTGTCGATTGCGTTTTTACTTCTCATGGTGATGATGCCGATACACAAGCAGAAAAATGTACAAATAACTACAACAAAATTTTAAAAAACTGATTTTCATATTTTAATTTCTATCAACGATTTAATTTCAAATTATCATTTTTATCCATTTTAAGTACAAAATACCTAATGATATTAATATCAACATTTTGAGAAACGTACAATTCTTTTTAATTGACTTGTTATTTCTTTAACAATTATCAAACTGTTTTTATAAAATTACAAAAGATATCAGTCCTATAGTAAAGGTACCTAAAAATACGACAGAAAAACTTCTTTCTGATAAGGATTAGCTTCCTTCATTGACATTATTCTGTGCCCCTTAAGTGCACTTTCTCTCTGTGTAGTTAAAAACCTAATCGATCACCATTGAGTGTATTTATTTTTTCTGTGTGCATTCGTGACACACTCACACGCGCCTCTCCGCCGACTGAGTCAACGTCCTCGGCGGTTGGATGGTCGGTTGGCTGGTTGCTGCAGGGGGAGGATGCACTGTAGCCGCTTATCAGGCGACCGGCTATAAAAGCGAATCTCCAGTGGCGACTGCGCCTCAGATCCAGATAGAATCGGGTCCAGTCATAATGTCGCTCAATGGCGGCCAGAATCTCAGCTTGGATGCGCTGGCCAATGGCCTGAATCAATGTGGAACCGGTAGTTCACCGGCCATCGGATTGTGGAGTGGCATGGTGACCGTTCTCCTGCAATCCCTTCTGTCCGCCCAGTGTTTTATTTCACCCAGCAGCCAGTGGCCAGCGGACTACGGAGGTGACTTTGGTCAACCCTATGACTTTGTGGTCATCGGAGCAGGATCCGCGGGATCCGTGGTGGCCAGTCGGCTCAGTGAGAATCCCGAGTGGAGAGTTCTCGTCCTGGAAGCGGGCGGAGATCCACCCGTCGAATCCGAGGTGAGTCTACTTTCATACTCAAATATAATGAGATCATAAACTGACTTCTAAACTGGTGAATAAGATGTGGGTGCCTAAAAAGTACTATCTAAACAATTAGAGTTTCAGTTTTTCCTACTGATCCAAATAAATATTTGTACCACTAGCTAAAAAACTATAAAACATATATGAAACTCTCGCTAAAAACCCAGGGATTAACAAAGTTTACAAACTAGTTACGCTAAAATATCAAAATTTTTACCGAAACTCCTTAGAAGTTACATACAAAAAATTTGATTGGTAGTATTATCTATTTAAGTGATAGAATTTACAATATTTGTGGTTGCCGACTGTTTGACAATTATATTGGTTAATTTTACACCAATTGTTCCCAATCGATTTCTTCATTATTATTAAATTAACCCATTAATATTCCTAATCCCTTGCAGCTGCCTTCGCTTTTCTTCGGCCTGCAGCACTCGGAGTTCACCTGGAACTACTTCACGGAACCGAGTGACGAGTCCTGTCAGGGAATGAAGGAGGGTCGCTGCTATTGGCCGCGTGGCAGGATGTTGGGAGGATCCGGAGCGGCCAATGCGATGCTGTATGTGCGAGGCAATCGGCGGGACTTTGATGGCTGGTCGGCGATGGGCAACGAGGGCTGGAGCTACGATGAGGTGATGCCCTTCTTCGAACGATCCGTGACGCCCCAGGGAAATGCCACACATCCCAGGGGCTATGTGACCCTGAGTCCCTTCGAGCGGCAGGATGATCCCATTCACCAGTTGATCATCGAAGGAGCTCGGGAGCTGGGACGACCGTATGTGGAGCGATTCGAGGAGGGCAGTGAGACGGGCTATGCCCATGTTCCTGGCACCGTGAGGCAGGGTCAAAGGATGAGCACGGCCAAGGGTTATTTGGGTGCAGTGGCCGGAACGCGACCCAATCTCCAGGTGGTCAAGAAGGCCCTGGTGACCAGGCTGAATTTGGACGGAGATCAGCGCATCTCATCGGTTACCTTCGAAAAAGACGGTGTCATTCACCGCGTCGGGGTCACCAAGGAAGTGGTTCTCTCGGCGGGAGCCATCGATTCACCAGCTCTTCTCCTGCGTTCTGGTATCGGTCCTCGCCAGCAATTGGAGGATCTAAATATACCCCTTCAGTTGGATCTTCCCGGAGTGGGACGCAATCTCCAGGATCATGTGCTGGTTCCCCTCTTCCTGCGACTCGACGAGGGTCAAGCTGAGGTCATCACAGAGAAGGACATGCTGGATGGCGTCTATGAGTACCTCATCCATCGGCGGGGACCCCTGGCCACCCACAGCACAGCCTCCCTGGTGGCCTTGATCAACACGAATGGTAGTAGTGATAGTCCCTATCCGGATACGGAGAACCATCACCTGTTCTTCCAGAGAGGCAATCATGCTTCGCTGGAACTCTTCACCAAGGGTTTGTCCTTCCAAGAGGAGTACGTAGAATCGCTGCAGGAATATCTGAGGGACTCGCATCTCCTGTGTGTCTTTGTTTTGCTTTCCCATCCCTTGGCCAGAGGTGAATTGCGCCTGAGGAGTGCAGATCCCAAGGAACCGCCCATTCTCAAGAGTAACTACCTAACGGAACCCGAGGATGTCTCGACTTTAATGCGAGGCATTCGGTATATAGAATCCCTGGAGCAGACCAAAGCCTTACAAGATCACCGGGCCGAGTTGGCTAGGATTCCCATTGAAGAGTGTGATAGTCTGAGGAGCTATCGCAGTGAGGAGTACTGGCGTTGCTATGCCAAATACTTCACCATCACCTGCTACCATCAGTCGGGCACCGTGAAAATGTCTCCTAATTCCGATCCCGAAGCCTGTGTAAATCCCCGACTGAAGGTCCATGGATTGGATAACCTGCGGGTGGCGGATGCCAGCATTATGCCAGCCGTTGTCAGTGCGAATACGAATGCGGCCACCGTGATGATCGGGGAGAGAGCCGCCCACTTCATAGGGGAGGATTACCGGGTAACCAATGACGACAGTGGTCGATTGTGGGTGCCACCGCACATGCATGCGGATGACTTTTAGCTAAAGTTAGCTGTTAGCTTGATAATTCCAAACACAGTCGCCCCATCAAACTGGCAACTTGTCAACAACAAGTTGTCGATACTAAAGTACATAAAGAACACCACTTACACTCAAAATAAATTTAACCCTAAATTTTAGAAAATCGCCATTAAAATTTCTTTTTTCTAAATACAAGAAAGTTATTTCTAAATCTAAGGAAATTTTTCTTAAGTCAAGAAAGTTTTCCTTAAATCCAGGAAGTTTTTCTTAAATGTAGAAAATGGTTACCATGAACTAAAATCACCCTAAAATCTAGAAAAAATGCCCTTAAAATTAGAAATTATTTTCTGAAAAATAGAAAGGCAAACGAAAATAATAAAATATATTGGCAACACCTTTTCTAAAAATGAGTGTCCTAACCCTAAAATTAAGCTAACCCTAAATAATAGAAACATTTCCTAAAAAGTAGAAAGTTTTTCTAAAAAATAGAAATAGTTGTTTTCACATGCTCTGGCACACCAAAATGTTCAATGCCAGAACTTGTCAGCTGCCGGCCAGCTGTACTCGTGGCGCAGACCGTTAAAGCACTTGGTTAGCAATCGAATCGACGCGGGTTCGAGTCCCAGAGCAAAATTTTTTAACTTTTTTTTTTAATGTTATTTTATTTTTTTTAATTTATTTTATTTTATTTTTATTTATTTTTTTACTTTTTTTTATTCCTTTTTTATTGATGGCAAGCAGTTAACTAAAAATAATTAGGTTTATATTCAGTTATTTACTATATACTACACATAATATAAATTGCGTTAGCATAAATATATACATATGTATATACGTATGTAAATAAGTAAAACGCGAATGGTCAAAATTATGCAATTAGTATTCAAATGTGTTGTCCGCTTCACCCTTTACATACATTGCTCGGTTTGCCACAGCAAGTTTAAGTGCTACAATGGCCCAGTATGTAGGCCATTCGCTCCTCGCGCGGGAGACCCGGGTTCGATTCTCACGACGGACAAGTAAAAAATTGTAAGTTTTTTTCATGAACATAAAATATTAACTAATCATAATTTCTACATTCCCAATCTTCCGCAGTCCCGTAGTCCACATTTACAACCACATTTGGCTTTGGTTAGATAAGAAATCCAAGCGCAAATACATAATAATAAATACATAACCTTTAACATTCACAATATACAAGACACACAACGCCTGCATATGTATATAGGGAGGAGTACATAATATAAACGTATATACAAAAAAAAATCATGATTGAACATGTTTTTTTGTTTTGTTTTTAATTTCTATTTTTTTAGGAAAATTTCCTACTTTTTAGAAATTTTTGCCCTTAAATTTAGTAAAATTACCCTAAAATTTAGAAATATGACGTCAAAAAAAATCAAAAATATAGAAAAATTTGACCCTAAAATTTAGGGCGAGCTTGTCTTGAAGACAAAAGTAGGGCGATTTCCTTGACTTTAGGGTTAATTTTATTTTGAGTGTAGATATCGATTCACGAATACCACAATTAGGTAAATTAAACTATGTGAACTGTTGCACCTTTCACTTCGCTTCGTAGGGGTACTTTTCTTTTACAAAATTGTAAATATATTCCATTTTTTTTTCGTATTCATAAGACACACTTGTTTAATACAAGGGTTTTAATAAAATAGACCAAATTCTTTAGAATCAAAAACAATAATCCCATATTACTATCGAAAAGTTTTAGAATAAAAGCTTCAACATCGCAATATTGAATAAATCAAATATTTAATAAAATATAGAAAATAAATGTTATTCTTTAATGTTTGTATATCAATTCTTTAGAAAAAGGTCTACAAAATTCTTTAGGATCATAAACAAAAATCCCATATTACTATAGAAAAGATTCAGAATGAAAGCCTCGAATCTGGATTGCCAAATTAAGATGTTTAGCATATCTGCGGTCAAACTTGACCCACAAACCCACACAACTGGTTTGTCCATCGCGTAGGCGATACCTCAACAAAAATAACCTGTGCTTATCAGCTGCGGAGCCCCCAAAAACACCCGAAACACCCAAAAACACGGCCACCATCGATCCTCCACTCGAGCATAAAGATAAGCGAGTGCAAACCGCGGGAGACTCTAGATTCTGGATTCTCGATTCTCGATTTTGGGTGGGCTTCCATGGGTCGCTCGGGTTTATCACACCTCGCTTAGCTAATCTTCGTGTGATAAGGGGAGTGCCGCGCAGCTGCTGAAGGCGGAAGGTGCGTCTAATTTATATGGTGTGTATATGGTGTTTATGGTATATACGTATGTTTGTAGGTACGACTATGTACGACTCGAAGCTAAATGCAAATGTCTCCGAGCGCTTTTGATTTACGGACGCCGATGGCATACGAAAAGCGTTCGCCAACCGGCCGTACAAATTCCGGCTGAATGCCGGTCCGCTAGAACAGTTGCCGTCGAGCGGAGAGAGCGAGCGAACGTGTGCGGCAGGTGGATTAGTGATTCTTAAAGTTCTGGCTTAACTGAGGATAACCGGAGGATAACCAGAGGTCTGAGAACTACCAGTGGATATCCTGTTTATAACTTGTACGTAACATTTTGAGAACCTGAGGTTAGCCGAGGATTGCTAACTAGAATAGGATTTCCAGATGCTAGCCTTGAACATTTTTAGGCAAAAAGTAATGGTTAACCTGAAAGTAACTTCCAGTTTTCTCAAGGATACATTTTTGCTTGCCCTAAGATCTTTTTGGAATAAATAAACTTTGCATAGAGAGCCAAGGGATAAACAGATAAATCATTAAATTAATTATAATTAATTTTCTTGAGTTTACTTTTGGTATTTATTGATAAAAAACTGAAGATAAGTTCTTAAAGTCGTGTTTGTTATTTTTCGAGAATTTCACAAAAGCAGCATAAAGATATCAGAAGGTATTAGTGATAGTGATGGAATTTTTCCAAAAGTTATAATGATTCTATGAATATGTCCTAAGAATATCAAAGCTTCCTTTTAGAAATAGGGGGTTATTTAAAGGATTTTTCAAACCCATTTTAAAGGTAGTAATTTACATTATTTTCGGATAACTTTATGAGCTATCTAAACCTTAAATTTTAACCATATTTCTACAGATTTTTCTTTGAATTTTTTAAGAAATACTAATGATAATGGATTTTTTTTTCCAGGACCTAAGGACTCTTAACCCCGAAGATGGAGTTCCTGAGCGCCCAGTGCGCAGCCCGATCGGCGGGTCCGGCGAACACGCTGATGTCCCTGCTCCTCTCCACGCTGATCGCCAAGTACTGCGACCTGAGTGGCCAGCAGCAGTGGCCGGAGGACAAGGGCGACTGGTTGGACCAGAACGGGGGCTTCCGGCACGACTACGACTTCATAGTCATTGGATCGGGAAGCTCGGGCGCCGTGGTCGCCGGTCGGCTGGCCGAGGTGAAGAAGTGGAAGGTGCTGCTGCTGGAAGCCGGCGGCGATCCGCCGATCGAGACGGAGTTCGTCGCCTGGCACATGGCCACCCAGTTCTCCGACTGGGACTGGCAGTACCACTCGCAGCCCAACGGACGCGCCTGCATGGCGATGCAGGGCGAGAGTTGCCACTGGCCGAGGGGCAAGATGCTGGGCGGCACGAACGGAATGAATGCGATGATCTATGCGCGGGGCACGCGCAAGGACTTTGACGACTGGGAGGCCAGGGGCAATCCGGGCTGGGGCTACGACGAGGTGCTGGAGCACTTCCGCAAGGCCGAGGATTTGCGGTCCACGCGGCCGGGCTACAAGCCAGGTGATCATGGCGTCGGCGGACCCATGGGTATCAACAACTACGTCTCGGACAACGAATTCCGAACGACCATTCGCGCCGGCATGCAGGAGATGGGCTATGGCAGTGCACCGGACTTCACCGAGGGCTCCTTCGTGGGGCAAATGGACATATTGGGCACCCAGGACGGCGGCCGTCGCATCACCACCGCCCGCTCGCATCTGCACAAGAACACGCCCAATCTGCACATCCTGCGCCACGCCCACGTCAAGAGGATCAACCTGGATGGACACAATCGGGCGGAGAGCGTGACCTTTGTGCATCGCGGCAAGAAGGAGTACACGGTGAAAGCCAGCAAGGAGGTCATCGTGTCCGCCGGCGCCATTGGCTCCCCCCAAATTCTGCTGCTCTCAGGTGAGTCCGCAAATTATAGCGAAAATATCATCGTTTTAGGATCTCGAATACCAAAAACCAGTTTAAAGAAATTTTGGTTTAAAAGATTGAAGATATATTAAATACCATCATAAATAGTAGTTTCAAAATACCAAATTATAAGGATCTTCCATAAAAATATTATTTTTTTAGAAATTAATTATAAAATATATAAATCCTAAAACTTTCATTTCTGATAGCATAAAAATATGTGTTTTTATCTTTTTAAATACCAAATTATTAGGATCTCTAATAACGATACCATTTTTTAGAAATTTATTATAAAAGAATGAAGATATATAAAATACCTTCCGAAAACCTTAGTTTTTGATAGCATGAAAATATCTTTCTTATCTCTCATAGTTTAGTTTTTTCTGTTGGAATAGTCGAGGTACCTTTCCCCTATGCAATTGATAAGACCAAGTTTAAAATAGGGAAGTACCAACATGATAACGATTTACGATAGGAGCTTTTCTCCGTGCATTAGTTCAGAAAGATATACCATGATCCTTCAATCCCTCATTAAGGCCCCTAAATCTTCCGTTTGTTTAGCTGTTGGTTTAGCTTCTGTTTTGCTGGTTGCATCTGAAAAGCTGGAAAGATTAGATAGCCGAAATATCAGACCCAAGCAACGGAGCCTCGCGTCGATGAGATGTCAATGTCAAAACACGCGCAAGGTCGAACAAGGTCAAGCGATTATGTCTGCCCGATCGTTTAGGGATTGTAAACATATGGAAAATAACGTACTAGCGAGATATAACGAAAATCGTTTACGATAGGGCGGTACTTCCCCTTTAAGCAAAGGGGAGCAATATTTTTTTTTACCAGCTGATGACTTGTGGGTTTCAAGTGTCGTAGTTACTTCACGTTTTTCACATTCTATGCGATGATCACTATGGACGGCAGTCCATGTAGTGACGAAGCGCACCAGGAGAGTGTGCGAAGGCGACTACTATATATACACGAAGAAATGAAAATCTGCTGTGATAGTCAGATCGTAATGAGTAATACACCAATCGAAAGGTATTGCAAAAACTTAAAGGATTGCATACCAAGACTTTAAGAAAATCAATTGGATTGGGAGAGAGAGCGGTGAAAGTGAAAAAGTAAAAATTTAGAAATTTGGAGCTGTTGGGGCCGGTGGGGATAAATGCCCCCTCGCAATGATTTACTTGTATTCCTTTTGAAAATACCCGTCGAATGAGGGGTCATTTGTCAAAATCCGACGCTCCGTTCAAAAGTTATAGCCAAAATAAGATTTTCTTCTTCTTCCCAAAATGAAAATTTAATTCTGTTTGTCAGTTTGTCCACTTGTCCACTTGTCCACTTGTCCAAAACATGTTTTTTAAGTTCTGAAAATTTGATATGACGTTCATCACATCGATATAAAAAACTTTTGTTCTACCACTTTTGGAAAAACTCGCTAGTTTAGCGGGAAAACAGCTATAAATAGCTAAAATTCGGAAAGCCGTAACTTCTATACTACTAAAGCTACAGACTTGTGCTGCATCTCGTTTGAAAGGTATTTTGAAATGCTATAAACGCCTTCTATATGCAATTTGTGTAAATGTAATAGTTAAAAAAATATGAACAAAAGACAATTTTTTAAAACTTTTTTTTTAGCTTTTTTTATTTTTCTCAAAAACGGCTCTAACGATTTTCTTTAAAACCTTAAACTGTATAGCCCTTGAGATTCCTTAAATTTTGGTATATAACACATTACTGTAAAAAGTCACGTTTAATAGTTATTTTTATACGAAAATAGCCACTGTTGCCAGCTCGAACAATTAACGCTCCCTGAGTATTGAATTTTGTGGGAGGGTATCCGAACTGTATTTTAGGGTCATGGAATCAGTAAATTTGCACTTAAGAGTTCCATATAGGAATCTTTTGTTCTACGACTTTTGGAAAAAGCCGCTACTTTAGCGGGAAAGAGCTAAAAATAGCTAAATTTCGTTAGTTTGTAAGTTCTACACTACTAAAGGTACAGACATGTGCTATACCTCGTATAAAAGGTATTTTGAAATACTTCAACGCCTTTTTAACTCAATTTGTTAAAATACAATAGTTTAAAAATTATGATTGACCAATTTAAATTTAAATGTATATATTAGCTCCTATGAGAGCAAAAGTAAACAAACAAAAACTTCTGATATCAAATAAAAACACCTCTTAACGAGGTAAAAAACTAGTGACGACCGCACCTTCAACATACAAAAGTTCTGATATCAACATTTGTGACGAAAAATTATTACACTCGTCATTAAATAGACTTTCTAATATTTTCTCATTCGGCACGCTGCAATAGAAAATGCCTGTGAAGGGAAAAAGGTTGGAATAGTTTGCTAGGGCGGGCCGAATGAGAAAATATTAGAAAGTCTATTTAATGACGAGTGTAATAATTTTTCGTCACAAATGTTGATATCAGAACTTTTGTATGTTGAAGGTGCGGTCGTCACTAGTTTTTTACCTCGTTAAGAGGTGTTTTTATTTGATTTACATACCTGCAAAGATAAAACAAACAAAAAAGGTTTAAAGAAATTGTCTAAGCGGAATATTTCGAGAAAATCTTTTTTAAACGTTAAGAACTAGTTGGATTTCCATAAAATTTCACATGAATTTTAAACTGAAATGGGACAGGTTCTTTTGCCTAACTTAGAACAGGTTTCTAAGTATATCAAACAAATCTAAACAAAAAATACGCAGTAGAATGCTCAGCTGGTTTTTGATAATAATAAGATCTTAATTAGGAGTTTGGGAGTTTAAATATAAATTTAATCTTAGAAATTAACATTATATTATAATTATGCCAAAATTCGAAACTATATTTATTTACTTATTTATATTTTTAATTATTTATTTTTTTAAGGCGTCGGTCCTGCCGATCACCTGAAGAGCCTGGGAATCCCCGTGAAACTGGACCTGCCCGTGGGCAAAAACCTGAAGGATCACGCCAGTCTGCCGGTGATCTTCCAGATCGACAAGTCCACGGCCCGCAAGCCCACCGAGGAGGAGCTGGTGGATGCCATGTACAACCTGCTGATGGGTCGCTACAGCAAACTGCTGCACCACGAGGCCACCGCCTTGACCGGGTTCATCAACACCACCTCGATCGAGGGTCCCAATCCGGATATTCAGACCACCAATTTCTTCAGCCTGATGCAGAGTCCCGAACTGAAGGGCTATGTGGCCGCCACGGGCTTCAATGATCGCGTGGCCAAGAGCATTTTGTCGGCCAACCAGGAGACAAATACCTACATCACCTACTTGCTCCACCTGAAGCCCTTCTCGGCGGGCAGTTTGACCCTGCAGTCGGCCAACTACTTGGATGCCCCCCTCCTGGATCCCGGCTATATGACCGATGAACGCGATGTGGACACCTATATTCGTGCTCTGAATATCTACAAGAATTTGCCCAAGACCAAGGCGTTCAGTGAGCGCGAGGCCACGCTGCACAAGCTCGATTTGGAGGCCTGCAACGGACTGGAGTATCAGTCGGATGACTACTGGCGCTGCTACATCCGCCACATGACCACCACCGTCTATCACCCGGTGGGCACCACTCGCATGGGTCCCGCCACCGATCCAACCGCCGTCGTGGATCCCCAGCTGAAGGTCCATGGGGCCAAGGGCCTCAGGGTGATCGATGCCAGCATTATGCCCGACATTGTGGGCGCCAACACCAATGCCGCCTGCATTATGATCGGCGAGAAGGGGGCGGACATGATCAAGGAGGAGTATCTGGGCGGTAAACATACCGAGCTCTAAGCTCAGCGATATTTTACGATATAAGCTTAACCTTTTTTTGTCAATTTTTTTTTTGTTTTAATAAATATATGCATTTTTAAATAGTATTACAAGTCAAAAATCCTTTAATTTACATTATCTTGGGTGTTTTTACATCAAAATAGCAATATCTTCTGCTTTTTGGTTGATGTCTTGGCTGAGAGATCATTTACTTTGCGGTTAATGTCTTGGATCAACAGTGGCTCTAAAACTGTTTTAAATATGTTATAAGCATTTTCGCCAATCGTTATTTTTTATTCAACTGTTTTTTTTTAATTAAATCTCATAATTATAAAAGGATATTGAAAAATTCCTGCCAATTTAGTTTTTGGGTGTGAATTTCGATTGGTCGTAATGATTTATCCGGCAAAAACAAAAAAAAAACTGCACCATCAGCATTAAGTGGCGAATGTATTGAATCTGGGCGATACTTGATGCTCGGCCTGGTTAGCTCCGTTTTGCTTTTGATTGACAGCTTTCACTTTTCATTTCGCCGTTTTTTTTTTTTCTTGGATATATTTTTGTGACTAGGTATATTTCGATTTTTCGGCCAGCAAATTGCCGCTCATTGCGGACAACTCATTATCCATGCCCGCGACCAACGCAATATGTACGTATAATATTTCCAGGCGCCGCGAAGCGTGCCAGTTTTTCGGTTTTCATCTAATGGCTGGCGGTGCATACCAAACTAAACACAATTAATTGTTGGCCAAGTTGTTGGCCATCAAGTGGGTGGAATCGTAATTGTATAATCGAGGTGTGAAGTGTAGGGGAAACAAAGATTGGCGGAGGGTAAACGAGATAAATACGTGTCTATTTTAATTGTTTAAATCAGATCATTTAGTTTATTTAAAAAATTAAGAAAAAAACTAGTTTTTAAAATTTTTTAGATATTTTTGTAGAATTTTCTGAGCAAGTTTCACACTAAATTAAATAGTGTTGCTTGTAATGAAAGCTTTAAATCATTTGTTATCATTATTAGGATGGTATTATACTAATGGAGTTTAATAGCTTCAATTGTTAGTTGAGTTGTAATACAATTTACAAATTGAATTGAATGAAACCACATGTCCGCCTTATCTGTCTTATTGCAAAATATACTTTAACCAATTGCTCCATTTAAGTGTTAGGAGGGGCTACACTACCCAAGTACCCACTCCTTTCAAAGCAACTGAACAAAGGTCACGTAATAACCCTTTTCTGGCCGTGCACTTGACCAAACTTAAATAATGGAAACCAATTAAACCAAATCGCTCGCGATGCAAGCCAAGATAATAGGGCAAACCTGACACATTCGGTCGGTGGAAAGTGAAAAATGGAAGGAGTAGGCACGGAAATTCCGAAATTCCGAAAACCACACAATAAGTAAAGCTTAACCGTTTAGGCAAAATGATTGGGATGAGATATGTGTGTTCGCTGTGGTTTACGACTGCTGGACGGGATGGATGTCAGTCAGCGACTACCAGTTGGCCACTGTACGCCACGCCCCCTTTTGACAACCGCCCATGGTAACCTACATGTACCTCTGTACCCGTACATCTGTATGGAGTTTCGGGCACGTCGGCCAAATCGGTCATGCTCGACTGCTGCTCAGATACTCGAGCCGAGATACAAATCGGAGATGGACGTGAGGCGAGGTGATCGTGCAGGGAAACTCACGAAACCCCTTGTAACAAAAATGAAAATTAGCAAAAAATTTATTTTTCCGAAATCACATAGAAAGTAATATGGATTTATTTATTATTTTGTTATCTGTTCAAAACAGTATGTATTTTTGGTCAAGTTACAGCAAAAAAAAAGAAACAGAAAAAATTCAAATTTTTACCAAAAACCCAGATTCCACTTTTGCACAAAAATTAATCGTTTTTTGACCGTAACAATGGAAATATTGATCCAAATATGGATTGTCATACCTTTCTGAGCTCGCTATTAAATTTCCTAACGATTGGCATTTAAACCTTGACATTTTATTTATTTTTAGTTTTTCGCAAAAAATCATGGGGTACCCCCTTATAAAAAAATTAAAAATTGGCGAAAATTTTATTTTTCCAAAATCACACGGAAAGTTTTATGGATTTATAGCAAATTTTGTTATCTGTTCAAAACAGTATGTATTTTTGGTGTAGGACCATTTTTGGCCATGTTACAGCAAAAAAACAAAAAAAAAATGCAAATTTTTGCCAAAAACCCAAATACCAGTTTTCCACAACAAAATTTTTAGTTTTTTGACCGTAACAATGGAAATATTGATCCAAATATGGAATGTTATACCTTTCTGAACTCGGTATTAAATTTCCAATCGATTGGCATTTAAACCTGGACACTTTATTTTTTGGCCATTTTTCGCAAAAAATCTTGATGTAACCCATGCACGGAACAAATGTTCCAAAAATTCCCGATTTTCAGAATCGTGTCACGTAGCCATTTCTTAGAGAGTTACGAGTACGCGGCGCACTTGCTGTTATTGCTCCATGACTTCGTTTCTTGCATTTGTCGTTTAATGAAGTTCATTTTCGGTGCCCAAACTGGAGATACCGATGTGGATGAGTCAGCGAAAAGATAAAGCCATGGTTAAAGAGGCTGAAAGGGAAGGGCGGTAATTGTTATGTCACCCCACATATAGAGCTTTCTTCTGGGGAGACGCTTGGCCAGGAGAAAGGGGAGGTGGCGGCTCCTCTTCACTTTACCCAACTTAATTTTTATTATTTTTTCTTTGTGTTTCGAAGCCTCTTCTATTTTCACTTTTAATTGCCCTCGAGCAAAATTTGTTTGTTGATTGGGCAATTGGCCCAAAAGAAATATTGCGTCTGGGGCAATGGGCGTATGGTAAAGTTTAGTAGTACTCATAGAGCGAAGAGCGGTAAGTGCCGGAAATTGCCCGTGTGTGAGCCCCTCACATACCTAGTAACACTAATTGTAATTGTAGCGGAAATCGTTGATTAAATATGCACAGAAGCCTGGGAACCGAAAGTGTTTTCTTCGGGCATTATGATGCATTAGTATTCATTAGAGAGTAATTTCTATTTGGTAAGCGGTGGATTGTTTTTAAAATATGACGGAAAATCTAACAGTGACCTCAATAAATTAACTGAATCTAAGTCACAAATCAAAGTCAATCACAAAGAACAAGTGATTAGAGGTTCGTATTCCCAAGATATCCCCCTTCATGTTAAGGTTAAGTTATTGAAGCCCTTGGCCAACGGAGGCCCTACAACTTGGACAAAAAAACCAAGGAAAAAACCAAAACAAAAGCCGGCAAGAAGACGAACCACTCATCGCAAAAAGTTTGACAAGTTTATTTGTGTCTTTAATGTCAAGTTTTATTTGTTTATTTGCGGCGGTTGGGGAGGGGAAGCGAAGTTTCCTCGACATTCGCATGGAAAACTCTGCTCAAATCGCTTGTGCCGCTGACCTTGCCCCATTAGATGGTGATATATCAAACGATCGTCACATCGCGACTCCGTTAATTTGCGGGCATTATATTGTGTGTGAGACTTTCGTCATTCCTTGTGCAGGTGGAAGTGGTTCACATTTTCGGTCTGCTCGATTGGGAAATATTCGGGTAAACACTGAAATAGTCAACCAAAGATAACTGACCAAAGATAATAACAAGCTTAAGATAACATACAGAAAGAATAGCAATAAACCTCAAAAAGAAAATAATGCATTTCTTAAGAAATGGTTTAAAAAATACCTCATACGCCGTGTGGTCCTAGCCATATATTACTCATACGCAGAGTATTTATAATTAAAATTTAATTTAATTAAATAACTGTTCTCATTTCCCAACCTATTTTATTTATTACAAATAATGGCAATAAATAACAGTAATAAAGCGGCCTTTTCTTTGAAAACAATTCCTTAATAACTCTTTCATTTCGCCTTAATCCTTCCCGGATGTCTGCTTGTATAACAATGCGAAATGCAATCAGGAAATTGTGAGAAATGCAAACATGTGGCTGTCTTTGGCCCCCCAAAAATCATACTTATAACGTGGGGCCACCAAAACATCACCCCATAGGCAGAAATCGGAGCAATTTCGGTGATTCCATCAATGGCCGATTAATACGACAAACTAGTTGCGTTCAATATCCGTTCGGCATCAGGTGTGTAATGTAATGTAATGACAATTACTTTGCAAAATTCGTGTTGTGGTTTGTCAATTGGCGAACACACACACACCAGCGTTCGAAATACAACAAAATAAAAAAAAAAACAAATAAAAACCGGTTGGACAATGAAAACAATCAACCAACAAGTAAATGCCACAAATTTCACTTTGATCTCCACTTTTTTTATTGAACTCCTCCTCGGCTTCTTCAATGCCAAAAACTGGTCAATCGATTGCGGTTCTTCTGCCAGCTGTCTTTCCATGTCGAAGTTGAAGTCGATAATGTATTGTAAGTACAGTGGAGATTCTACGTGGCGTACAGAAAAGTTACAAGAAGTTTGAGGCTTTTATTAAGTATTTTTTTTGGAATTTTGATAGATTTAAACAGATTTTCAAACAGTCAAGGTTTGGGACCTTGCTAAGGAAATCGGTTGTGAATCGGGTAAAAAGTACCGGCTGGCGGTAAAAAGTATTATGTGAGATTTAGAGTTTGGAAATTGGCACTTATCGACGTTCGACTGTGCATCTTGTTGACGTCTTTGCCTAAATGGCTTACGTGCGCAATCCCAACTACACAACTGCAAAGCAACTCGAAGTGGAACCCGAATTCCGACTCAAAATCGAGCCCATCGTCCGCGGAGAGAAGTGCACATAACCGTAAAGTGAGCATGAAGGTCGTCTGGCGTCTGCAAGGAAATCCCAATTCGAAGCAAAAGAGTGGGTATCGAGGGAAAAAAAACCGCAAATGTCAAATATACGCATGTGTGGCGGTAGCGCGAGAGACAGGAGCTGCAAGCGGTTATATGTAACCGTTTCGCAATGCACAGCATCAGCCATCAACCGCAACCGCATCGCATGTGAATATGGATGTGGATATGCATGTGGGAGAGTGCGAAAGAGAGGCTCGCGAAACGGTAACCGTTTCACATTGCAAAATGTGCGCAACCGCTAAACGGACCAGAGAGAGAGAGAGAGACGGAGAGAGCAGGATTGGCGAAAGGAGTGCCAAACGGTAAGGGTTTTTAAAAAGTTTTTTAAATTATATTTTAATAAATACTTTAAAAATATTAGTTTTATTTTGAATCAGACGTTAAAGGAATTTAAAATTATTTTTTTTAAACACAAATTTAAAGATCATTATTAAAATGCACAATAAATATTATTCCACCAACTGTTGCGCTGCCAGGATATACAATTTATGTAAATATAGGTAAGCCAAATTCAATTAAATTTATGTGGCAACGTTCACAATCAACAATTGTTTTTAAAACCCTGCTGCCACGGCGAATGCAGTTGGATTCGCTGGAGAAAAACGTGCGCATGCGCAACTGTTTGGCGGCAGCGACGCCGGCGTCCTCTGCCGCGGCTACCGCCTCTGCCGGCGCTGCAGCAGCGGAGACAAAACGTCGCAGGCCAGCGGCTTTTGTGGCTCAGAAACGCAGCGACTGCCAAGCGAGGCGGATGGCCTAAAAAAAAACACATAGCGAAACGGGCTGGCGAGGCGAATTACCCAGCGAACCGGTTAACCGATTATCCATTATCCATTACACGATTACCCTTAACCGATTCCAAAAGACGCGCGCGGCCAAAAGCTAACTATTTCAATTACAATTTATTTATTTTTGTTTCTGTTTACTCAATGTGTTTTCGAGGCCTAAATGAAAGTGCAGAAAGGCAAGTGACTGTGAATGCGAACGTGACAACGGCACAGAGAGAAAATATCACCGAAATCGGTCAACAATTCCCCTGTTTCTCATATGAATGGATTTCCTTTTTAAACTGAATTGTGTTGAATTTATTATTATCAAAATATTCTTTCAAAACTTGTAGTAACTTAAAGAAATTTAGTGATGAACAAAGATTTACAATATATCCTTTTTAAAGAAAACATGAAGCTCTTATTTGAAAAACGCTTTTTTTAACGTCTAATCCTGATATATTCTAATTGCAGTTTTAATTTCCTTAATTTTGTTTTTAATTATTAAAATTGGTTAGTTATTTAATTGGCTCTGATTTTAAAAACCAGGATATGAGAAACTTTAAGTGACCACAATTTAATGATTTTTGTTTTTCTCAGTGTGCGCTCATAGTGAAGGCAAAAATCGATTAAAAGTGCAATGCAGTGACAGCAAGAAAGTGAATTAAAAAAATAAAATAAAAAAGGGAATCCGAATCCCGCGCCTAAATAAGTCAACTGGTTAGACCCTTCCCAAAATCCCAATTCCAAAATGGTCGTAGTTCCCGCTCTGGGCGCCGCCGCCGTTTCCGTGGGCGGCCTGCTCTTCAAGGCGAGTGCCGCCTCCAAGGCGGCGGCGGCAGCGGGCGTGGCAGCGGCGGGCGCCTCCAAATTGGGCCTCGCCATTGCGGGCGCCATTAAACTGGCCACCGCCGTGATCGGCGTCGGCAAACTGACCATCCTGCCCTTCCTGATAGCGGCTATCGCCTACTACAACTACGATCTCTTCGATCCCGAGAACCGTCCCTTCAATGTCCAGCAGGTGGAGGTGGCCTACGACTTCATCATCATCGGCGGCGGTTCGGCGGGCACTGTCCTGGCCTCCAGGCTCTCGGAGATCCCCCACTGGAAGATCCTCCTCCTGGAGGCCGGCGGCCATGAGACGGAAATCTCCGACGTGCCTCTGCTCTCGCTCTATTTGCATAAAAGCAAAATGGATTGGAAATATCGGTGAGTCAACTTTATGTAAAAATTCAACTTTTATAAAGAAAAGGTTGTACAAATTTGAAAATTTTAGTCCCTATTTTATTCGTTTTAATTAAAGGATTAAATAAAATTTAAATAATAGGTTCTTTAAAATCCTGAATAAAAATCTAAAATGGTATCCAGATTTACCATTTTCTCTCGAAATGTTTAACAGTTTAAATCATGCATTTTAAGTAGCATCCTTTTAGGTTCAACTTTTTTTTTTCAGTTTTTAGATAATATAATGTGATATTTTAGTTCCTTAAATTTTATGTAAATTAATAGTAGACATTTATACTTTTAAATGTGAATAAAACGTTTCGTAACTTGCTGAATCTTCCATTACCATTACCTATTCAACACTTTAGAATAATTATTAAATTATTTTAAATGTAATTAAAGCACGCACTAAATAACTTCCTGGTCTTAAGGTCGCTTCCTTATTTTAATTCCAAATATTTCCCGAGTACTTTTGTGGGTCATAGGCCTGTGTTTTGGGTGGAATGGGGTGGTGGGTCAAACGTTCGGCCTTAGCAGTGGCCCTGTTTGCCTTTTGTTTGCGCTCTTTTCGACCAGCTCATCCCAATGACTTTGCCAATTTTCCAAAAGCCGCCAACAAAAAGCATTGAATTCTGGCTTATATGCAAATCTCGCCGGGTGAGCCATTCATCGATGAGTTGCCGGCCATCATTAGCATTTGGAATAGACCAAGACAACTTGGCTGCGGTTTTGCGGTTCGGGTTCAGGCGACTCAAAACGATCATGATGATGATGAGGGCGATGATCATTGTGATGGTGCCAAAGGCCGGATTCGTTTAGTTAGCAACCGTCTGCCGAATTTCCAACTATTTGCAAGCTCTCTTCACACGCAAACAGCAAAACGATTTCAGCACTCGGCGAAAAGAAAGGGAAAACGAACTGACTAATTTGGTTTACTGACATTTCGTTTTGCAGGAAATGTTCAATTGGAATACAATTAGGATGAAGTTTGGTTAAGCTTTTCGATATTTCGCAAACCTATTTTTTAAATATTTTTTTAGTCCCCATAATAAATTTGCAAAAATAATACTATTTTTTATGAGTGATATTTAAAGTTGAGTTCCTAAATAGTTTTCAATGTAAAATGTGGGTAAATCAGATATTTGACTTTTTAGTTCACAATTTAGGTATATTTTGGTTTCTTCTTAACTTCCTTTTATACTATTATTGTTGTCTTCCCAAACGAATCCTTTGATATTTCCTAAATATATTCCTACATTGATTGTAATTGTAATTGTTAGGTTGTAAAAAACTTCTTGTAACACCTATTAACACGAATTACTTTACGATCGTTTTCATTTCTTTCCTCTCGATTTATGGCTTCTGCTCTCCAGCGTTCCAATTTCTCGGATCTTTCACTTTTCCCCGGCCCACTTTCCTCTCCACTATACTCCACTCAGCCCCCTCCAGAATGTTCCAATTAGATAAAGACAAATGTAAACCATTACCATTTACCAGTATCATCTCGATGGATCGGATCATCTGCCCCCTTTGTTGGGTCTCTTTTCTTTTCAAAGAGCAATTAAGTGCGGCTTTATATGGCGGGCTGAGCCTCCATTAGACAGAAAATGGAAAATGATCAGTGCTTCTGGGACTGATTCAAATTAGAACGGGCTACCGTTAGACGGGGCTGCCCGAAGGCTGCATTTTTATTTTGGGGTGGGTCCCTTGTTTCATTCAGATCGTTTTCTATCTCACGGCATTTCATTAATAACAGCTGATGCTGCTGATGATCAACGGCCACCTGTGGCCACCGGCTGAAGTCTCAAATTAACAAATCGAACGCCGCTGCTTAATTATTCATGAGCATTTGGCATTTTTTACTTCGTCGGAATTTTGTTCGAGCGTGTTACCAATACCGTAATCCATTTAACTGTTTAATGTGACAAGGGGCGGGGTTTTTTGGACTGGGTTGGGTTGGTTCCATAGGCCTAGCGGCGATTTTCGGCTGGGTTTCTCTATGGCTCTTCTTTTGGCTTTGGAGTTTCACTTTCAGAATTCCACACCCATTAGTATTCCCATTCCCTTGCCTTCCATTTGCATTATCTTTCCTTTCCATTTCCATTCCTAATCCCACTCCAAATACCATCTAATTTTGCGTAATTGAATGCAATATGCGGCCAAATGCATGCGAAATAAATCATAAGGTGCCAAATGAAACAATAGGCACACAGTAAAAATTCATATGATATTATATTACTTAGATTTAGATCCACAAATCTGTTATAAAAATAAATAATAGCTTAGTAATTAATAGATTTTTTTTATATTTCACCCAACTATCCTAAGAATTCGAGTAATTTTTCAATTTTTTCCCAAGATCAAAAATCGTTCAGTGCACACAAGAGCAGAAAAACCAAAACCCCAAACTAAGTGCATCGAGTGTGGCAATATAATCGAGTGTGTTTCTGAATCATTGCATCATTGGCAAACTCGGGAGAGTCGGTAGCACAGTATCTGCATTTTTGTATCTCCGTGTTTGTATCTCGGGTCTCCCAACTCCAGTCAGCTGGATCCCGAGAGAGAGAGATATATATACTTCTATACACAGCATTCGAGGTATATGAAAAAGAGTGAGTCTGAAGTGTTTGTTTTGGGTGCAATGTGTACAAATCGACACTCGAAAAGCGCTTTACAAGCAACGGGAAAATCAGTCAACAGACTGCTTAGAAATTGAAATTAAGAAAACAAGAAAAAGACTTGGCAATCACTCTCACGTCAATCATCGCCGGTAATCTTGATTGACTTACTTATGGGCGAGAGAAAAGTTTCACCCGCCTGAGAAAGTCGCAAAATTGGTGTCATCTTTGCGTTCAGTGTCAAATTTATGGGGTTCAAGGTCATAAAGAGATGATGAATATTTATATTTACAATATCTTTTTGCTTGAACAAATAATATTTAAAATATTTAAATACCTCTACAAACAAAAGCTCTTACAGCACTGATAATAAAGCGAACCATTTGCAATCACCTTCGCGTGCGATTACAGGATAAATGCTTTAAAGTTTTACGACTTGCCGCTAAATATTTCATAACCCAGTCTCGTGTGCAACGATCGTTGCAAGTCATTTGAAAGTATTCAAATTCGCAGCCGACAGACAACAGTGGATGCCGCCTAAAACCAACAATGGTTCTACAGGGTAAATAAGCAGCGAGACGGGGGAGTTCGAGTTAAGTTGTGGGCTAGAGGCACCCACAACCTGAAAAAAAAACCCCCATCTGCTGTGCATTCCAACTCGGGATGATTATGCAAGACGAGTTGGCGATGACCCCCAGCCTTATCCGCATCATTAAATTCCCTCCCCCCGCGTTTGTAAATGCCAGAAACTTAAATATTTTGGCATCTACAGTGGAGACGGGGACACGCCCCTGACGGATTCGGGTTCGCATTTTGAATGCAAGCTGCAAGCGGATATCAATTCATGAGGCAACTACACTGGGAGAAAGGAGATTTTAGTTATTAAGATATATGATATGAGAAATGCAGAGTTATAAAATCAAAAAAAATTAAAGCCCAAACAAATTTAAAAAAAATTGTATAATTAATTAAACAATTTTAAATAGGTATTTCAAACTTTTTTTCAATAAAAGCTAAGCTAACTACACCCAAAAAAATTAAGAACGATTGTTCTTTAGCTTTCCTACTTTTTCTCTTTGAAAGAATATTCTTATTTTAAAATTTTTTTAACTGGGTTCTACTCAGTGTCCAACTTCTCGCTATGTTCATTCTGAGATCGGGATATCCTACGCCGGTGCAGTCCAATTTCCCAACATAAAACCGGATCGCATCGGATCAGAGTTGCTCCGAGCGGCATGGTAAAAAGTGGGTTAGGCGGTCTGCAGGTCTACAGGTTTGGCGCCGCCATGGAAATGGCACGAAACGAAACGAAATGAAACAAAATGAAATGAAATGAAACGATGCTGAGACTTGGCAATTGCACCTGAATAGCCGGGTTGCCAATCGCGAAAAGCCAAAAAGCCGATCGAAAGGCGAGTGGATGGCGAGGAGAGTGGCTACGTGAGCCGGTTAAATGGACAGGCTTCGGTGGGTCGTCAAACGCGAGACTAGTGCCTCGTAGCTCGAATTGTGTCAACCGGGCAATAAAACATAAATATAAAAATAAAGAAAAACCAAATGCACTTCACGCATGCCCCCGAAAGAGAAGAACCACCGATAAACACTAAATATTGATATGGTTATTGATATATTTGGTTTTACACAATCGAAACACGCAATTCGTTATGCCACCAGACGAATAACAAATATTTGCTGTTAATCTAATTAACACCAATGTCGATTGGTTAGTTTAGAAATTATGCAAAGCGGAAAAGTTAGTTAGTGAGTCAGCAAAAATAAAGACAATCTATAAATATTTCTAGGATATATTTCAAAGGATATTTGTTGGCTATTGTTAAGTTTATTAATACCTATCGAAATGTAAAAGAAAAATGTAAAATCGGACTATTCATTAAAAAGTTATGAGCAAATAATGGAGAGCAAGCAGTCAATTTACTGCTTTACTGCTGATTTACTTAAGAATTACAAATTTTGTTAATCAAGTTCCGTTTCTAACATTTTTCCCACATTTTATTCAGCAATTATTTCATCTTTAAACCTTTCCATCAATAAATCGCTTGGAATCGTTGCCATTTTACAGCTTAATGCGGCCGCTAAGTGATTTTATATGGCAATCAACAGCTGTTCCATCCGAATGCGTTTCCCCTTTATTTGTTTTTTTTTTTTTTTTTTTTTTTTGTTTGCTTCTTGGGTTGGGGATCTACGGTGAGGCCTTAACCAACTTTCGGTTAACGAGCATTAAACAATTACGAAAATAATGCAATCAACTCGAATTTTCGGCATGCATATTCATTTCATAAGCGGCAATTATGATTGCCGAGCCAGTGAATGTCCCTAATGCGTGTTTTTTTAAGCCACATTTTCTAGATCTTTAGTTATTTGGAAAAGAAAAATAAAAAACCTTATCAGCTTCATCGAATGAAACGCTACGCTTTGTAAGACATTCAGGATTATGTCACTAATGTATTTTTGATCTTTTTTAGAGAAATTTTATAATAAAAAGTTTTTAAGATTGTAGATATTTTAAAGGACATACATAGTGAGCATGTCTTTTATAAGGGATACCAAATTTCCTGGTTCTGTTAGATGAATATTTAAGCTATCCAATTTTTTAGATTAAATCATTAATTTAGATTTTCCCTTAAATTCTGTAACAATTTCCATTTCTAAAGGTTATTAAGGGAAGATCTACGCCCCCACACACACAATAAAAAAAGTATAATAAACTAAGCGAAATGAGTTAATAATAATTTGTTACGTTTATGTGAGTTAACTGTTAAATGGCTAATAAAAAGCAAACAAATTGCGTCAGTTGGGCGTCTCGCCCAGTCAGATGTGGATGTGGAAGTCGAGGCCGGAGTTGAAGCGAAAGTTTTTTTTCTCTATTTTCCTATACCGAACACTTCGATGTTCGTTTGGCACCTGTGTACCTGTATCTATGAGAAATGAGAAATGGCCGGAGCACGTAGCCAATAAGTCAGTATGCCAAACAATGTGCCACAGTGGACTCACAGTGGCGCGAATTGATATTAATGGCTTGCAAAGGGAAAATATTCATCACCGATCTGGGCAGCATAAATCAGACAACAAATATGTGCATGTCGTATGCTAATTACCCTTACCCTTACATTGGAGGAGGAGGAAAAAGGGGTGGAGGACCGGCTTTGACACCCTAATCGCCAAAGATGCAAATGCATTCGAGACAAGCGGTTGATGGACCATGGAGAGCCTGAAGTTAAACACTGAACCACCGGCTGAAATTGACTGACATCTTCATTATACACACGAAATATGCATGTTTTTAAGCTGGTAAAGGTAATACAAGGTATACAGATACAGAAGAATTACATGATTTCCACTACAAAACATATTTTAAATAAATATTTTCAGAGGACTTTTTTGCTATTAACTTTTCAAATTTTATTTTTTTTCAAAAGGTATCAATGCTTTTTATCACAAATTTCAAGAACCTTACTTTAATATTATAAATAGTTTGTATGCAGTGTATTTTCGTATTTTAGTGGATTTAAAAATCACCTTCAAAACCCTCTTTAAATATTACCTAATGGTATTAAAATCTTTAAATAAATATCCATATAATGTTTACATTATTTTCGGGTTAATGGGTGTTGCCAGCTTCGTTGCCATATATTTATGGCTTAAAGTTTACACTCTTTCTCTTTCGACTTAGCACGCTTTTCGCCCCGCAGCACGCCTGTGTTGGCCAAGTAAAATCATTGCTGACCAAGTTTTCCGCAACTGACATTTGATTTCCGTTTGTTTTCTTCGTCGCTTCGCCTTTCCCAGCCGAATGTGGTTAAGTTAAGCTAAGTTAAGTCGTCTCTGTGTCTCTTGATTGTTGCCTGTCACTGCTAATTTGTATTTTCATTAACGACAACAAAAAGTCTTCCTATATATTTAGCAGTGGCTATAATAATGGGCACCCAAAAGAAATGGAATTCGGATTTAGATTTGGAACGAAAAGGAAAGAGAAAAGAGGGGGGGAAAATATAGTTGTCAAAACGTTTTGTTGGCCAATTTGTCCGTTTGTATTGGCTGCACTCACGGCAGGGAAATATTCGGATAATGCTGGGAACCCTGGCAGGAGATTATTATCTCAACAAATGCGTAACTGCGCCTGGGATATCCGCTAATTGGTGGAGCTTGAAATTGCTGGGTGCAAATTATCGTGTTTTTCTCTGTTTTCTATTATTATCTCTTCCCTCTGATTTCTTATTTATGCAGTTATCACTTGTACAAGAAAATACAATTGCACTGCCTGACTTCCTCTTTGGTTCATTGACATTAAGTTTTCATTACTGATGAAAATGTTTATCAATGCATTTCTAAATTCTAAATGATTTATGTATATATTTATATAGTGTTTATTTCCCTTTTTTTAATTTAATAGATTTTTTAATTTGCTTTATAATTACAAAGTACACATTAAAAATGTGTATAGTTCATTTTAATCCTTCTTGTTAATGATAAACAATTTTTCGCTAGCTTAAGAGTGGTTTTTATCCAAGCTTGTGCAATTTTTCAAAGCAACCTCGAAGTACCATAAGCCACACTTTAAATGCCACTTGTAAATGCTTTATACTCGTGCTCAAAGATACTCGTACTCAAAGATACTCGTACTCAGGGATACTATAAGCCATAAAGCCATTTAAAGGGCAAAAGTACGAAGGGGAGGTCGCTCGGTTCATTGCCTCATGGATATTTTGGAGCTGAAGCTTGGCCTAATGAGCGTTTAACACCGGCTTTTGTATTTTGTAATTAAGTTGGCCACTGGGCAATTTGGGGGCGAGTGGGCGTGGCCTCTCTTGACTAATGCGCTTTCATTGTCGCTTTGTTTGCTTGCCCACAAAAATGATCGGATATCTCTTGTTTTTTTGCTGCTTGTTTGGTCTTGGCGAAATTCGCTAATTGTTTATTTTTCGATTTATCTACAGACAATTGTTAGGTTTTCTCTTTCGTCATCTCTTTTATTTTACTATTTATATATCATTATTATTTACAGAACCCAACCCCAATCGACGGCCTGTCAGGCGATGAAGGACAAACGCTGCTGCTGGACGAGAGGCAAAGTTCTGGGTGGCTCCAGTGTGCTGAACACGATGCTTTATATCAGGGGCAACAGGCGAGACTTTGACCAGTGGGCGGATTTCGGTAATCCCGGTTGGTCCTACGAGGAGATCCTGCCCTATTTCCGGAAGTCAGAGGATCAGCGCAATCCCTATTTGGCCAGGAACAAGCGCTACCATGGCACAGGTGAGTCTTTGGATAATCCAAATGTGATCCCTAATTGTTCAATTTAAAGTGAAGAGAATTAAAAATAGCCTAATAAACAAAAAGAAACTTCAGCATGTGACTATCATAACTCATTGCTCGCTGAGAGACCGTTAATGTCTAGTAAAACATCCTTACCAAGCCATAAATAAATCTTTTCGGCCATAAATCTTTTGCGCTTTTGTCTTTTTGAAAGTAGTAGCAGTAGTAAAATAGAAATTTAAGGCAAGGGAAAATATTCAAAAAGCGTGATAACTACTAACTCTTTCTCTAAAATATAAACTAGATGTAGTATAAAAATGTGTTATTGATCTAATACTAAATAATATAAATTCTATACTCAGTTGTATTTATTTCATATTAAGTATTATAAATTTTATATTTTGAAAAATCATTTCTATACCAAAAGTTACGATATTCATACTTTGGAGAATAGTAATTTAGTACTCATCGTTTTGTTAGCTTATAGATTTTAAAATTGAATAAGCCTTATAAATACTCATCCTATTAATGGATATGTTACACTCAACCGAGTAGAATTCATCTAAGACTGGTTCAGTTTTTATAACTCCTTTTTTGTTGAGCGTACCTTTTTCTATTTTCAATTGGACAAACAGAGATCAAAAGTTGGATTCGATTTTATAAGAAAAATGCTAACTTTCCCATTTTTTTTAGGTGGTCTCTGGACGGTCCAGGACTCCCCCTACAACACGCCCATTGGACCCGCCTTCCTGCAGGCCGGCGAGGAGATGGGCTACGACATTGTGGACGTGAACGGGGAACAGCAGACGGGCTTTGGGTTCTACCAGTTCAACATGCGACGCGGCTCCCGCAGCTCGACGGCCAAATCCTTTCTGCGACCCGCCCGCCTGCGATCCAATCTCCACGTGGCCCTCTTCTCCCACGTGACCAAGGTGCTCACCGATCCGCAGACCAAACGGGCCACGGGGGTGCAGTTCATCAGGGACGGTCGCCTGCAGAATGTGTATGCCACCAGGGAGGTGATCCTGTCGGCGGGAGCCATTGGTTCCCCCCATCTGATGATGCTCTCGGGGATCGGACATGGCGAGGAGCTGGCCAGGGTGGGCATTCCCCTGGTGCAACATCTGCCGGGCGTGGGACAGAACCTGCAGGATCACATCGCCGTCGGCGGCATAGCCTTCCTCATCGACTACCCCATTTCGATTGTGATGAAGAGGATGGTGAATATCAATACTGCCCTGAGATACGCCATCACGGAGGATGGTCCTTTGACCTCGAGCATTGGCCTGGAGGCGGTGGCCTTTATCAACACCAAGTATGCGAATGCCAGCGACGATTGGCCCGACATGAACTTCATGATGACCTCCGCCTCCGTGATGTCTGATGGCGGCAGCCAGGTGAAGACCGCTCATGGGTTAACCGATGAATTCTACCAGGAAGTGTTCGGTGAGGTGAACAATCGCGATGTCTTTGGCGTTTTTCCCATGATGCTGCGTCCGAAGAGTCGCGGCTACATAAAGCTGGCCTCCAAGAATCCGCTGAGGTATCCGCTGCTCTACCACAACTACCTCACCCATCCGGACGATGTGAATGTGCTGAGGGAGGGCGTCAAGGCGGCGGTGGCCATGGGCGAAACGGAGGCGATGAAGCGATTTGGGGCGAGATTCTGGAACAAACCGCTGCCGAACTGCAAGCATTTAACACTCTTCACCGACGACTACTGGAACTGCTACATCAGGCAGTACACGATGACGATCTATCACATGAGTGGCACTGCCAAAATGGGTCCACCCACGGATCCCTGGGCGGTGGTCGATCCCCAGCTGAGGGTCTACGGCATCCCGGGGCTGAGGGTCATCGATGCCAGCATAATGCCGGCGATCACGAATGGCAATATCCACGCACCGGTGGTCATGATTGGCGAGAAGGGCGCCGATATGATAAAGCAACTCTGGTTGACCCCCACCACGGGAAACCAGGGTCAAGGTCAGGGACCCAGTCCGCGTCAAGGTCACAAGGTCGCCGCAGGAAGTCAGTGGCGGAGCAAGCGATCTTTGAATTCAACCAGTGAAAACGAGGACCTCGGAATCTCACCAGTCCATCAGTGGCCTTTGCCAAGGTCGTAGCGTTTCTTAAAGCCGGGGTTTAAGGGGGTCAAGGGGGGTGCGTAGGGGTGGGGGTTAGTTTCCGTCTTCGAAATAAATTTAATTTATTAAGCTTCACAATGCTTTACATTCTCACTGCCTCTCGCTCTCTAGCAAAAAATTACTAATAATTATAATAATGTCCTAACGAAAACCCCCTGCCTCCTCCGCCCATGGCCGTAGTCACTTAAGCGCTTCATGTAAATATCGAGTCATTTATGCTAATTCTTACATTTTTTTTTAAATATCGCTCGTCTGTTGTGTGTGTCTAATCGAAATGTGTATTTTTTGTTTTACCTTTTAATGTTTGTTTGACGCCGCGTACACTTGGAGTACCTCAATTAGTTCGTAAGTCGAGGATTACAATTACGATGCAAATGTTTGATTAGTTATTAAATGTAGACGAACTCAATAAATCGAATAAACACGAATATTACCTCAAGCGTTGCTTTATTGAACTAATTTAGATTATTTGGATTATTCAGATCATAAAACGTTGATCTGTCTATAAAGCTTATAAAACTTATTTATTTTTGGATTAAAAGTAAAGCTAAAGCTACAGTTTGAAGCATCGTAGTTAATCTCGGCTTACTTACAGTTTGACATCGGCTTACGATTTTTTATTAGCCCACAGTTTGAAATTCACCATTTAAAGCTTAGCCAAAGCTTACCTGTAATGAAAGATGGAAAAAGAGATTATTAGTAAACAAACTATTTTCAAATGAAAGCTTAAGATTCGAAAGTTGGCCTAAAGTTTTTAAAAGCTTCCCTTAGAAAGCTACAACCCTTTTAAGGCCAGGTTTAAAGAAAGCTTAAAATTAAGGCGGGAAATGTAGACTAAATAGTAATACCTAAAATTTAAAATATTAAAAAAAGAGTTTTAAGCGTTGTAACATAATATACAGTAGAGTAAAATAAAAAAAAGAGTTGGAAAAAAAATAAATATATTTAAAATATATTTTAATATTCATTAGGAAAGATGTAAAGTCCCAGTAGAAGAATTACAGAACAAAATGGGTTAAATATTTTATTTATATAATCAGTTTTCAGAGCCAAAGGTTTATTATTTTTTTTATTATGTATTCCCAATATGTCAGTCCTCAAAAATGTGCAAGGAAATGTTATGCAACTGCGTTACCAGTGCAGTTCCTCATTTCGCACATCGGATATCATATATTCCAGCGGATCTAAGTAATTCGATGCGGTTAGGTGCGTTAATGCCTGATGCCAATGCCATAATCCGATAATCTCCCTTCGGCATTGCAAATAATTGCAATTTTACAATTTCATTTGCCATTTCGGCCACAGCCGATGATAATTGCAATTAAGTACGAACATTAAAGGCAGCAGTTAACGGTGCGTAGAGGGATAATAAATAATTCCCAATTGAATAATGCATTTTCGGCCGGCACCAATAATTTGTTAACAAAATGCACAACACAAATCAAGGCGGTCTTGTGTGTGCTTGGCTAATTGCCGCAGATATTCCCCCATTTTTAACCACTTTTTCGCACTTGGGTCGCGGAAGACGGCCATAAATCTGAGCCACATGCCCACCTGGCCAGATTCCATCTCCATGTGCAGCGTGGGGTGGAGGCGCCCAGCTTTGAGGCCGATTCCAATCCCAATCCCAATTCCAATTCCAGCGCTCTCAAGTGCAACGCATAAATATTTATGCTGCGAAGCAATGACCGTCCAAAATTTTGCAGTCATCTGAACGAAAATGAAAGTTGCCCGCGACCGGGGAGCTTCTCAGCCCCCGCAGATCCCCTTCCCCATCAGCTGCTCCATTTCAAACCTCTCCACTTTTGCCCCCACCCAAACAGGGCACTGGGAGAAACAGGTGTAAATTTTCTTTTAAGGTTTTGGTTAGCTTAATGTTTAGCTTAATGTTTATAAATTATAGCATTTATTAATAAATATATATTTTTATGACCTTGAAAAATTCCTTATTTATAAATTACATTCAAATACAAATTTTAAAGAATTCCCAAATTAATTGCCTGGTATTTAAAAAGACTTATTAATTATATTTAAATTTTCACAATTGTATATATTTTTTCCAGTGCAATGTCAAGCTCAAAGTCGGCTTTTTGGCTTAACATTTGGCCTGGTTGTCGGAAGCCCACAACATGCTGAAATATATTTGCGATCACAGCGGAACCACAAGCAGTGCCCTCCCCTCCCCCCCTTGCATACATTTATTTTCATCTCCGTCCCTGTCTTTTTGCATACGCAGAGTTCAATGGGGGGCAATTGCACCTGATATCTGATGATAGCGCCCACAGAGATCGCAGGGTTCACAGAGTTGTTCAACTCTTTGACTCGCCTAATGAATGGAGCGAATGTGAATGGATTTATTTCGAGTAGGTTGTGGTTTTTCCGGTGGCTTCGCGGGGTTGTCAACGGGAGACAACGAAAATAAATTGCAAGGTGGTTAGTAAATTAAATTATAATTTATTAAGGGTTTTAGGGAACGAAAGAAAAAATGCTTCAGTGCCTCAATATTTTTTTTAATAATCCCATTACAAAAATAATTCATATAATAATTAATAAAATAAACTAAGATTTTCTAAAATAAGAAATCAAAATTTACCGTTTTTAAAGACATTTTTTATGCTTGAAAAAAAGAAAAAAAAACTATCAAAAATCATGATTTACAAAACCGAAAGCATTGTGACTACTTGTGACCGCCTTAAATTGTTGACAGTATCACAATACTTTGATATGTTCCCCCGGCCACAAGTACTCTTATTGATTTCGGTATCGAGCACTTTTACCCTTCGATTGCATCGATTGCCAAATGGAATGGAGTGCGAGTAAACAAACCGGAAATCTCCATCGCAAAGTCGATCTTTATGGCCTTGTTGCTATTGGCCCCCCAGTTAAACGCTCAACTTTTGGATTGGGAATCATGCATAATAAAACGGTAAGTCGATTGCCAGACTTGTAAATCGCTGGCGATGATCGCTGCGAGCAGTTTTGGCTCAGCCAAAGAAAGCCTCCAAACCTGCTGCTGCAGTACTTCTCTTTCTCCCCCAATGTCGCGCTCTCTCTTTCTCTTCGGTCTTTCCGTCCTTTTCTACGAAATCCCGAGAAGCTTTTGCATTGGCGCCGTGGTAACAAACGTTGAATGGAGCACGTAGCTCAGTGACAAGACCCGAAGACAGCCGAAGCCCCAAGAAATGGAAACGAAATCGAAAGTGCAGTCGTCTCATGGTCAGACACTGTAAAAAAATGTGCTAATTAGTTTTAAAATTCCAAAGTTATAAAAAAAAGCCAAATGTTGCATGTGTTTTTCTCATGTTAAATTTAAAGTGATATGGATGATAGATCACCCCCACTCTGGTAAAAAATTAAAGAAATTTTGGATTCGAAAAGTAGGCAACAAAAAAATTGTTCTGATATCACCCCCAAGAAAAAAATCCTAGATCCGCCACTGGTGATAATATACCATTATTAAGGCATTCAATATATGCTCTATTTTTTTACGGTGTAAACATTTTTTAAGCCAGCTTTACGGATATTTCTCCCTCTTTTTGTTCACTCTCTCTGGGGGCTCGAAGCTCGGACTTTTGTTTGTGCTTCGATTTGGACTCCACGGACTTTGTTGTTATCATTGTTGCGCTGTGAGGGAAAAGCTTTTGAAGGCCGTCCGAAAAGCTGCTTCTTCAACATCTTCGTCCAATGTGGCCAAAAGCAAAACCAAAAGGCGAATTGCTCATTGAACAAGACGAGCTCGTGGCGTGCGTTTCGCAGTGAGCGGCGAAATACAAGTGAAATATATATAAATATATATTCGAGAAATCGGGAGTGAAACGAAAACGCCGTGAACAAATATCACTCGAAGAAATTGCAGTGCAATCAATAGTACTTTGTCCCTTATATTTTTTTTTGTTCGTTTTTTTTTTTGCATTTTTTTGTTGCCGCTTTTGAAAGATGAAAGACGGCAACAGCAGTCATGGTAATCGTGAGTGAGACAAAGGAAAGTGGCAGGCAGTCGCGTTCAGTTTGAAGCCGCCACACCACAAAACAACAAAAAAAAATAATAATAAAAACTAAATAATCAGCAACAACAACTGGAAAACAGCAGCTACTGGAACCAGAGCAGCGGCCACTAAAAATAACAACAAAAAAACCGGAGGCAAGTGTACTAAAGTCAAGTGCAAATAAATAAAATATCCAGGGGAATTTCATGTTTCTAAAGTTTGTATGGCATAAATAACATCAAAGAATATTTTTAAAAATATTTAAAGATTTAAGAAATTATCTCTAATTTAAGATCTCTAATTTAAGATTGGTTTTCTTTTTAAAAGAACTTACTTTCCCATTAGTTAAAATATTTTAATTACCATTTTTCTGTTAGTTAGGCATTAACATTTACATTATGAACTAAAATCTTAAATATACCTTCGTTTTCATATTTTGTAGTTCGCCATACTTCATAATAAATACCAAATAAGAGATCAAATTTTACAACCTGTATAAAGACTGTATAATAAACCCACAAATAACCATTAACTCGTACATTAACACCTATTTGCATTCATACAACTCGACATCCATACTTGGGTACCACAACTGCGCGATTATTTTCACTTTTATTTTATGTAACAACTCCGATTTCTGACCCTTGAGCGAGGGGGAAAAAGGGGCCGCAAAAAAATATATAATATATATTTAAAGTAAAGGAGGCGAATACTGTGGGGCAGATATTCTTATGTAAGCCTCCGCCGCCTCCTACCAACCACGCCTTGCGGCTTAGTTTGTTTATTTGCTTGTGGTCTATTCACACTTTCTACCGCCGATTCGGTGGCATTACTCCACCGATCCAGCAGTCCAGCGATCCACCGCCTCACACCTCTGTGCGAATTATTATCAATTTGTGCACGTCGCGGCCATAAAGAGGCAATCATGGAGCGCGTGTATCGCCACTGGCACTGCATATGCATACGAGTCGGGCAATTAAAAGTCCCAAGCAGGCCAGCAAGAAAGTGCTGCTATCTAGCGTTATAACCATATTTGGTTAGGGAAGTGGGGCAGTCGCAGCGAACGGGGAATACCCTAGGTAAGGAATAGGAATACAACTTATTGATGAGCCAGCTGAAATTTATGGTATTTCTAGTTTTTATCCTATATTGATCGAATGAATAGTACCTACTCTTTAGAAGCCATAGTTTAAGGAAATAACTCTTAAAACTAAAAGTTTATGTTTATTTTGCACTTAAAACTTCAATTTAATTTTTAGTATTATTTCAAGTATTTTAGTTACAATTATACGCAATATAAAATTTAAAAATATATATATAATATATAATTGTAGGTCAAATAAATCATGTTTTAAGTAATTTAAAAAAAATTAACAATATAGGAAAAAAACGAAAACACACTTAAAATAAATTTGAGAAAATATTTGAAAAAATTCTTCTGAAATAAATAAGCTAATTAATATTTAGGCAATTAATCTCTAATATGATATGTGAGTAATTCCAAAATTAATCCCGTTTCCAAATGGTCATTAAATACACCTTAAATGTTTTAGGGCCCCAATAAATCATAGATTTCAAAGAGGTAAATGTGGTAATTACTTAGTTTTCAGTTGTCACCTGGCAACTGCAGCGCACGTAGTAAGGAAATGCGCCAAGTTTTCTGTTTTATTACATTTCTTGTGTGTGTGTTATTTTTTTGTTAGCCAAGTTGAGCTTCTTTAATGTGTCACGGTACCATGACTCAGCCGATTGTCGAGAAAGCGTTCAGCTGAGGTAAAGTAGCTGAAATTACTTACCACTTTCGGACTGGATTTATGTGCGATGCGACCCACAAAGGGCGGAAAAAATAAAAAAAATAAGAAACAAACGAGCCAACAGAAATCCGTGAAAATGTCATCAATTATGGGGCATAAAGTCTGTCCATAATTAAAAGCTGTCAAATCATAATTGGCAGGCAGTTGAGGCTCAACAAGAAAACAATAAAAAAATACAGATACAAATAAAAACTGAACCAGAAACTACAGGCAGTTGCTAACAATGTGTGAATTGCATAATGACGACGGCTGCTGAACCAACGAAATAGATGGATGAATCGACATCAATGTGATGTAAAAATGCCCGAGAAAACCTGGCCCAGTATTGCGTCAAGAAGTGAAGAAGGGAAAAATATAAAAAATATCTCGGAGGGTTTTTCTTTGTCACTCCGCCCAAGGGCGTTGCATAAATTAGCGGCCAGTGTTGCGTCTGCCTTTAACGGGGATTTGAGTGAATGAATTTTTCGGATTTCAGATCTCGGACTTAATTTCTGCAGCTAGCTGATGATGTTTGTTTTTTGTATTTTTCTTCTTTTTTTCTGCTTTTAGTTACATGGCAACCGTCGAGCCGTTCAAATCGCTGAAGCGAAATTGCCAGGCGAAAAATAGTTATATATACACTATCTCAATTTAGTTAACAGCATTTTGAGCGGCTAAAAATAGACAACTATTTTCGGTTTCGGTGTGGTTAATTAATCGAGAGCAGTTCCAGTTACTTTTCTTTCTTTCGAGTGTTGTGACAGAGGTACCCCCGAAAAAATACGAAAAAATCCAAAAATAAGAAGGGAAAAATAAAATAAATATTACATACAATTGGGATTACATGAAATACGAGTACCGTATGTAGGAAGCTCGATGTCGCTTGCTTGGCTTTCACTGCTGCGATCGCTTTAAATCGAGAGCGCGGGGGGAAAATGGAAACTGGAAAAACCACAGAAAAACAACAACAACAGGAGCTGGACGGCAATTAAACCCCGATGCCGCCGATGGACAAACAAAATAACGAAATTGCATTTTACAAGCCAAGACATTGAGACATTCGAGACTCTCGAGAGACAAGACAAGAGTTGAGGATTTTTTCTTGTATTTTATTTTATTTTTGCCATTGCTTTTTCCGCCTGCCAAACGGCATTGAACTTGAAAAACTAGCCAGCGAGGGAAAGAAAATATACAGCCGTGAAAAGACAAAAAGCAATATATACATATAAATAAGAAAACCGAAAGAAATGGCTAGCTAATGAGATTCGTTTTCGGCTGACATCATTTGAATATTTATACTTTTTTTTTTACAAATTCAATTTCTATGCGATTTGATAACGTTTTATTTTCGTAGTTTTTCGTTGCTTGCGAAAAGTGTAAACAAGTTCGTTGCCTAAGTCTTTTGTTTGGCTGCGCGTGTGACAGCGCCATCTGTTGGCCAACGATTGCCAAACTGGAGGCTTTTGGATATATATATCTATATAGCGGCTTCCGCTAGACAATAATGCTTGCATGTTGCTGATTTTCGAGCCAGTTTTTTTACGTTTTTTGTTTGCCAAGTCATGCAACAATGGCAAACATGTTAACAAGAAACCAAAAAAAGCCACTACAATGCTCATCAGTTACCCATCATCCATAAATGGATGAAATGATAGCGCCGCTCCCACGCTTCGATTGTCGATTGTCGTTATCTCGAAATGGTCGAGAGCTGGTTGCTCCATTGCGGATTAGGCTGGGAAAATTGGGATGTTGCGGACTAAACCGAAATAATAATGAGTATAAATGTCGTAAATGTGGTCGTTTGAATTACAATCGATCGACGTTATTTGATACGTTGCTAATGAGAATTCAGAATGCATATTATAATATTTAAAACGAATAATAAAATAAAAGCAAATAATAAAATGATACAATTAAATAATATATAAAATAATAATAAAATTAAAATCTAATCTTGATATTTTGAGCTATCTATTTTATTTATTTAATATTTGTAATACTTGTAACTTATTTTAAAAATATTTATTTAATATTCTTTTCCCTTGCAGTTCTGTTCATATTTCTGTCAAAATATGGGCCAAGAGATATCGCAGCAGCAAAATCAGCCACACCAACAACACCAGCAGCACCAACAACAACAACAACCCCCCCACCACAAACTCAGGCAGCCGCAGCGAAAGAGCTTCAGCGGCATTAGCAACACCAATCAGCCGATCTACACGCCCACCAGTCACCTGTCCACCACCAGCAGCTCCTCCACCACCACCAACGACTACAGCAGCCCCAAAAATAATAATATAAATAACAATAATAATAATAGCAACAACCAGAACTACCGATTGCGTCACAAGTACAATTTGAGCAAGCAAACCTACGAGAGGAGCAAAATAGCAGTGAGTCAATCGGACACCGATTCCCATTACGCCAAGCTAAATCTGCAGAGGAGCAGCTCGCAGAGCTCGGACAGCGGGATATACAACTCGTCGTGCCACTGCAGCTCCATATCCTCGATATCGGTGGTCAGCAGCAGTGCCAGCAGCAGTCGGAGCAGCAGCAGCTCCAGCCGAGGCTGCCCCAGCTCCCTGGTCTCCAGCAAGTCGAATCGGTCGCTGGACAAGCAGAAGCACTACCTGAGCCACCACCTGTACATCAAGTCCTATCTGGATATCTTGGAGGAGGACGAGCGGGCCAGGGCGCACTTCAAATCCGCTCGTCCCGGCGGCATTCGCAACTATACACCCAAGATCTTGGCCAGCGGCGAGTCGAGTTTGTCGGGGAATTGTAGTTCCAATACCAACACCGCTTCCTCTTCGGCTGCCTTGTCATCGAGTGCTCCGGCCCATTGTTACGGACCGGGAAAAAGGTCAAGCGGAGCAGGATCAGCAGGATCAGCAGGAGGAGCAACTGGAACTACGGGCAATCGAAACAGTCAGGAGGATCCGTGGATTTGACAATTACTGAAACATGGCGTTTGGCACAATGACGTCTTTGCTTGGCATGATCCCGCTGCTGGCGATCGGCATGAATTTCTATCGCTATCAAAGCGTCGATCCCGAGAACAAGGTCCAGGAGCCAACCGTCGTAAGTTCAAGTCGAAATTAGTAACTAAAACCTATTAGAATAATTCTAGAACTTGAAAAATATCGAGATTATCGATATATGTCAAAGTTTATCGGAAATATCCATATTTTTCTGACTTCTTTTTTTATAAACATTATTAAAATAATGTATTTAGATTTAATTTATTTTTCCTTGATAACCTCGATATAATCTACGCAATATTGTGATAATATCAAAAATATCGATATTTTTCAAGCTCTAATTCATATAAATCATAAATTTCATCTCTGACTACTCTGAAAATGTGTAAATTTATTATATCGATCACAATCATTACTTTGATGGCATGTTACTTCAACCTAACGTCCATATTATCATAATTATTCATTTCAGTAGCTCACATACCCCGTTAATCATTTAAAATGTATCATATTCGTTTTTAGTATATCATTATCATTATACTAAGGTAACTCTAACTCATCATTTAAAATTCAAAACCTATTCCTAACTATTCAAAGAATCTAATAATATATAATTTATGTAACGTAAAAAAAATTTAATATAAATTCAAATTAGTTTTTAAGTTATCACTGCTTATACTAAATATTCTTTTTCATATCTTCATTTTTCAGATACGTCGTCAGTATGATTTCGTGGTGATTGGCGGCGGATCCGCGGGCGCTGTGGTGGCCAATCGCCTGAGTGAGGTGCGCAACTGGACGGTGCTGCTCCTGGAGGCGGGCGGCGATGAGACGGAGATCTCGGACGTGCCCGCCCTGGCGGGATATCTGCAGCTGACGGAGCTGGACTGGAAGTACCAGACGACGCCCTCGTCCACGCGCCAATACTGCCAGGCGATGAAGGGCGACCGGTGCTTTTGGCCGCGGGGTAAAGTCCTCGGCGGCAGCTCCGTCTTGAATGCAATGGTCTATGTTCGTGGCTCGAAGAACGACTACAACCACTGGGCCTCGCTGGGTAATCCCGGCTGGGATTACGACAGCATGCTCAAGTACTTCCTCAAGTCGGAGGACGTTCGCAATCCCTACCTGGCCAAGACGCCGTACCACGAGACGGGCGGCTATCTGACCGTCCAGGAGGCTCCCTGGCGAACGCCCCTCTCGATAGCCTTCCTGCAGGCGGGCATGGAGATGGGCTACGAGAATCGGGACATAAATGGGGCCCAGCAGACGGGCTTTATGCTGACGCAGAGTACGATTCGCAGGGGTGCCCGTTGCTCCACGGGCAAGGCCTTTATCCGCCCGGTGCGACAGCGTCAGAATTTCGATGTCCTGCTGCATGCAGAGGCCACCAGGATCCTGTTCGACAAGGAGAAGCGGGCCATCGGAGTGGAGTATATGCGGGGAGGCCGCAAGAACTTGGTTTTCGTGCGTCGCGAGGTGATCGCAAGTGCCGGGGCCCTGAATACACCCAAGCTATTAATGCTTTCGGGCATTGGACCGTCGGAACATCTGCAGGAGCACAACATACCGGTTATATCCGATTTGCCCGTAGGCAATAACATGCAGGATCACGTGGGTCTGGGTGGCCTCACCTTTGTGGTCGATGCCCCGCTGACCGTGACCCGAAATCGCTTCCAAACCATCCCCGTTTCCATGGAGTACATACTCAGGGAACGCGGTCCCATGACCTTTTCGGGTGTGGAGGGCGTGGCGTTTCTGAACACCAAGTACCAGGATCCCTCGGTGGACTGGCCGGATGTGCAGTTTCATTTCTGCCCCAGTTCGATTAACTCGGATGGCGGCGAGCAGATAAGAAAGATACTGAATCTGCGGGATGGCTTTTACAATACGGTTTATAAACCACTGCAGCACAGTGAAACCTGGTCGATATTGCCCCTGCTGCTGCGACCCAAGAGCACCGGCTGGGTGCGCCTCAACTCGAGGAACCCACAGCAGCAGCCCAAGATCATACCGAACTACTTTGCCCACCAGGAGGACATCGATGTGCTGGTCGAGGGCATCAAGTTGGCCATCAATGTCTCGAATACCCAGGCCTTCCAGCGATTTGGCTCGCGGCTGCACAACATTCCGCTGCCGGGCTGCCGGCATTTGCCCTTTCAGTCGAATGAGTACTGGGCCTGCTGCATCAAGGAGTTCACCTTCACGATCTACCATCCCGCCGGCACATGTCGCATGGGTCCCAGCTGGGATGTCACGGCCGTCGTGGACCCGAGACTGAGGGTCTACGGGGTGTCCGGCGTTCGGGTGGTGGATGCCAGCATTATGCCAACGATTGTCAACGGGAATCCTAATGCCCCGGTCATCGCCATCGGCGAAAAGGCCTCCGATCTGATCAAAGAGGATTGGGGCGCCCGCAGGGCGAACACTTCATCGTAGTTCTTAGATTGTCTATCGCTAATTTATGTTTTCAACTAGTCAAATGTGGATTAACTGATGTAATTGTATCGCTATGTGCTTTTTTGTTTTATCAACTTCCTCGTTTCGTTCGCCGCTAAATTTATGCTTAGTTATTCGGTTAAGTTAAGTATACGAATTCCCACATACCATTACTTTTTTTTTTTTTATCTTATCAAGCATTTTATTAAATATTTATGTATTTATGAAACAGTTTTCAAGGTGTTTTATTTTGTTGTACATGTCGGCTACTTAATATAAATATGGGGACTTCTTAAAGGATTTTTTTAAATATTTATTTTGGTTTACATGTCGGCTACTTGATTTTTAATGTCAAATACATTTTATCTACATGGGAAACCATTTTTAACCAAGGATTCTCTAATTTACATGTAATATTACATGACAATTGGTCTTAATTTCGCTCTTTTTGGGTATGCAATAATTTTTTAACTACTGAAGAGATATTAAAATAAAGAACAACAAATAAACAAAGTGAAATACACCAGAAACCTTTTAAAAATAAAACTATCTATAAAAAGCTGATAAAAATAGTTATAATGAAAAAACAAATTCATTTGTTGGTTGTTTCAAGCAGGGACCGTAAATAATCATTATTTGAGATTTTTATTTTAAAAGGCCTACTGAGGTTTTTACATATTTTAATCAACAATTTAACTGATTTTTATGCACTTTATAGACATGAACAAATAACAGTTAATTTGCTTTCCAGATTTGTTGAAATGCATATACTTTGTGGACAAGAGTAAAAAGAACGTTATTTTTGACGTTTAAAACAAAATATCACAGTAGTCTTTTTAAAATAAAAATCGTAAATAATGATTATTTACGGTCCCTGGTTTCAAGTAAACTTAGCATATACACAAACCACTAACAAGAGTTAGCTTAGACGTGAACCCCAGAGGAAGTGAAGTCACGAAATTCATAATTTCAATTTAATTTTTCGATTTGCCTTAAGTGCTGGGCGTTTTTTGAAGTCCGCCCCTTTTGGCCAGCTTTCTAGGCTGCCCACTCTTCCGCCTTCCTAAAGCCAAATGTCAAAAATTGCCAGTATAATCAAAAATTCCCCTCCGCGAAAGCCCCTTGAAAAGTATAAACTCTGCATTTATGATATGCTGATGGTTTCCGTATTTCCCCCGTCCTCCTTTTTTTTAGTTTTTTTTTTTCGGGCCGTGGGCGTGGCTTGATAGTCGGGCTTCCGTGTTGCGATCAAAAAAAAAATACAGTTTCGCTTTCGAGCGTTCAAGTGTGCCAAGGTTACCTGAATTTGTGTTGACCACACAGCACACAGAGCATTCGGCACGTTTTATTTCGTAGGTGCCAGTTGAAAGTTTGGGCAATGGCCTGTCGACAATTATCGGCTGCCAGCGAAAAGCCGGACAATTGCGAATTTCGCATGCTACTTCCAGAGAAGCCCTGATAATATTGCAAAAATAATAGTAATAATACCAAAGACCAACAAACGGCAATGAAACGGAGGAGTCTATAAACCACCCAAGGCGATGCCCAGACTTCTTATATAAGGCCCTTTTAGGGGGTCTGCTATACGGTATACAATAAATAGTATTCAGCAGACAGTGGGAAATAACTAATAAATAAATGCAAACAAAGCTCGGGCAAATATTTGATTTGATTTTAACGAAACGACAAGTCATAGCGACCGCATACGAATGGAAAGTGTTATGCCAAAGTTTTGGAGGGGTAGCGGGATGATGACACACTATAAAATTCATTTATGGGGGACACGGCAACAAAGATCGCGGGGACGTGGAGTGAATATATCTGAATATCTGTGTCTGTGGTCAGTGAAACGATGCGTCGGTCAGGCAGAAATTGGGTCATTAAACCGCCGAGAGTTCGATCGATGATTCGATGAGACCCCTTGAAAATGAGCCGGCAGATGAGGTAAGATAGGAAATGCACATAATGTGGGGGCGGGGATTTAAGATGGATGGAAAAAAGCGTTTGTGTATAAATCATGCGTGGATATACGAAAGGTGATATGGACTATCACCAAGTTATGGCCAAGATACAGCAAAAAAAATAAACATAAAAAATTCAAATTTTTACCAAAAACTCAGATACCAAGTTTTCACAAAAAAATAATTCGATTCTTTACCATAACAATGGAAATATTGATCCAAATATGGATTGTCATACCTTTCTGAACTCGTTATTTAATTTGCAATCGATTGGCATTTAAACCTGGACATTTTATTTTTTGGCCATTTTTCGCAAAACCCTTTAAAAAAAATTGAAAACTTGACCAAATTTCATTTTTTTTAAGATCACCCGGAAAGGGTCATGGATTTATTTATTATTTTGTTATCTGTTCAAAACAGTATGTATTTTCATGTAAGACCATTTTTGGCCAAGTTACAGCAAAAAAACAAACAGAAAATATGTATATTTTTGTCAAAAACCAAAATCCCGAATTTCTAAAAAAAAAAAAAAACCAAACCGATTTTTTCGCTAAAAGAAAATATTGATGTAACCCCTTATAAAAAAAAATCAAATAAAGTGAATCATTTGTTTACCACTCATTGGTAATCATTCCGTGTATCTCATCAGTGCGTGTATGCATTGAATCGAAATTAATCATAATACATATCAGGAGGAATTTGCATTCGCTTGAATACCTTTTCTCCCCCTTTTCACCACCAACATCTTGGTCTGTATTATCTCTTCTCCCACATCGTCGTAATCGTCATCCTCTTTAGCTCCATAGTTCAAACAGAGATACGTGATGTCGAACACACGCGACAAATCGCACAAGAAAACGAGAGAAGAAAACGAATCCAAGACTGGTTGGGATTTTTATTTTAGCTTATTTTTTTCAGCGGGAAGAGGCTTGGGGAGCTGCAGGAGGGATTGAATAATCTCTGTTTAATTTCGGTCAATTATGCCGTGCCTCAGTCGGCCGTCCAAGTTGCAATTGCAACGAAGCCAAACCAAAACCAAGACCAAAAAGCAAACCAAACCGAAAAAACCGTACCGATCCGAACCCGAAATCGTTCAAGGCATATAATTTCAATTGCAAACTGGAAAGAGAAGAAGAAAAAAGGGAGGGGAGGCTGAAGAAGGGGGAGGGAGTATGGAGGAGCATTGTCAAAAAAATATCAGACGGGCGGCGGGCTTATGTCATAGATGGGGCAAGCAAGGTGTTAGGTGCCGCGCCTCACGTAGGCAATCAAAATCCAAATCAAAGCCACACAATATCCGCGCAGCCAGCTAACGAGCTTTAATCCCGAGTTAAAGCCACTTGTTGCCCTTTTAATTCGAGCTCCCATTTGGCAGGGAGCCTACCTTTCGCCAGATGTTGCACTTAAGCTGCACACCCCCTCTTCGGATCCGAATAAAAAATACAAAAACAGATCAAATTGACTTTAAGGAGTTTTTAAGCTGGGCGAAAGTTTCGATACCCTTGATAAGGGTATGGGTTTTATTTGATCACTATACAATAAAAATAGTGCATTAAAATTATAAGAAATTAAAAAAAGCGGGAAATTGGTTTATAAGATTTGAAAACCCTTTTAAGATTCCCTGTTCCATCTATAATAACATCAATTAAAGCTAAAATATTTGACTCTCTTAAGATCAGAATAAAAAATTCCAAATATAAGCAAGCTAAAAAATATTAAAATATTTATATTTTTAAACAAATGTACGAATGAAATAATATTATTTTTGGATTTTTTCTTCAAGATGTCAATTTATAAAAAAAAATATTACTTATAATAATAAAAAAAATTAATGTTCTTTGACATTTTTATAGATATAAACTAAATGTTCCTTAAATTAATTAACTTTTCAAGAGCATTCGCAAGTTGGACTGCAAAATGTAACCTTTCTTTTCTATGAGTTGCATTTTTTTGAGGGCGTTGTTACTTAAAATCGCCACATTCCCTTTTCGGCAAGCTTATCTCTCAATGGCTCCACCTCCTGGCCCAAGGCCCCTCTTTATATATAATATGTAGATCCCTCTTCCCTGAGCACTAATTGCACTTTAACACCCAACACACAAAAACGGCGAGTCGAGAAACGAAGCGAAATGGGAAAGAGACAGCAGTGAAATATTTCAACAGCTTACCTAAATCATGTTGTTGCTCTTTACCGTAGCTGTGCTGTTTTTGTTTTTTTCTTAGCTTTTTTGGCTCATGATTACATAAATTATACCCGTTGACAAAACACAGCCAGCCAGGTTGTGCCAGCCAATTGCCAAAGAGATTTCTCGCGGGCGAAGCAAAAACTAAAAAAAAACAGACAGACAGAAGAAAAAAACAAACACACAGATTTTTCTCAGCCATGTTTATGGGTTAATAACTTCATTTGACCATTTTTCGTCTTTGGCTTGGCACTTTTCTGCCGAGTTTGGCATTCGAGGAATGCGGTTACTTAGGTGGAGAGAACTTCCAGCTTTGCAAGATCTTCCAAGGAATTTAGGATTCCTTCATAATGAGCGGAAGTCTTTAATCACATTTTCTTGGATCATTTGTACTGTTTTAGTATACAATGGAAATCCATTATGCTAAAAGTTTTATGACAAATATTTTAATAATTATATTATTTAATATTTTTATTTAATTAATTAATATTTAATTATTTTTTAAATTAAATTTTTAGGTTATTCGATTTTTAGATTATTAAAGTTTGTATATTGGGGAAGTTAATTTCAAAAAATTTTAAAATTGCTTTACTATTTTATTTTAAAAGTAATAAAAATAATCTTAAATTCATTAGTATCAAACTATATTTTTTTAAAAGATTTTTTCTGTAATACCTCGGTTATTTCTTTCAAATCAAACCTCAAAAATGGTTAACCCATTTTTTGGATCATTTAGACCCAATTACCAGCCCCCACTTCTCTTCCTCTTTCTCTATGCGATTTGACCTTCTGCCTTTGTTGGCTTAATGACCGCATCGCATCTTCGTCTTCATTCGTACCGTTATCAAAGCTTCGAACTTGTTGGCCAGCCAACGTGTTCGATGTGCCAATAATATGCAACTCGCGTCTCTGGCTTTTCGGAATTTCGCGGCAAGCTGATCGTTCAGTTGACTTCGTGCAACGCAGCCGCGCAGACGCAGTCAGCGGTTTAAATATTCGATATATATATAAATAAACATACCTAAAGATATATCTTTTTTTTTCAAAAACACATCCAAAGGATCCCGTGGCGTCGGTTTTGTGATCGATGTGCCAAAAGTGCCAGGCTACGTGGGCTAAGAATTGCAAGTAAGCCACATAGAAAAGTGAAGTGAATCGAGAGGTTACAATTTCGAAAAAACACCTGTTGCCGGTTACAAAAAAAAAAATGTAAAAAAAAAGATTAAAAATGAAATGCACTCAAGTGCAAAGTTTTTTTCCTTCATTTGCACAATCCACCCACAAAATGTACAAACCAAAAGAAGCACATAAAACTATGAAATATAGCCGAGATAACAAATAAAAAAGAAGTACCTACAAAGAGCATTAACAATAAAGAAAGAGGGGCTTTGATAAGTAGGCTATATGTTGCAGGCACAGCAGCAACACTAACGGTTGTTCGGGGGATTGTCATTGTGTTGCTGCTGTAACTCTTTATTTTTTCTTTTATTTTCTTCTCTATTTTTTCTGCTTTTTTTTGCAACGCCAAAGACAATAGAAAGATTTGTCTTTGCGGCATTAACTGGCAGCAGCAACATCTGCAACAGCAACAACAATTGTTTCTCTATGAGCATTATGCTCTCGTGTAGACATAAAAGAAATTTGCATTTACATTAAAAAAGAAATGAGGCGTAGGGAGACGCCGGCCACGCCCATTTCGCATAACTTCAGCGCACAGCAGCAGCAGCAACAACAATGCACAGCAGCAACAGCAGCAACATCTTCGATAACAGCAGCAACACTAATGGCTTTATGCCAGCGGGCATTAGTTAAAAGGAGGTTTTTCAATCCCAACTGCTTACTTGATTAAAAACATGCATTAAAACTCATTGAAGCCATTTGCAAAAGCATAAAGGATATTATTTTGCCAGGCTGCAAGCTAATAATAATTTAATAGTCATTTATTTACCAACAAATTTAAGTTATTTTTAGCTTGCAAAATAAATGAACCTTTTTTAATTATTAAATTAGTTTTCATTACATAAATGTTAAAAACCATTTTCAACTTTTCTTTTTATAGTAACAGAAATTAATGTTTTTTGAAAGCAATCTACCAATAGTCGTAAATAAACCTATTTTATTCGATTTGTTTGGCTTAATCGCCAGTGCATAGTTTTAATTAACATTTAGCACGCATTCAAATACACTGAAATTAATTAGTATAATTTTCTTCGTATAAATATCCAGATTCAGTTTGTATTTACTTAATTTCCTAGATAATATATAGGAACATGTAAATTTAAATCAGGTTGTTATAAAAAAATTCAAATAATATTTCTTCCAGTGCATCTGCAGTTTGCTGCAAGCATTTCCCTGGGTGTTGTTGCAGCTAAATAAAATTTGCCGCTAGGTGATTAAAACATTTTACTTAGCCATGAGTATTATAATTAATTAATTGCACCATTTGAATACAGTTAAACGGGAATGGGGATGTTTTTTTTTTTTTGTTGGCCCAAAATCAAGTCATTGACACAATGCCGTGTCTTTCGCCAAAGTTTGAAGAATCCCAGCCGGCAAATGACTTTGCCACCTGCTGCTGGCCAAGGTGACTGACACCAAATGACACCCAGTGACATTGTAATCATGAACCCAACGACTTTATAGCGATGTCGAGTGGCCAAACAACCAAACAACCGACTCGCCGAGTGAATGACTGAGTTACTGAGTGACTGACTGATGTCTGCGTTTGTTTACACCAAATTAGCGCACAAAATCGGCAAGCAAATCACCTTAATTGTCTCAATCATCTCATGATTAAGTGCTTGGATGCGTGGGTGCCAAAAACTTGAAGCTGGCCAAGTGATCAGCGATCAGTGATCAGTGATCATGGCCTTCAGCTGGACAGGAAGTCTAATTGGCTTACATCAAATCAAACCCATTATGTTCACAACAATCTGTAGACAGCTGTGTACAAAATATTAGTAAATATTTTATTTTGGAAATATTTAAGATATATTTATGTATTTCATATTTTTGTTATTAACAATCTTTAGCATTTTCAATTGTTAAATAACTAAAATTGTTTTGTTTTGTTATTTAGAATATTTAGAACATATTTTAAATATTTAAAAAGAAATTTGAGAAAAAGAAAAGTCACACTTTTACAAATTTAAAAAAAAAAAAAAAGTGTTATGTTTTTCTTAAAATTGAAAACATACAATAATACCCCATAAATGGTATAGTTTTTCCAATTGTATGCAAATTTTTGTAATATTTTTCTACAATATTTTCCAAAGATCTGCAAATATTTATTACTATTATTTTGAAAACAGCTGTTGATGTACATTTTTTGGCTCGGGCCTAAAAACAACGCTCTTTTTTTCTGTACAGTAATGACGCATGTCAATAGCAGCAGGAGGATGAAATGGGGGGTGGTTGGGGGGGATGATAACTCCGGGCCAGGCCAACAGGTTTACCTGGTCCCGGAGCCGCAAAGTAAACTTGTTTGCTGTCGCTGCTGACCCAATTTCGTGCAACTTTTTTTTCGACATTTTTACAACAATTTTTGTTACTGCTGCTGCCCCGCGGAGGTTTTTCGCACAAAACAAATCACAAACAACAAAACAGAAAACAGATAAAAAAACAAAACAAACCCTATGAAAAGCTGAAAAACACTGTCGAAGAAATGGACCCGCAGCTTCCACTTTTTGTAGATTTAAACTGAGATAGAGATACCGAATTCGAATCCGTATCTGCGTATCTGCGCCAGGAAAGGTTCACTTTGATAGCCACCTGCTTTTGCGGTTGGCCCAGTCTCGATCTCAGTCTGAGTCCCACTTCACTGGCCTTTCACTTGGCCACCGAAAGAGCGGCTTTTGCGGTTGGTAATTGAGGTGATAAGAAATCGACATTGAAATTGATTATGTCAGAGTGGCCGGGTTTCGAGGAAAAATACCAGAGAGAGTGCAGAATCTCGGTTATTTATCATATAAAAAAAAAGAACACACCCATAAAAACCAGCCATAAAGTGATAAAAACTGCTCCACGAATTTAATTACAACCTTTGGTAATAAAAAGCGGTTAACTAGCATTTTCTAAACACACTTAACAAGCCACAAAAAATAATGTCAAATGTCACAAGTTCTTAATTTTAAGAAAACTTGTTGAAAAGGAAGTCACAGTCCCTATTTTTTATATTACTTATTAGAAAAGAATTAAAAAATTGTTTTGATTAAAGAAATCACTTTTTAAATAAAGTTAATTAATTAGTATTTTATGAACTCGTTTTAATTAGAGCTTTTTATAGGCCGAATTCAGCCTAATTTGTACCTTGAACAACTTAATGAAGCTGTAAAGCGAAGCAAATCGATTTGTTTTATTAAAACGAAGGTATATCGTTAATCACTCGAATGAAATAGCCGGCACTTCCCTGTCTTTCGCCACCACCTGTCACTTTTATTTTTTTTTCTCTAGCCCCCCGGGCTTCCCTTCACCTGTCTATCGGTCTGCCTGTCCCTGTATATCTCACACTCATTATAACGGGCATGTAAATTGTAAGTTTCTCACCCACCACTCCTAAAAAAAAAAAAACAGAAAAAAGCCACCCCCAAAGAAACCCCTCTCGTATTTGTAAACTGGATAGACAGGCGCTAAATGCCGTTGGATATTTCAACACCCGCTCGATAACAACTCAACAACAACTATGGATACCAAACATACCATGTGTCAACAGCTCCCTCGGCCAAATATAGCCAGAGAGCTATTGAGTCTCGATCTGGGCTTGAACCCCAAAAACTCAGCTCAGCTCAGCTGAGATACAAGAAATGCTCGCAATACAATCGAAATGAAACGAAACCCATTTCGTATATCTTTGCCCAATCGAGCACGCCAATTACGAATAGCCCAAAAATCCGAAAAAAAATACAAAAGTAAAAAAAATACGATAGGTCCGAAAAAGTTACGTCAGTGGATCGAGTATGCGAGTATTGTTGTAATCCAACCGAAAAAACGGCCGACGAATTTGAAAGACAAACAAATGAAAGATGGTTGCATTTACGTGGCTTACATTATAAACCGAAAACGAAAAGCCGCTAACAATCCCCCTTTGTCGCTATTGGCCGCAATAGCGTCAAGGTCGTCGCAGTGTTAACATCCCAAATTGGTCAGGAAATATCAACGATTTTGGGGGAGGGAGGGAGATTAGTGCAATACAAACAACTGTTGAAACCTTTGTTGCATTCAACAAGGCAGTTAAGCAAATCAGTTGGAAATTTGTTAATATTTTTTTGGTTTTTTTGAACAACCAGAACATGCAAGAAGTTGGGCAAACGATAATAGCACTTCTTGGTTGGTTAGACATATGCAATTTTGGCTAGATTATGTTGGATTTAGGATTTTGCAATCTAAAAAAAAAAAATTTTAATGCCTCTTAACCAGGGACCGTAAATAATCATTATTTGAGATTTTTATTTTAAAAAGACTACTGTGATATTTTCTTTTAAACGTAAAAAAAACGTTCTTTTTACTCTTGTCCACAAAGTATATGCATTTCAACAAATCTTTAAAGCAAATTAACTGTTATTTCTTCATGTCTATAAAGTGCATAAAAACCAGTTAAATTGTTGATTAAAACTTGTAAAAACCTCAGTAGGCCTTTTAAAATAAAAATCTGAAATAATGATTATTAACGGTCCCTGCTCTTAACTATTTTCGAAATTATTTACGAATTAATGTTCTTTTTTTTAGATTTTTATGTCAAGCTGTTCTGGTTGATCTTGGCTACTTTCGGTTTTTTAATTTGGAATTATATTAATATAGATGATATGGACCATTTCTAACACACTTTTCTTATATTTCAGTTGGCACAACGACGAGCACCAGAAAAGCACACAAAATACAACCTACAAGGATAGAAAGGGTTCAAGTTCAAGGATCAAAGTAACCAACAAAATTTTTTCTACAAGAAGAACCTAAGAAGCAGATAAAATAGAACCAGAAGATTATCAAAAGTGAAGTTGTGAAAAAGCAGAGGCATAAATCTGGATAAATAAAGGAGGAGGATTTTCCGAAACCCTAGAAGAAAATCGGGCGACAACAGAGCCCCGCCATGCACAAAAGAAAGAAACGCTAGATTTTAGAGAGTGTGAAGAAGAAAGAGTGTTACAATACAGTCCCGAAGAAACGAGAGGTAATACCTAATAATCTAGAAACTGGAACCCAAGTAGAAAGCCCGAACCCCGAACCAACATGGTGCTCAATCTGCTGTTCATAACCACTGTGATCAAGTCCACCTTCGGTGTGGTGACCACGGGCCTCTGGCTGATTCCCCTGATGCTGGCGGCCATCACCTACTATCGCTACGATGCCGTGGATCCCGAATCGAGGCCTTTGGACCAACTGAATCTCTATCCCGAGTACGATTTCATAGTGGTGGGCAGCGGATCGGCGGGAGCTGTGGTGGCCAATCGGCTGAGCGAGGTGAGGAAATGGAAAGTGCTGCTCATCGAGGCCGGTCCCGATGAAAACGAGATCTCGGATGTGCCATCGCTGGCCGCCTATCTGCAGCTGAGCAAACTGGACTGGGCCTACAAGACAGAGCCCTCGACGAAGGCCTGTCTGGGCATGCAAAATAATCGCTGCAATTGGCCGCGGGGTCGTGTCATCGGCGGCAGTTCGGTGCTCAACTACATGCTGTATGTGCGGGGAAATCGCAATGACTACGATCACTGGGCCTCGCTGGGCAACCCGGGCTGGGATTACGATCATGTTTTAAAATACTTTAAAAAATCCGAGGATAATCGCAATCCCTATCTCGCGAACAACAAGTATCATGGTCGTGGTGGACTGCTAACGGTTCAGGAATCCCCCTGGCATTCCCCCCTGGTCGCCGCCTTCGTGGAGGCGGGCACTCAGATGGGCTACGAGAATCGTGACATTAATGGCGCCCAGCAGGCGGGATTCATGATAGCCCAGGGGACCATAAGACGCGGATCGCGTTGCTCCACGGCAAAGGCCTTCCTGCGACCCATACGAACTCGCAAGAATTTCCACCTCTCGATGAACTCCCATGTGACGCGCATCATCATCGAACCCGGCACGATGAGGGCCCAGGCCGTGGAGTTTGTAAAGCATGGCAAAGTCTACAGGATAGCTGCTCGCAGGGAGGTGATCCTTTCGGCGGGGGCCATCAACACCCCACAATTGATGATGCTATCGGGTTTGGGTCCCCGGAAACATCTCGAAAAGCATGGCATTCGAGTGCTACAGGATCTGCCGGTGGGCGAGAATATGCAGGATCATGTGGGAATGGGTGGATTGACTTTTTTGGTCGACAAACCCGTGGCCATTGTCCAGGATCGCTTTAACCCGACGGCCGTGACCTTTCAGTATGTGCTGCGCGAACGGGGACCCATGACCACTTTGGGCGGCGTGGAGGGACTGGCCTTTGTGCACACACCCTACTCGAATCGCAGTCTCGACTGGCCGGACATTCAGTTCCACATGGCACCGGCTTCGATTAATTCGGATAATGGAGCGCGTGTGAAGAAGGTTTTGGGCCTCAAGGAGTCTGTGTACCAAGAGGTCTATCATCCGATTGCCAACAAGGACAGTTGGACGATAATGCCGTTGCTTTTGAGACCGCGTTCAAGGGGTTCCGTGAAGCTGCGCTCGGCGAATCCCTTTCACTATCCCATCATCAATGCCAACTACTTTGACGATCCGCTGGATGCGAAAACCCTGGTGGAGGGAGCCAAGATAGCGTTGCGAGTTGCAGAGGCGCAGGTCTTCAAGCAATTCGGCTCGCGATTGTGGAGGAAACCGCTGCCGAATTGCAAGCACCACAAGTTCCTGTCCGACGCCTATTTGGATTGCCACCTGAGAACGATTTCGATGACCATCTATCATCCGTGCGGCACTGCAAAAATGGGACCCGCCTGGGATGCCGAGGCGGTGGTGGATCCTCGCTTGAGAGTCTACGGCGTCCGCGGGCTGAGGGTGATCGATGCCAGCATTATGCCGACGATTAGCAGCGGCAACACCAATGCGCCGGTGATAATGATAGCGGAGAAGGGCGCCGATCTCATCAAGGAGGATTGGCTAACGAATCCCGAGTACAAGGTGAAGCGACAGGCCCAGAGGCCACGAGATGCCGAGGCGGCTGGGAGCAGCCTTCAAGGGAGCATCGTCGCCCTGCCCGCCAGCAATGTCAGCAGTCCAAGTGACAATTTCATCGGTGACAACATCAGTGACATCAGCAATAGCAACAGCAGTCAGATAAACTCAAGCGACAGCAGCAACTTCACACTCAACTATGCGGATAGTTAGGATAGTTCAGTCCACCAGAGGGGATTTACATCCAGATTTTGTGCTCAGGGCTCCGTTAGCTTTAAACGACGAGAATCAACACAAAATGTTTGCCATTGCTTGAGTAACTCGTTGAGATGATGGTAACTCTTCAACAAAAGCCAGAATGTGATTGAAAAAAAACACTCTAAAGCTTGGGAATTCAAAGCTATCTATGAGTTTATCTTAATCCTGGTAAACCTAATACGCAAGTCATTTTGTAATGCCCTTAAAAATATTTACAAAATTCTACTTTTGAACCAGAAGCTGTACACTTCTGCTTCCACTTCATGACACCATTAAAAACTCTTCAAAGCTCTTCATAAAAGGTTTATATCTTAAACTTCAAGCTGTTGTTGGTTCAAGTTTGTCTGTTATTAAGACAATGATTAAACCAAAAAGTGCTCTTCCTGAAAAGTCCACACAATTATTGCGGAAGAGGCAAATAATTGTTCTTAACCTCGAAATATCGAAACTCCCCACTCAATCTCATCGCATGACGTCCTCAAAAACTCAACGATCCATTGCAAGACGGAATCCAGAAATCGAGTCATAGATTAAATGCTTCAACTATCCTGTAATTCTAGATATTTTATGTAGTTATTTTAATTGTTGTCCTCTTTTTTTTTGTGTATATGTATTATTTATGCTAAGCTAGATTTAGCTAATTTAATATTGTTTGACTATTTTTAGGAAACACCCATAAACGCATTATTTAAATGACATTCTATTTAATAAATTAAATTTGCATAAACATTAAAGCCGAAATGGTTGTTATTTTCTGACAGCCGAAAAGCAGGCAACGGAAATGAGGTAAGCAAATTGGTTTTGGGCCAAATGAAAAGCAAAGAGAAATGACTCATCGCGTGGTTGGGTGTATTTTGTAGCTGCTATTAATTCGAGTATTTCTACGTGCCGTCTTTATTTTAATGAAGGGATAGTAGGCAAACGCTATATAAAAGCTACAGGCAATGCGAAATTCAATTAGATTTATAAGAGTAGAATTCTGACTATTTATAAATATTTCTTATATATTTTTAATACATTTATTATATGTTTAAAATATTTTTGTATATATATTATTTTATATATTTATATATATTTATTACTCATAATATATTTCTTATATAATTTTTAGTAAACACCTTTGTTATCAAAAACAGATATAGTATTACCCCTAATCCACAGTATTTAATTACATCATAGACTGTATTTGATTGATTACATCACACAAGAGAGTGAGTGACAACTGAATGAACCCACCCTAAAGTGAATATATTCACGAAATCCACTCCATAAAACGGCCCTGCCCATTTAGCTTTATGCTGGCATTTGAGGGTTTATATAGCCTAACATCTGGGCGCGGTGGTAAAAAGACACAACAGCACGCAACATTCTTGTGTAGAAAATATGTATGTATATATTTAATTACCAGTAGACAAGCCGGGTTTTTTAACTTGTCGCAGCAACGCCCATCGAAAATATAAAGCTATTAACTAGCTTAGACAATCGAAGTGTTATAAATCATCTTTCTGACAGCCCCAAAACCACAACCTTGGTCAACAATTTTCATGTGAGTATATCGGAAGCCGGAAATGGCCAACGGAACTTGGTCTAATCAACTCGAATTATAATTTGGATCTCTTCGTTTTCCGGATGTGGATCGAAGATGTGCTAAGTGATCGGTCCCTGTTCCACTTTGTCCACGAAACGTTCTAATTCCCCGGCCAAAAAAAATGTTTATTATAATTTCAACTGAAGCTTAGCTCAAAAACCAGATTTGATGGCTTATTAATGGAAAAAATCCAAGACAGCGCGCATTTACAGCAAAACCTGGTCAACAAATCACACATTTTAATGGACAAGCGGTTCGGGCAAGTTCAAGGTCTAATTTCGTTAAAGGTAGCTTTTTCTTTTTAGGTATTTTTGGAAGCCAAGTGGTGGGCTCATCTTTCATTCATGACTAGTAGATTAAAATGTATTCTTCTAAAAGTGGTATATTACGTATACGCACTGGGGCCTTACAATTCAGAAGCTGTTAATTTTTATTTATACAGTAATTTCTTCAATAAATTTAATTGTATTTAATTAGGCTTTTAGCCTAAATTCTTTTTTTTTAACATTTGAAAAAGTTGTAATAAAAAAAAAAATATATATATATATAAATAACGTATACGCCCTGTATAACCTTTAATTTAAGAGGGTATCCACTAGTCGTATAAAGCGGAACTGCCAATTTCTGACACGTTTTGTGTAATTATTTCAGCCACGCCCCCAAAACAAAAAAGAGTTAACGAGACCAGAGTAAACGAAATGGAGACCCAATGTCTACGTGACCGATTGCAATTTCGCCACGAGATCAGTTAACTTGGATTTGCCCTAGACATGTGTGTCCACACGCATATTTTTCTCGGCCAAAAACGCAATAAACCCAAGCGTATGCAAAATTGGCCAGAGGGTCTGCAGAAATCGCAAAAATCGAATGGGCAAACTGGGTCAATGGCCAGCGGAAGTATCTGCGGATCATCTGCTGGACAAAAAAAAAAACACAGATAACTTCCGGATCGATGTGTTACCGTTCCAGTTAGAGGTCAGTCAACTTGTTGTGATGATGTCCGTTAGACAAGCGATCGTGTCCGAGCAGTTGACCCAGACCCAATGAACTTGATCTCTGGCTCGGTGTTCGGTGTTCGGTATTCACTTATTTGCATACTCCAATACAAAATATCCAAGCAGCCACTCACCTGTAAATGAAAAAGAAGAGAAAAAAATATTAATTACGATCGATAAATCATGAAAAACTAAGAATAACCCATTGTAAGGGATTACAGCATAAATATTCATGGTAACATGTCAGCATTCTTTTTTTTGTCGATCTAGCGGAAGTGTCACGACTTTGTTGCTATTATTATCATTTCACGGCCCTGGTTCGTGATTAGTGACCCATATACACGATGTGAAGTGCCCCTGCGGACCTGAACAGCCAGTTTATTTAGTTGTTACAAAGGTGCCAATCAAGTTTCAATTCAACCAAAAAATTCTTAGTCACTTTGGCGGCGACCTTGGGGAACGGAAATGTTGGCCAGGAAATTGGGCTAGGCATTGGGTTTTATGATTCAGTGGTAAGTTTATATGATTGTTATTAAGAACTAGTCTCTGATTAGCATAATATTAAGTGGAAGCTGGTGAGTGGAATTTACCAGGGTTTTAAACCATTAGTTTTAAAGAACATATTGTTTAAAATTACTTTAAATTCTTTTATTTATATTATATAATTTTTTTTAATTTATTTATAGCTTGTTGGTTTGATAATCTTGATCCATGAACCCCTGTTCCATCATCATTGCGCTGATATTTCCGATCAACTTCCTGACTTCATCAAGTATTTCTTTTCTTTTTTTTTGTGGAACTGAGTGTTGGCTTCACGTACTCAATTGGCCATTGATCACAGCCATCGCACCGAATAGTGGTCTTCAGATCAAATAATTGCACACTTTAATGAGCTTTAGTGCTTGGCAAACAATAATGTTATCTGGCCAAACTTTGGCTGGGCTCGGATATTTGGATTGTATCTGTATCCATTGGTGCGTTGGCGTATAGCAATTATGCGCATTATGATCGTATCAAAATGTTATTCAACTTCTGTTCTGCTTTGTCATGTCAATCATCGGCAAATGAATCGATTTGTTGCGGCTTTAGAGTCCACTTTGTGGCGGGGGAAGTCTCAACAAATTGATTCATTCGCTCGGCTTGACTTCCTACAATTCAAAAAATGCGTCGGTTTTTTTTCTTTGTAGAGCAATCGTAGAAATCTCACAAAATGAAATAGTATTTGAAGTGAATAATCGATTGGGAAATCTGAAGCCATCGATAATGACTCAAAACGATAGTTAAGAGAACAATTTGAAAGAAAACCCTATTAAGTGATCGATATTTTCCCAATATTGTTTCGATAATATCGATATTTTTAATAAATAATCGAAAAATATCAAAATTTCGATTTTTGGTTAATTTTTACTATTAAGACCTTTCCTTTTCTATGTCACAGTTCATATTCCTTACACAAATCGGCATTAATCATTGGAAGAATAAGTTTTTAGAATACAAAAGATTTTACAAAGTGGTTGAACTTTCAATTTTTCGCGATTTAACCGGGATCTTGGAAAAATTTCCCATTAGATGGACACCCTTTGGCTGGGAGCCCGGACTTTGCCAGCAGTTCTTGTACCAGGCGGCCTGCTGTCGGCTCAATCCAAAGCCGGCGGCGATCCCCATTGAACACTGATGCAGGCTGCGGGCCAGGAGACGAAGGAATCCACCAGATCGATGGGAAGGAATCGGTTCCGGAAGGACGAAGGAGTTTAAGGGGATATGGGGCCGCTTTCGAGACCTCAATTGCATCATGGCGGCCTCATCCATTCCATCGTCGCCGGCATCATCGGTATCCGCACCCGCATCATAGCCATTATCCGAGGAACTGCAGTTTGGAAACTGAACACTGGATGCACTGGGCATCGCACCCAGAGTTTCAATGGAATCCCTGTTGCTATTGGTTTTGTGCAAACTCTTCTTTAGATATTTCCTCGAACCACTCGGCTCGCTGTCGGAACTCTTGGAACTCGAGAGTTTTCTGCCTTGGACTCCCACCAGTTTGGGATTACTCCTAATCCTGGGCTTACGTTCCCTAACAGTTGGTCTGGACATTTTCCCCCAAAGTTTCAGGTTTAATTTTGATTATTTTGGAATTTTGATTGCTCAGATATGACATACTCCAAATCAAGATATGTATTTAAATAAAAGCTAAGCCAAAATGGAATTTTATATATTAAATAAGTATAATAAATTCATATATATTATACAATTTATTGATTTAGTAGAAACAAATTATTTCCGTTTTTTTTTTCTTTTTTTTTAGATTTTTATATCAAGCCGTTTTGAATTCCCCTAAGTCTACCCGTTTTTAAAAGGGTTTCCTTTTATAGTTATCAAAGAAGATATAATATTACATTAACTATTTCTCTATTTTTTTCAAAACGATTTAAAAACATTTAACTCGAAAATGGAATTTTCCGTGTGAGCCCCTCTAATGACCACAGCAAAAAGTTAATGCCTGTAATAAATCTGCAGATAATGAACGTATACAGAAGCTTGTCGAAATAGGAAACACCCACTTCGTAAAACAGACCTATTAACATTTTTACACGAAGGTAGCAAAGTGTAAAATGCAAAAAAAGAATAAGTTTTGTCATCATTATTTATTTTTGGATTTATGTATATTATTCAATGCAAAACTAAAGGCCCATTCTTTTGCAACCTTGAATAGTTATTTACCACTAGATTTGGCTCGATTCATTCATACAACACAGCGAGCCTCTTAGTTTTCGCAAATATTTACTGGTTTTAAATGTAACAAAACGCGAGAAACTGGTTTTTGGTTTTTGTTTTTGGCTTTAATCAGGAATCGGATCTTTAAACAGTCTTTATTTTTACCGGCAAATATTACCACATCTAAAACAGTGTCTATGCAAATTTAGTGAACGAATTGCTATGTCATGATGATCGAACGCAACAATTAATCGCCAAAATAAAAATCCCATAAGACGCGTTTTATGGTTAAGTTAAGAACATTTTATGGCAAGCACATTCTCAACATCACTTCTGCCAGTCATTCGGCAGATTGTCATAACATCAGCTATATCAACATAGATTATATTTAATTACAAGATAAATATGAAATCCTTCGTTTGGGTGATTTGACATCCTGTTGTTAATAACCGAATGCCATGGGCCAGCTGCCAATGAGTGTCAAAAAACCACTAAAGACATGGTCGAGGCCCCAAAATAAAAATTGTCAGTCTTAGTGCAAAGAGCAACTTGGCCAAAATCAGCAGTTGCCAACTACGAAAACTCGGTCAAAGACAACGAGTTTGCTTAAATTCTTGACTTTATGCGAACAGAAACAGTCGTAGCTGCTGATTTTGCGCCAGCACACAATACCTATCGATAGTAAGAGTCGAAGCTTTAATTGCCGTTAGCAGATTGCACTGAGCGAAAAGCCGAGCAAGTCGCTAAGTGGTTAATTTAATATCTAAATGGTTTGCAATACAAGGAAAAAAACTGGAAACGGTTTATTATTATTTATTATTACTGAAAATAATTTAATCAACAACCTTACTTAATTTCTAAGATTAATATTCTTGACTTAGTTAGCTAGTTTATTTAAGAACTCGCTATTACTGATGGAATAAAATAATAAATGTAAAATATTTCCTTGGAAGACACCCTACTAAATAGTTTTAAAGGTGAGTTTATAAAGATCAAATAAATACGGATACGGATTATATTTATAAATGTTGTAAAAGAAAAATATCAAGTATTTTATAAAGAATTCGGCTATAACTGATGGATTAAAAATATAAATAATACTTGAAACACCCTACTAAATACACATGAAAGTCAGTAAATTCTATAATTAAATCCTTTTTTATTATATTTGCATATTGGTAATTTTTCTCAGTGCATTTAATCGAATGGCAGCTCAACGAACTTGAGGCCCGCGCGAATCGCAGACGAATTGCGAAATTGGAAGCCGCAGTGCTATTGCAGCCTTGACTCCAAAGTACCGGTCGTTCTTGAATGTCAACGGTTTGGTTCTTGATTGCCGTTGGCCCTCGGAAAAGGGTTCTTCTTATTTACCGCGAGCCTCATTTGTATGCCAGTCAGGTGCGGCTCCTTCGATGATATACTAGGCGATGTACTAGCATCTCCCATCCTGGAATCGGAATTTGGAATGTCCTTCGACTAACCATATACCATATATTCCATCAGAACGACGACGTCGACATTTTGGGGGCGGAGAACACATCAAAAAACCATTAAGCACCTTTTTAATTTATTTTTATTTTGTTTTTGTTTTTGCCTTTGGTTTTCCTTTAGTATGTCATACGGTTGCGGTCGGCTGGCCAAGTTTACTTTGCCAAGTTGAAAACACTCACGAGTGGGCCGGGGATTTTGGAATTTTTCACAGCGTCTGCCAAACTGACTGACTGCCAATCGACTCTCTGGGGCTCTCCCATTCTAAGTTCACGAATTCACATGCAAGCGGAAATAATTACAAAGATTATTCGCTAAACAATGAGGCAAAAACGAAGAAAAGACAAACATTACATGCCTACAAGTCCATTCACCATTTACTGGTAACTATAATTACATAGAAGCTACAGATGATCGTTTGCCCGGAAACAAATCAATACATTAATGAATGCACGGTTTTTACATGCGTTCATTAGCTGCAGAGATTTATCACTAAATATCTTATCAATTGATTTCTAGCGATCTCTTACTAAAGTGAAGATTGTTTAAAAAAGTTTAAAATTATATTTAAAATTAAAAACATTTTTTATATTTTAAGAAATAATTTTATCTAAGAAAAGTTTTGCATATATCACCAATATAAAAATCTTGGTAAATAACTTTGATAATTATATTTTTCCAGTTCCGTCATGCCAGATTTACACCAATATTTCCTACTTTATATATCAACTATAATACTTTCATTACACTTGACAATATTTATATTTAAATTCTAGATATTCAAGATATTCTGTTATTCCGCTAATGAAACTGATATTATAATAATAGCACTGCATCGTCACCTCTAAATTAAAATCGATGTTATTTTCCTCTGGAGCTTACTTATTAGATCAGACCCGTTATTACGTGATTTCAGTATTCAGCACACAATTCCCAGTGCATTTGGGATGGAATGCTTACGATCTTTGATCGATCGATCAATTACACAAAATGATATTCCAACAATCTGTATTCTGAGTTCTCTCTGTCTCCGGTTGAAAATGGTTAAGACGGATGGTTCGGACCAAGAGCCGTAATTGTCAACAGTGCAGGGCCAATAGTTTTTTTTTTTTTTTTTGTAGATGCAGTTTCCCCCAGCCTCTAAGTTTTAGTTCTGCTTTTAGCTCAACGGGCCCAGTCGATCGCGGCAGTCGAGTGAGTCCGGCTGCAAGGTGATGAAGCTCCAATGACTTCGCCACGGAACCCGAACCTCACAATCAGAATAATTCTCGGCCTGTGGCTCTTGGGTTGGGGATTAGTTTCCGTGCAGGTTCTTGCCCAGAATGTGGTCTTCGATATGCTGGAGATCTATCGCCGCGGCCAGCGGCAATTGGATCTGGAGAATCTGGACGAAGGCCAGCCGCTGATGGCGAAATATGATTTCATAGTGATTGGAGCTGGAACAGCGGGTTGTGCCTTGGCCGCCCGCCTCTCGGAGAATCCGAAATGGAGGGTGCTCCTCTTGGAGGCCGGTGGCCCCGAGAACTATGCCATGGACATACCCATAGTGGCGCATCTCCTGCAGCTGGGCGAGGTGAACTGGAAGTACCAGACGGAGCCCTCGCAGAGCTACTGCCTCGCGATGAATGGGAATCGTTGCAATTGGCCGCGTGGCAAGGTCGTCGGTGGCAGTTCGGTGTTGAACTACATGATGTATACGCGAGGCAATCGCAGGGACTACGATCGCTGGTCGAGATTGGGCAATCCCGGCTGGAGCTACGAGGAGCTGCTGCCCTATTTCAGGAAGTTCGAGGGCAGCTCGGTGCCCGATGCCGAGGAGGATTACGTGGGTCGTAATGGGCCGGTGAAGGTGAGCTATTCGGAGACCAGAACCAGGATAGCCGATGCCTTTGTCGAGGCCTCCGAGGCGGCGGGACTTCCACGAGGGGATTACAATGGAGAGTCGCAGATTCGGGTGTCCTATCTGCAGGCGAATATCTACAATGAGACGCGGTGGAGCTCAAATAGAGCCTATCTGTATCCCATTAAGGGAAAACGTCGGAATCTGCAGGTGCAAAAGAATGCCTTGGTCACGAAAATTCTCATTGATCCCCAGACAAAAAGCGCCTATGGGGTGATGGTAAAGATAGGAGAGGGTAAATCCCAGAAGATCCTGGCCCGAAAGGAGGTCATCCTGTCGGCGGGAGCCATCAATACGCCGCAATTGCTGATGCTCTCGGGTGTGGGACCCTCGAAACATCTGCGGGAGATGGGAATTAAACCTCTGGCGGATCTGGCCGTGGGCTACAATCTCCAGGATCACATTGCACCGGCGGTGAGCTTCCTGTGCGATGTGAATTCACTGCAAACGAGCGAGATGTTCAGCGTGGAGGCGATGGCCCAGTTCCTCCAGGGACGCGGTCCTCTTCGCATTCCCGGCGGCGTGGAGGCCATCTCCTTCTATGCCCTCGATGATCCCCGGAACTCCGATGGTTGGGCCGATATGGAACTCTTCGTCGTGGGCGGCGGACTGCAAACGAATTTGGCTTTACGTCTGGCACTGGGCATCCAATCGGATATCTATGAGAATATGTTTGGCGAACTGGAGCGAAGGAATGCCAATGGCTTCTTGATATTTCCCATGATTTTGCGCGCCAAAAGTCGGGGACGCATCAAGTTGAAGAGCCGAAATCCCGAGGAGCATCCCAGAATCTATGCTAATTACTTTGCGAATCCCTATGATATGAACATCACGGTGAGGGGAATTGAGAAGGCCGTGAGTCTATTGGATCAACCGGCATTCAAGGCAATTGGGGCAAGGTTATTCGAGAAACGCATACCGAACTGCGGGAAATACAGGTGGAGGAGCAGCGCCTACTGGGCCTGCTATGCCCGCCACTTCACCTTCACCATCTACCACTATTCGGGAACGGCAAAAATGGGTCCCCGGGCGGATCCCTCGGCGGTGGTGGACGCCCGGCTGCGGGTCCACGGAATCGAGAGGCTCCGGGTGGTGGACGCCAGCATAATGCCCTACTTGGTGTCGGGCCATCCCAATGGACCGGTGTACCTGATAGCCGAGAAGGCAGCCGATTTGATCAAAGAGGATCATGACTAAAGTTAAGGGGGGAAGAACATTATCCTTTGGGGTTTAATGGGTGATTTTTAGTTCTTAGTAATATAATATTCCTTTATTTTGAGTGATTTCTAGTGAATTAAAGATGAAAAGACAGTATATAATTTCGTAATTCAAAGTATAAAAGTTGTAACAAAAAAAAAATAGTAAAAAAAAAAAAATAAATAAATAAAACAAGTAAATTGGTAATTAATTCTTATTAGTGATTCCTATCCTGAGAAACAACTATTAGTTTGATCATTAGCGAGTTTGTATTTTCATAACTGTGGTTTGTAAAATCAAAATTCGAAAGATAATATTTTTGCAGTGCTAATGATCTATTTAATTTTTTATTTTTTTTTTTTAATATGAAATATAAAAATGTTCTACCTTACAAAGTCTTATCTGGCAATTGGGAATACAATCTTAGAATAAGATTAATGTACATAATTCAGCAATAAGAAAATTTTTTAAAAATATATAAAAAGAAATTATAATAAAATTGGATTTCGTATTCATAATTATTTAAATATTCTTCACAGAAGACTGAAGAAAACACAATTTAGTCATAAATAATAATTATTATTAATGAACCTGAAGACTACAACTTAAAAGCCGGCTGACCGATAGCCATCTAGAACCATAAAATTATACAATATGTGTATAAATTAAGTTAAAACCAGATTGACATTTAACCAGAGAACCTGTCGTTCTTCGAAGAACCCCGCCCGAATTCTTCTGCTAAAAGCGCAGAATCACGGTGGCTCTATGTTAACTTAAAATCTAAATCTCAAACTATAGAAGAGGATTCTGCGGTGATTCTTCAGGGGAGGCCCTTTAATGTTTTGTGACACCTTCAGCTTCCGCATTGAAACCACAAGCTGCTAACGATCGGCGGTCCAATCGTCGATCGGCTCAAGTCAATGTCAGATTTAGATTCAGATCGTAGAGCTTTCGATTTTAGCCAGCTTTTGCTTTTGCTATTGCTTGGTCTGCGCAGCTTGGTGGGCTTGTGAACGTGTCCATAGTCAAGTCTTCGAAAGATTTGAAGATTCTTGGCGAACCGAAAACGAAAACGAAGTTGAGATCGGAGAGCCGAGAGATTCGCACGGCGATCGTTTCGTTCGGCGATCGCCGCCGAATTTAATATTAAATTGAACTTGGCCACCGAGTTTGTCAGCATTTCTAGTTACGTATCCGATTGGGCAACACGCTCGCGATCGCGTTTAGAACTTCAAACGCGGCTAAAATATCTCTTTTTTTTTTGGATACCACTATAAACTATAAACAAGAACTATATTTTTTTTGGCTGTGCAATAAAGCAGTGAAAAATCAGTGAATCAAAAGCCCCATGATGGCTAGCAAATCGCTTATATTTCTGGGCATCTGCCTGGCTTTCTTGGACCTACGAGTCTCTGTAGCTCAGCAGAGCAACAATGTCCTCTTCGAGACGATCAACTTCCTGCGACGCGGCCAGGCGGATGTGGAGTTGGAAAACTACGATAATAATCTAGTGCTGGATAGCGAGTACGATTTCATAGTGGTTGGAGCCGGAACAGCGGGTTGTGCCTTGGCCGCCCGCCTCTCGGAGAATCCCAAGTGGCGGGTTCTCCTCCTGGAGGCCGGTGGTCCCGAGAGACTCGTCATGGATGTGCCCATAGTGGCGCACTTCCTGCAGCTGGGCGAGATGAACTGGAAGTACAGGACGCAGCCCTCGGATCACGCCTGCCTGGCGATGAACAACAATCGCTGCAATTGGCCGCGTGGCAAAGTGATGGGCGGCAGTTCGGTGCTGAACTACATGATGTACACCCGTGGCAATCGCAGGGATTACGATCGCTGGGAGTCGCTGGGAAATCCAGGATGGAGCTTCAAGGACGTACTGCCGTATTTCAAGAAGTACGAGGGCAGCTCGGTGCCCGATGCCGAGGAGGATTACGTCGGACGCAACGGGCCGGTGAAGGTGAGCTATGTCAACTGGCGCTCCAAGATCGCCGAGGCCTTTGTGGATGCCGCCCAGCAGGATGGACTGAAGTACCGGGACTACAATGGCAGGATTCAGAATGGCGTAGCCTTTCTGCACACCACCACCAGGAATTCGACGCGCTGGAGCTCCAATAGGGCTTATCTGTATCCACTGAAGGGCAAGCGCAGCAATCTGCATGTGAAGAAGAACGCCCTGGTGACCAAAGTGCTCATTGATCCGCAAACGAAGACGGCCTATGGTATTATGGTTCAGACGGAGGGTCGCATGCAGAAGATTTTGGCAAGGAAAGAGGTGATTGTCTCGGCGGGAGCCATCAATACGCCGCAATTGCTGATGCTATCGGGTGTGGGACCGGCGAAGCATCTGCGCGAGGTGGGCATCAAACCCCTGGCTGATCTGGCCGTGGGTTACAACCTACAGGATCACACGGCACCGGCGGTTACCTTCACGACCAATGCCACATCGCTGAAGTTCGAGGACTTTTCGGATCCCACGCTCATCAATCGATTTAATAGGATGGAGGGACCGTATGGTTCGCCCGGCGGCTGCGAGGCCATCGCCTTCTGGGATCTGGATCACGAGCGGGATGAGGATGGCTGGCCAGATATTGAGCTCTTCCTGGTGGGCGGCTCCATGTCCTCCAATCCGGCCATCTCGCGTGCCTTCGGCCTGAAGAAATCCATCTACGACACGCTCTTTGCCGAAATCGAGGACAAATCGCTGAATGCCTTCATGATCTTCCCCATGATCCTGCGGCCCAAGAGCCGTGGTCGCATCATGCTGAAGAGCAGCGATCCCTTCAAGTATCCCCTCATCCATGCGAATTACTTTGCCCATCCCTACGACGTGGACATCTCGGTCAGGGGTCTCCTGAAGGCCATCAGCCTGATGGATCAGCGGGGCATGCAGGCGATCAATGCCCAGTTGTGGGAGAAGAAGATACCCACCTGCAAGCAGCATGCTTATAAGAGTTGGGCCTACTGGGCCTGCTATGTGAGGCACTTCACCTTCACAATCTACCATTACTCGGGCACCGCCAAGATGGGTCCCAAATCGGATCGGGCTGCGGTGGTGGATCATCGCCTGCGGGTGCATGGAATCAAGAATCTGCGGGTGGCCGATGCCAGCATCATGCCCGAGATCATGTCCGGACATCCCAACGGACCCGTCTTCATGATCGCCGAGAAGGCGGCCGATATGATCAAGCAGGATCATGGCTTCATCCAGTGATCTATGATGTGTGATCAATGATCTATGATCTATATGATCTATGATTTATATGATCTATGATTTATATGATCTATGATTTATATGATTTATGATCTATGATCTATATGATCTATGATTTATATGATCTGTGATCTATATGATCTGTGATCTATATGATCTATGATCTATATGATCTATGATCTATTTGATCTATGATTTATATGATTTATGATTTATATGATCTTTGATCTATATGATCTATGATCTATATAATCTATGATCTATGATCCGCGAATCCCTTAGTCCAAAGTTCATTTCCGCAATCAGGTGTAAGCCCCATTTGCAAGCAGCCCGACGTCATGCATCCTGTTAATCCCTGTTAAATCATCTATAATTTCTGGCTGCTTTAAAATGGGGCCTAAGTTATAGTTAAGGCCTTCTAAAATCGCTTGTTATTACCTGTAATTCTCTCTTGCCTGAACTGATTCTAGTTTAAGTTTAGAAATTTAAGCAATTTATAGCATATATATAAATAAATCAATATAAGTTTTATATGTACTTTAAAACGAAAAGTGTTTTATATGGTGAAAAATCAAAACCAGAGGTTCTTTGAGTTTCAAATTATATAATTTTTCAAATACTATCCCTAGCAACAAACAAGCCATCAAAATTAACCAAAAATCAATTGTCTTGGGTCTACAAAAATCTGACATTGACATTGAATTTTATTGGATCTCTCTGTTTTCGCCTTTGTCTCATGCAATTTCAATAGGAATTTTCAGCTCTGGCAATTTTCATGCTAATCAATTTGTGGCTTCATAATCAAAATCCATGAAATCCATGAAGTTGGAAGCTCGTTTGACGATTCTTCGTTTTGATTTATTACACGCCTTTGTTTTGGCGTCTCTCTCAATCTTTTTTATTGTTGCGGAAATGATTTTTTGCCTTACTCTCGTTTTTTTTTCTGCCTTGTCGCTTTCGGTTTTATTTGTTTTACGATCAAAAGTTGGTGTGAATATTTTGCTGAGGGTTTTTCGGTGCTGAATCTTTGGTTTTATGTTTTATCTTGGTTTAATTTGCATCGATTTGACCTTAGAATTATTTATTTATGTAGAGTGCGTATAAATCTGTCGAAAATTGAGAATAATTGCATTGGCAAAAGATGTTTTTTTGCCTCCCAAGGGTAGACTATACAAAATGTGATCTTAAATGGAAACTTAAAGCTTTGAAGCTTGGCTTAAAGCTCTGGGCCAGTTTATTTGAACCACTGGAATTATTTAAAAATAAATAAAAGTAAAATAAATAATTATTTATTTAATTTTGAAATATATTTTCCACAGTTTTTACTTTATTCCAGTCTTTAAATTATTTCCTAATTTCAGTTTTTTGTTTTACCAAGTAAAAACCCATATCCGAAATTCCTTTTCCACCGTAAAAAAGTCACTATGGTTACGCCAGACTTTTCATTAACACAAATTGAAATATTCATGAATCAAGGGGGCGGATTCGAACAACAAAAAAAGCGAGCACAAAGAGGACAAATTTTGAATGCAATTGCCATGACCAAAACATGGCCCATCCTTTGGATTTCTAATCCCAGTCCTGCTCATTTATTTGGTTTCCTGTTCCCCTTTGTAAGGGAATCCCTTGACTTTGGCATTTTGGGTTCGGGGTTGGAGGAACTGCATCCATATGCTGGGGTTGCTGCCGCTGCAGTGGACCACCCCTTTATCCCATTTTGATTATATATTTCCTACTCTCTTTTTTTTTTTTTGGCTAGACCTAAAGTCGTTTAATCCGCTTTGGTTTTGTTTTTCCCTCGATTATTATGCTCGATGGGGGGTGGCTTGGAAAATATATTAACCCTCGAGTTCCCGCTGCTGGTGCTTCAATCTTCAAAGATTCAACTTACAGACCAGCAGCATAAAAAAAAAGAATATACTCCCAGCCAGAACAAGTTGCCCATCCAAGTGCCATTGAACCGGGCTCAGATGCAAAAGCCAAAGATACAGAGAAAAAAACAGAAAAATGTATAAATAAAAATACTCATATTAATAGGCAAAATCGTTTCCTAATTTTCTCTCTCTGCATTAGGAAAGAGACAGCCGAACGGTAAATGAAAGAGAGGCAAGAAAGCGCAAATTAGCAAGTGGCAATAAAAATTCTGAGACAATCTCAGCCTGTTTTGGCCCTAAAAACCCGGCCACCAAGTCAACCAACTCATCAGTGGAGAAAGATGGAGATATGGAGAGATGCGGAGAAAGGCAGAGAGAGACGGAGTGAGAGGGAGAGAGAGAGACAGGGGATAGAGATCAGTCAGGGAGAACCAAACCGGCAAGATTATCCACAGTGGAGCAGGTTTATAAATATATTTCAATTAGCATGCAGTACAAATCTTGTTTTAAATATGTAAATTCCAAAAGCCCTAAATAAAAATTACAGTTCAAAAAAATACTCCCTCTCTTTGGGCAATTAAATGCAAATTCAAGACATAATTTTCCATTACAAGCCAATAAATTTTAAAATATTCACTTAATAATAATCGAACTTTGGGGATCCCACGCCCACTGGTAATAAAAAGCAGAGAAAATATGCATATTAAAATTTCATATTTCATATGCAGAACACTGGGGAATTCTACAACCCGTTCCACAGTGCGTTGGCAGATGTGATGCCAAACAGAGGTAGAGATCCAATTTCACCCGAAGCACCGAAGCTGCAGAGTTCAGTTACCGACCATCGCAACCATGGACAAGCTGCTGCTGTTCCGGCTTCTGTTTCTGTTTCTGTTCCTGCTCCTCATCCAGGTGATCCACTGCCAAAGGAATCCCCAACTGGACGAACTGAGGCGATTGGGACTGGGCAATGTCGTCAATGTGCCATTCTTCAGCGATGGTGAGGGTTTGATTTATAATAATATATCTACATAGGTTAAATATAATAAATCATCGTGATATTTTACTAACAGAATTTGTAAAATAGTATTAAGAAAATTCTTTAGTGAATAATAATCATTTTATATTTGATAATGTGTTAATAAAATCAAAGTATTTTCATTATTAAAAAATCATTAAAAATATCAGTTATGTAGTTATTAATTTCCATGAAATTGAATGATGATTTTGAATATTTATAAAAAGACATAGTATCATATGCAAAAACGTATTATAAACAGGTTATTCTGAGCTTACTTTTATTAAATGTAAATTTTTATCCTAAATCCAAAAATCGAAAAGAAGAATAAAATATTATATTTAAAGTCTCTGAATTTGGAATGTTTAAAATACAGATTTGTATATAATCACATATTCTTATATTATATAATTATGATATCATATCAATATTATTTTTATAACCAGTTATAATCTTATAACTTCTTCATAAAATATTATAATTAAGTTCTCTGAATTTCGAATGTTTAAAATACTGATTTGTATATAATCACATGTTCCTTAGTTCATCGATTAAACACATTTTCTTATATTATATTATTATGATATCATATCATATATTATTTTCCTATATCAATATTATTTTTATAACCAGTTATAACCCCATAATCTTCTTGCATTTGCAGTGCCTCAAAAGAACTACGATTTCATAGTGGTTGGCTCGGGGGCCGCTGGCTGTACGCTGGCCGCCCGCCTCTCGGAGAATCCCAACTGGAGCGTCTTCCTCATCGAGGCGGGGGGCGTGGAGAACATAATCCATCAGGTGCCGCTGCTGGCGGCCCACCTGCAGTCGACTGCCTCCAATTGGGGCTACAATTCGCAGCCGCAGCGGCATGCGTGTCGCGGGATGCCCGAAAATAAGTGTGCCTTGCCGCGGGGAAAGGTCCTGGGTGGCACCAGTTCCATCAACTATATGATCTATAATCGCGGGAATCGCAGGGATTTTGATGGCTGGGCGGCGGCTGGTAATCCCGGCTGGAGTTACGAGGAGGTGCTGCCCTATTTTTTGAGGAGTGAGCATGCCCAACTGCAGGGCCTCGAGCACTCGCCCTATCACAATCACAGTGGCCCACTGAGCGTGGAGGATGTGCGTCATCGAACGCGACTGGCCCATGCCTACTTGAGGGCCGCCCAGGAGGCGGGTCATCCGCGCACCGATTACAATGGTGAATCCCAGCTGGGGGTCTCCTATGTCCAGGCCACCACCCAGAAGGGCAGGCGGCACAGCGCCTTTCGCGCCTACATAGAACCCATTCGCTCGAGGCGTCGTAATCTTCATATTCTTACCCTGGCCAGGGTCACTCGCATCCTCATCGATGCCGCCACCAAGTCGGCCTATGGAGTGGAGTTCATCCATCAGGGCAGAAGCTTCAAGGTGCGTGCCCGCAAGGAGGTGATCCTATCGGCGGGAGCCTTCAACTCGCCGCAACTGCTGATGCTCTCGGGGATTGGGCCGGAGGATAACCTCAAGGCGATTGGAGTTCCCTTGATTAAGGCTCTTCCCGTGGGCAAGCGGATGTACGATCATATGTGCCACTTTGGACCCACCTTTGTGACGAATACGACGGGTCAAACCCTTTTCGCCGCTCGCCTGGGACCGCCGGTGGTCAAGGAGTGGCTCCTCGGACGCGCCGACACCTTCCTCTCGAGCATCGGGGGCGTGGAGACGCTCACCTTCATCAAGGTGCCCTCGGCCAGCCAGAGTCCGGCCAGCCAGCCCGATGTGGAGCTCATCCAGGTGGCCGGCAGTTTGGCCAGCGACGATGGCACCGCTTTGGCCAAGGGAGCCAACTTCCGGCCAGAGATCTACGAGAAGATGTACAAGGATCTCACCGTGCGACAGCAGGATCACTTCAGCTTCCTCATCATGCACTTCAATCCCGCCTCCGTGGGTCGCCTGTGGCTCCACAATCGCAATCCACTGGAGTGGCCACGCATCGATCCCAAGTACTTCTCGGCTCCCAAGGATGTGGAGCATCTGCTGGAGGGCATCAAGGAGGCGATCAGGATATCCAGAATGCCTGCCATGCAGGCGATTGGAACGCGACTGCTGGACAAACCGGTGCCAGGATGCGAGAACCACGAGTTCGCCTCGGATGACTACTGGCGATGCTCGATAAGAACGCTGTCCTATACGCTGCACCACCAGGTGGCCACCTGTCGCATGGGACCCGAAAGTGATCCTACGACGGTGGTGAATCATGAGCTAAAAGTTCACGGAATGAGGAAACTCCGGGTGGTGGACACCAGTGTGATCCCGGTGCCACCCACCGCCCACACAAATGCGGCGGCCTTTATGATCGGGGAGAAGGCGGCGGACATGATACGATCCGAATGGAGTTAATATACAGATCAGCAGATCACTTAAGATCACTTTCGGAGACAAACGGCGATTTATGCAAAGGGGTTAATAAAATGCGAGACGAAAGTTGAAAGAAAGCAAGCGGGTACACTTCACAAATGTTGCGATCTAAAAAGCATTCCTAATTTTTTTTCATATTCTAAATGGTCTAATTTCTAAGTTGTTTGCGGGGATTTAAAGAATATCATTTCGAAAACCTATAATAATAAATTTCAAATACATTTCATTCCTATTATTAAATAAATAACAGCTAATATCATTCAAGGCTGAGTTTTTATTGGTGGGGAATTAAAAATATGATTTATATCTTAAAAATTTCCCAAATTTTCTCCCAGTGCATCGCCCAACGGGGTCTTGAGAACGTTTCGGGTCAATCCAATTTGGACCACGTCATGACCTAGCTTAATAACTTCTCACCGATTTCGAACTGATCCGAATCGGAATTGGAATCGGAATCCAAGCGGAGCAAACGAGGCATCGCAAACGGGTTTACGCACATCAAGTTCAATGCCTCGGCGTTTTTTCGGAGCGAAGAAAATAAAAAAATATTAATAGGGCGCCGGGAGTGTATGCCTCATCGATGATGTATATATCATAATATAATATTATATTACATATATGAACGTTAAGTGCATTTAGGGGCCCAACGCAGGGAGAGCACGCGCCAAAGTTAAACGAACCCGCAAATTGCGACCGGCACTTAAAAAGTGAGAATCTTGTCATTCTCCCTTCACATTTGGCCAAGTAAGGATAAAAGGTGTTGCCATTCATCGGATACCCTGTAGTTTTCAAGATCTTCTTTTTGAATTTTATCATAATAAAATGTTGCTAATTAATGATACAAAGGTAAACCTTTAGAGCTCCTGGTTTTTATAGAATTTTATTCATTTCTTTTCTTTCTGTGTAAAAATCCATCCTAAACTAGATCATTCGAACTTTATCTTAATGATTTCAGCAGCAGCTCTCCAATGTTTTGATGTTTCCAGCTAAACTCTGCAATTTTCACTATCTTTTTAGTTTGTTTAGGTTAGGTTTGTTTACTGCTAATTGGTGCTAATTTTATTTAAATTTGTTTTAAGTTCTTCAACCGGTTTTTAGTTAACTTTGCTTTGCTTTTAATAGTTTACTATTTCTGTTCGCCTTGCTATTTGCTATTTGCTGGTTTATGTGCTTGGTTCGTCTTATTCTTATCTTGGCTTAATGCTTAATTTCATTCTTTGTTTGGAATCTATTTCTCACTTCATTTGGTCTTCGCGCTTTATTGGCTTGAGGTGTTTCTTTTTTTTTATGATTTTCCTTGACGGTTTATTTTCATCCAAGTTAGTCTTAATTCGGTCCATTAGTTTATTTCTTCCTGAAGTTCATTGTGTTTATCATATAAATATTTTATTGGGTATGCTGCGTTAAGTCTTCTGTTATATATTTTATTCGATTTTTTATGTTGTGATTTTATAAAACATTTTTCAACTTTAAATTTTGTTCTTTTATAAATACTCTTACTTAGAAATAGGAATATTTCGATATGTTAAGACCTATTCAGTGTTTGTCTGACATCTTATTAAGTTTTTCCCTGTTTAATAAGGAAAAATTCTATTATAAGAAATACACCCATCACCGAATCCCCAACTCCCTTTGGCCAATTGCAGGGTATGCGGTTTATATGGCCAACGGGGTGGGTGGGGCATCATTTGGCGGCGGCGGAGAGGCACAGCAACAATAAAGGCACCTGAGTCACTCCAATCCAATCCAGTCCCGTCCAGGAGCCATGGCTTAAAAGCAACTCCCCCCAGACGATGGCAGCTCATTTGCCCACACCATTAGCCAAATGCAGTCCACACAGATCTCACACCTGCTCCCTAGGCTCCTGTTGCTCTCTTTCCTGGCCCAATCTCGTGGGGATGTCAACCGATTGCTGCTGGATCAGCTCAACCAGGTGGGCCTGGTGAATCTCCTAGAACAGGCCACGCGTCCCAATGGTAAGTGTATAGAATAGAATAATGTATAGAATAGAGGCCTCTAAAAATGGCCGGTTGAAACGGGAGAAGAAACGGTTGGACATAGAAATCTAAAACAAATATGTTTAATTAATATTAAATTATTCTAGTAAACCTATGGTAAATATTTTTTGATACCATGAAGAAATCAATATATTACTCCAAGATATATTCTATCTATAAGAAGATTGAAGCAATATTTCTTAGGTGAGTGAATTCAAAGCAAACTAATGTATATAATAGAGGCTTCTTAAAATGGCAGGTTGAAACGGGTAAAGAAACGGTTGGACATCGAAATCTACAAAAAATATGTTTAATACATATTAAATTATACTAATAAACCTATGTTGAATATATTTCAATACCATGAAGAAATCAAATAATCTTCATGTAGATTCTTAAAGATAAGAATCCATTTTTTTCTTGGGAACATTTTTTAAATAATTCTTTCCTTTACTTTCAGTTCCCCAGGACCTCTCGACCTTTGACTTCATTGTGGTTGGCGCCGGAGCAGCTGGCAGCTCCTTGGCCGCCCGTCTCTCGGAGAATCCCCAGTGGACGGTGGCCCTCGTGGAGGCGGGTGGCGTGGAGAACATAGCCCATCTGACGCCAGTGGTGGCGGGTTATCTGCAGCAGACCTCCTCGAACTGGGGCTACAAGTCGGTGCCGCAGAAGCTCTCCTGCCACGGGATGAACAACAACGAGTGTGCTTTGCCGCGGGGAAAGGTCCTCGGTGGCACCAGTTCCATCAACTATATGATCTACAATCGCGGGAATCGCCGGGACTTTGATGGCTGGGCGGCGGCAGGGAATCCCGGCTGGAGTTACGAAGAGGTGCTGCCCTATTTCCTGCGCTCCGAGAATGCCCAACTGCAGGGCCTGCAGCAGTCGCCGTATCACAATCACAGTGGTCCGCTGAGTGTGGAATATGTGCGCTTTCGATCGCAGCTGGTCGATGCCTTCGTGGAGGCCTCCGTGGAGGCGGGTCATCCGCGCACCGATTACAATGGTGAATCCCAGCTGGGGGTCTCCTATGTGCAGGCCACCACCCTGAATGGTCGGAGGCATTCAGCGTATTCCGCCTACTTGAAACCTGTGAGGGATCTGCGCTCCAACCTGCACATCTTCACCTTTGCCCGCGTGACCCGCCTGCTGATCGATGAGGCCACGAAAGCAGCCTACGGCATCGAGTTTCACTACAAAAATAGGGCTTATACCTTCAAGGCCCGCAAGGAGGTGATCCTATCGGCGGGCACCTTCAACTCGCCGCAACTGCTGATGCTCTCGGGGATTGGGCCGGAAGATAACCTCAAGGCGATTGGAGTTCCCTTGGTAAAAGCTTTACCCGTGGGCAAGCGAATGTACGATCACATGTGCCACTTTGGACCCACCTTTGTGACGAATACCACGGGTCAAACGACCTTCACGTCGCGGGTCACGCCTGCAGAGGTGCTGTCCTACCTGCTGGCCGGAAATCCAGCCACCCGACTGAGTTCCATCGGCGGGGTTGAGGCCTTGGCCTTCCTGAAGACCCAGCGATCGGAGCTGCCCAGGGATTGGCCCGATATCGAGTTGATAATGGTCACGGGGAGCTTGGCCAGTGACGAGGGCACCGGCCTCAAGTTGGGCGCCAATTTCAAGGACGAAATCTACGACCGGATGTACAGGGAACTGGCGCAGGCCCAACAGGATCACTTCACCCTGCTGGTCATGCAGTTCCATCCCAAGTCGGTGGGTCGTCTTTGGCTGAGGGATCGCAATCCGCTGAGGTGGCCCAAGATCGATCCGAAATACTTTGTGGCCGAGGAGGATGTGGAATACCTGCTGGATGGGATTAAGGCCAGTCTGAGGATCATCCAGATGCCGGCGATGCAGAGGATTGGGGCGAGATTGCTGAAGAGACGGGTGCCGGGATGCGAGGGCCACGAGTTCGCCTCGGATGACTACTGGCGATGCTCGATAAGAACGCTGTCCTATACGCTGCACCACCAGGTGGCCACCTGTCGCATGGGACCCGAAAGTGATCCTACGACAGTGGTGAATCATGAGCTAAAAGTTCACGGGATGAGGAAACTCCGGGTGGTGGACACCAGTGTGATCCCGGTGCCACCCACCGCCCACACGAATGCGGCGGCCTTTATGATCGGGGAGAAGGCGGCGGACATGATACGATCCGAGTGGAGTTGAATTTAGAGAAGTTTATCCCTAAAACGCCATAAAGAATCCCTTAAAGAATTCTATACAAATTTTTTTTAACTATATAAGGTTCAGGAATAATCATGTGGATAAAACCAAAACTATAATACAAATATTATAATATTTATCGAACTTATCTGGCACCATCTATGTATATTAATTTGAAAATATCATACTCTTCGTGCTCGTCGACCATTATGTTAAATATGCGTGCTCGAGAGCATTTAGCCTCCTCCCTTGGCAAATAAATTGCCATTAAAGGATTATCGATACCCGCGGGTAAATGTATTATTTTATTATATCGCTTGCAAAAAGCCGGAAAAAGTGAAGAGCAAACTCAACCATTAGTCGCCGGTTATTGTTTGACTTGGCGAGTTAATTAAATAGAATTACCTTAACGAGTTGAGCGAGTTGCATTCGGATTTTTGGGGTTGGCGCAGGCTTGGGGTTACGGGGGTTTTCCAAGGGGTTGGGGTTCCCCTAGGGGTTGGCCAGAGTGCATTAACCCATGCCATGGGGGTTGAAAAGTTTGGCTAGGCAAAGGCACAGGCGGAGACGTAGGCAAAATTTTCAACATAAAACATAAAACACAAAACATCAGGGGGTGGTTTCCCTTTGGCCGGGATGCTGGGATGCTGGGGATGGTGGGTGGTTGCATACAAGTGGTTATCACTGTCCTAGGCTTCCGCGTCCTCCGCGCTTCTCTTGTGTGTGTGTGAAAAATTCAATATGCATCAGGGAGTTTTCTGTGCCGCCGGAGAGGAAGGTTGAAGACTTCCGGGCTTTCCAGGGCTACACAATGGATACCAAAGGTTGCACGGCAAAAAAATTATGTAATAAGATATTATAAGTATTATTTCATGCTTTGATGTCCGAAAAACCCGAATAACATTAGCTAAGTATTATAGGTTTAAGTTTCCTTCTTTAAGGTTATCAAAAAGATACGAAAGCGTTCCAAATTGTCAATAAAAAAGGTTTTTAGAGTAAAAAGAAAATTTCTTAATATTCCTTTAATTCCTTAAGTAATATTAAGTCCCATTGAACTCAATCCTAAGTATCAATCACTTTTTAAGTGCAAATACACAATATATATTTTTTAAATTGCAGACATTAAATTACAATATATAATACAAACAGGCCTGAAATTTATTGGACAGGTAATACAACTTTTTGGCATTAAGAAAATGTCAAAAGTGAGCCTAAATGCGATCAGGTTCAAATGAATTACACAAACTTCTTATTTATTTTTAAAATAAGTAGGTATATTATTTAAATATATATATATAAAGCTGTCTAAAAGTATGCAGTGAAATTTTTTCGGAATAAAACCAACAGATTTGAGGGTTAAGAAGTGTTGCCTACTTTTAGACACCTTTCCAACTATTTTATTTTTCTCAGTGCTGTCATTATCCTGAATGCCCTGCAATCATAGATCAAAGCGAAGTCGAATGTCACTCGCAACTGAGTAAATGTAAATACGCAACCCTGGCTGAATTCGCAATGTCCTGTCAACATGCGGTTTTCTAATTGCAGCATTTCAAAATCAGTCAACAGGCGTTTGACGCAACAGTGATGGCGAAAAGGGTTGAGCAGTGGGTGGGTTGGGTGGTTTTGGGGTTTCGAAGGGTTCGCCCGACTCACCTGAAACAATTAACGCCTCATTGGGACCCGTCGTGTGTATGTTGCCCATCGTTGAGGTTCCGCGTCGTCGTCTACTTGTTGGTCTTTATTTATATTTTTATTTGTTTCGTATTACTCCTTTGCCGAAAGCTCCGCTGAAAAGTTCTGCCGCAAAAAAAAGCAAAAGAGCACACACGAATGTATAATTAGCACACGGTGAGAAAAGCAATGTACCAATGAGTGGAAATATTTATCAGTTTTATTAAAATTTGAATTCTCGGAAGAGTTTCTTAAAATTTAAAAATTGTGCTGAATTCGATATAAAAATAGGAACTTTTATTTAAAATATTTTTTACTACAAAAATTTTTTTAATAGAGAAACATTTTATAGAACTAAGAATTATTTTCTTTCTCTGTGAATAAAACATAAAAAAGTCAGAAGCTTTTGATGGGGCTGTGGTCCTGGTATTTATATCGCCGCCCGAGAGTATGTTACAAATTAAATTTTTAGATTAGCATCGAAACACGCGCGCCTCTATTGTTTTTATTTATTTTTGTTCTCGATTTTTGTTGTTTGTGTATTGGCAGTTTTTTTTTTTTTTTTGTTTCTGTTTTATATCGTTTTTATTAAAAGCTTTTTTATTCTGTCTCTAGGGAAAAACAGCAACAACAATTAGCATTGGGGTTCTGCATATAATACTGGGTATATACATTGTACATATACGGTCTATAGAGTATTTGAACGATTAAATGGGGAATATGGAATGTGGGGGCTTAAATTATGGACACTTGAGGAGTTGCGAACGATAGAAAAAAGCCACTCGACAATTGTAAACTGTGTTGGTGATTTTTTTTATTATTTTATGACTCTGCTAGGGGGACTTTTGTGCGCCTATTTTTTTTTTATCAAAGCGCGAATAAAACAGAAATAAATTGCGAAAAAATAGAACAAGGGGATGGCGGGGGGAGGCATGACGTAAGCAGCCATGTGTGTGTGTGCGAAAGGGAGAGGGAGAAATTGGGCGAGTCTTATCAATGAGCTCATCATTCTTTCACTGAGAGAAATCACTCTAGAAATCCTTATCTAAAAAACAAAGAGTATAGAAGAAAGTCTAACAAACAAAAATAGCCCACACATACACACTGGAAATTAACCCTCAGTTTCAGAGACTTCTGATTGGGGTGGCTTATTGGAGTTTCTAGGTAAACAAAGTTTGTTATTGCCGCTTTGTTGTTGCTGTACCCCAGAGTTTGTTAGTAATATGGTAATATGGTATAATCCATGACTAGTACACGTTTCGCGACAACCGGCTCTCGGCACAAATCACTTGTTATTCATAATTGGCAACAAAAAACCGAGCCGGTCAGCCTTTTTTTTTATATCAAAGCATCCCACAGTTGTTTTGCGTTTTTATTCTCGGTGTTCGCATTCGCACTCGCTTCACTCACAGCACAGCAACAAAAATATGCAAAAAATATGTAGAGTTCAATTGATCGGGTCTGGCCAATTAATTAGTTCTTGATTGTAAATTCACACTTTAATTCACAATTTAATTCCGAATTTACCGTTTCAGTATAAGAACGAGCAGCCTTCTAAGCTGGAAAACTAAGGTACCATTATCGATGATTGGACCGGTGGCCGCCGCTATCGATGTTTTTCAGACTATCGCGATAGTATTCCATACCAATTAGCAATTGTCAGCGCCCACTGGTTCAACGATTTTCTAACAGAAATGTTAGGATAATACATTAAAATTACCTTGTAATTAAACCAATTTGAATATGTTTTACATTCCCTTGTTTTTTTAAATTTGTAAATGTAAATAAAGGAATGCCCTTTATACGATACATTTTTGTATTCGATAAATTTGTAATCAATATGTACCGTGTAAAGTGTGTTTCAGCTATCGATAACTTTTCCAAGACTAGATGTAAACAAAAAGAAGAGTAAAAGTAAATAAAACAATGTCTCGGGGCGGAGAACTGGTCTTTAAAACGAAGAAAACCTCGGAGAAGATATCGGAAAACATACACATCTTCGCCAACGATCCGTCGCTGGCCTTTTTCCGGGTCCAAGAACACGTTCGCAAGGTTTCGCCAGCGATTTTCGAGAAGCGCGATGAGGTCTTCCAGCTGCAAAACAATCTCCAGGGGCATTGTTACGATATGGAGTACGGAATTCAGTGAGTTTTTGTACTATCAGCCTTACGAATCCCCATTAATTGCAAAATTCTTGTATACAGAGCCCTGCGTACGATTGAAAAATCGGAGAGCATATTCGACAACATACAGGAAATGATCAAGGCTTCGATTTTCCTGAAGCAACAGCTGAAATACGAGGAAAACAGGAAGAAGATCAAGAAGGAGAGCACCAAATCTTCGGTTTACAAGCGATTCTCCGCCCACCTCGCTTTGGATCTGCCGGATTTACCCGATTTTGGTGGCGTTATGCGGGAAACCAGCCAGCGAATGGAGAATATGATAGGTCCTGGCACGGGAACAGGACGAACTGAGGCCCAGGCCCCGCCAGCCAGCAATCCGGGGGAACTCCAGAGATCCTACACCACACTCCACTAGTTAGCCTTAAGTTTTAGTCTTGTAATTGTAGCTATGTGTGTGATTATCGCAAAATAAATTATATTTCAATTATGATTATTGCTTTATTTAAAAAAAATAATGATGAGTTTAAATTTATACCAATAAAAACGGATTAAAACGCGTTTAAGGTATATCTGTTTTTATTGTCACAAAATAAATTCGAGATACTTTTGAAAATATTATAAATAATGATTATGACTAATATTGATGACTAAGGAATAATTTGTATAGTTTAAAATTAATAACAAATAAATGAAAACTACTGAAAATTTAAGAAAATGTACAATAACTTTTACAATTTATTTATTTATATAAACTGTGAGCTAACTGAGAAATTTTAAACTTTTATAATAATTGGTTTCTTTTTATGTTCCTATTGTAAACTGCAAATAAAATTTTTTGAAATGCTCTAGAATTTCTTGAATATTTTCGAACTGAACCCCTCCAACACTCGATTGTCCGTAGTATTGCCAATCGAGTATCGCTATTCGATACCTTTCAGCCGACACTTGACAGCCCTTGTTGTTATTAGATAATATTATTAATATTATTATTACCTCGAGGAGAGCGCCGCCGAAGATGAACCGAATTTGCCAGAGCCTGTTGCGTCCGAGCTACCGGATGGCCGCCGGAGCCGGAGCAAGTGCATCCACCCCGGGCGTTCTGAGTCGCCTCTTTGCCGGCGATGCGGCGACCGGCGCGGCGGTGGACAAGGCGACGCTGGACAAGCTGGTGCGCACCAACAAGGTGGTCGTCTTCATGAAGGGCAATCCCCAGGCGCCGCGCTGCGGCTTCAGCAATGCGGTGGTGCAGATCATGCGGATGCACGGCGTCCAGTACGATGCCCACGATGTCCTGCAGAACGAGTCGCTGCGGCAGGGTGAATTGAGATGCCTTCTCCATTTAAATGTCCCACTATAATCTATTGATATGCCTAATTTTCAGGGGTAAAGGACTACACCGACTGGCCAACCATTCCGCAGGTCTTCATCGATGGCGAGTTCGTCGGCGGCTGCGACATCCTGCTGCAGATGCACCAGAGTGGCGACCTCATCGAGGAGCTCAAGAAGGTGGGCATCGAGTCCGAGCTGCTGAAGGCGGAGCAGGCTAAGCAGGAGGACGAGAAGAAGGACAAGTGATGCCCCCCACAGAGCACCCAAAGATCAAACCCCCCCAAAAAACCTAAATGTTAGCCACGCAACGTTTTTATTATTAAATGTTTAACTCATAATGACAATGCAAGGTGTACAATTCGATTTAGGTGCTTATCATTCGCAGGATCGTGCCTTAAATTATATAGATACGCAGGTCTTGATCCGAAAAATCTTTGTAAAATGATATAATGATAAATTTGACCTAAGTAGACATCCTACGCTTCTCGTCGATTCGCTGCAGGATGCCCAGGATTCGACTGCGCGCCTGCAGAGCATCGCTCACCTGCAAGAGTTCAAAGCACTGTTGGCGGTACTGCGGATTAGTCATATTTACCAGGATCTCCATGAGGCTGTCGGCTATGGAGTGGCGCATGGTGTCCTCCGAGGGCATGGGTGGAATCACGCGACTACGAGGATTAACCAGTGGTTCAGAGGCGGAAATATCCTGCGTTTCATTGCTAAGCTCCTTTTTCTCTGGACCAACAATTTCAGTGGGCAGTTCTTCTGGATCCTTAAATTCTTGCTTTTGATTTTCAATTTCAATAGAGAATTTATCCACATTTTGTATATCACTGGAGATCTTATGATCCTGAATTTCACTTGGCAACTGGCTAAAAGGAAGTTTTTGCTCTTCACTTGAAAACCGCAGAAACGGATCCTGCACTTTATTTGGAAAGTCTTGATCTTGAAATTGATTAATATGTTGTTCAGCAAAAATGTCCATTATATCCTTTAATAAAAGAACTTTCTCTATGTTTATTTAGATATTCTATTAAGATAATTGCTTATTACCTTACAAATTATAAATTTATAATAATTAAGATCTGTTACGAAAATGAATGAGTCTATGTAAGTCCGAAAATCGGGAAGTAAACAGTTATTTATCGAAGCTGTTGCACGTTAACCCTTGTGTAAATATAGTAGTGTAATTATTTTAATAATTTGATATTTTAAATCTAATATTTTTTTTAAATACTTTTTTACTTTTTAAAGTACCTAATATTAAATATCAATTTCATTAGGGTTAAATTATTATTTTAGATAAATATCTATTTTTTAAGTATAGTTGTAAAATTTAAATTAAATTGGTTCTATACTCTTTCTAACTACTATGGTGATATCTTAATTTAAAATACATATTCCTATGCTAATATTAAAATTTTAAAAGTGTTTACCCCTGACTAATGCTTTTCAGCTGACTCATCTTTATCTTTTTTAGGTTTTTATCTAACCCAACGTTGATTTCATTGTTATCTATGCTCAACAAGTCAAATGTAATATCCAGTGCCAAATATAAGTCTATTTCTTATCATAGAACCCATATGGACACGAAAATTAAAATTCTACCAGAACTTATCACCTAATACGCCCATGATACCCATTAAAAAGCATATCATTTGATTTTACAATTTTGATTTATTTAAATATACATATAGATATATTTTCATATATTAAGTTACATACAATATAATACATATTGATTTAATTGGTGTTTTCTTGCGCTTCGTTCTTGCTGATTTGCGGCTTGAATTCGTTTCACATGAATTGCTTGTTATTTATTATTTAGTCAGTGTTACTCCGTTTTTATTATTGTTATTATTATGCAGCGCTTTTATGCAGTTTAGTGGTAGTAAAACGAAATAAAAAAAACTTATGCCATAACTTGCTTATTAGTTAACAATAATCAAAGGTGTTAAAAGCGATATGCCAGGGGGTTTCTCTGTAAATGGTTTCTCTTTTTTTGTGTAATACTTGGAAAGTTCAGCGTTGAAGGCGGACAAGTGTGTGGATCAGACAATGGAGGACTTGTCCAGGAAGGAGGAGGTCTCCATCAGGAGTTCGCTGCTGCTGCTCAAAATGTCGTACAGCTGATGCGGTGCCTCGCCGGCGATGGGATTGCCGAAGGGGAAGAACGACGAAAGCGTCGATAGCTGCAGATTCCCGCTCATCGAAGTCAGGCCATTGGTGGGCGTCCCCGCCTTTGTCTTCCTTCGCCTTTCGACTCCATCCACGAACTCGGCTTCATCCTCCTTCTCCTCCCGATCCCTCTGCTGCTGACTGGGTCGCGATTCGCCGGTGGACTCATAGAAGGCCTCTGGCAAATCCTCGAAATTCTGAAACTCCAAACAGCGCTGTATCTTCGCAATATTGCTCAGCAGCAAGCGATGGAAGAGATCCACCTGCGGCTGGCCACCGCCACGAATGTCCAGGATGGGCAGCCATCGATAATAGCACTGATCCCAGACCTGCAAATCGAAGATCCGGTGCGCCGGCTGCAGGAAGCGATCCTGCGGCACCGAGCAGGCCGTGGCGAAGAGCTGCGGATTGATGGTGTTGCGGGAGGGAGTGGATGCAGATGTAGATCCAGTGCCCCTATTCTGTCCCACCGCCAGAGATCTGCGATGAGCCGTCGCCGCCTCGAGAAACCTATCTCCCTTTTGCCGCTGGTACAGCGGATTGCTGAAGAACATCTTGTCCTTGTCGGAGAACTGCTCGCCCCAGTCCCAAACGGGCCGCAAAACGAGCTGCGAGTCGCGAACCGCTTTCAAACGCTGCGCCTGCGTATCAAACTGGAAGGTGTCGAAGATGGGCATGAAGCACGAGTCCCAAAGCGTGGTTAAATACGTCTGCGTGAACTCGAACTCGTCGGGAAATTGCTGCAGCAGCTGCCACACGCAGTCGAGGAAGAGCAGGAACACGGGGCTCTGTTCGCTGTCCAGCAGTTCGGAATTGCTAGTAGGCTGTGCGGGATAAACGTGACCCAGTCGCCGCTGGAAGGGATGCTCGAGGGCCACCCACTCCTTCTGCACCAGCGACTGAAAGCCATCGGTCGAGCGGAAGTGCGGATCGAGCAGCAGCTGCGCCAGACTGCTGATCACGCAGCACAGATCGCGGCCATTCGACTCCTGGAGCACGCAGGTCACTCCGCTGCGCAAGGTGGCCGAGGCTTCACTCGCATAGCGCAGGCACAGCGACACATAGAACAGCCAGTTGGTCTTTTCGAGCAGTCCCAGGTACTTGTCATCCTGCAGCATGAATTTCTCGGGCGTCTCAGGGGTGCACAAACGCCGCAGCTTCTGATAGGCACGCAGCACATCCTGAATGCTCGGCAGGCGATCCGTGAGCTGCAGCAGCTTCAGCTGCCTGCCCGCATCGCATTTGCGCACCAGCTCGAGCATCACGTTCTCCGACTTGGTGTCCTGCTGGGCAGCCGGCTGCAGTTCAGCCAGGCGCACCAGAGCAGCGCTACTGCCGTAGCTATACACCCAAAAGGCGGCACGCGAATCGCAGAAGGCGCGCGAAAGGTCAAGAAATCGATCCACCCCGCAACTCTTGGGTATGACGAAATGCGGCGGCACGGAGTACTTGCCCGCCTGGAGGGGATTCTGCAGCAGCTGGACGCTGGCGCTGCTCACCACCTGCCACTCGGTGGCGCCGCAGCGTATCAGCTCCCTGGCCCAGTCGTTCTTCGTGGCATACATGCTGGTGCCGGAGGCTCCTAAAGTCGAGTAGTACGGCTCCCTGTGCGCATAGGCGAAGCTCAGATCGTGCCGCATGGGATAGGCAAAGCGAACCAAGGCCGAGGCAATCAGCTTGCCCTGATCGCTGGCTCCAAACATCTTCGAATCCTGCTGCTGGAAGGCAAACTTGAGCAGGCGAAAGTTCTTGCAGACAATATGCAAGGCGGCAATCCTGCCGCTGATATTCTGCTGCTTGAAAGGCTCCAGCTTCTTGCGCCTGCTGATCATCCCGTGCTGGCTGGCCATGCCGCGCGCCGCCTGCAGCGCACTGGCCGCCCGTCCCAGCTCGGCGATCGTGTAGATGTGATCGATGTTGTTCAGCGTGATCTCGTTGCGGCCCAGATAGGCGTTCTCCTGGTAGAGATCCACCAAGGGGGCGGCAACTGCTGCGGCAGGATTTCGCTTCGAGTGCAGCGGCACGAAGGAGAGCTTGAAATTGGTGACGCTGAGCAGGCCAAAGGTGGCCTCCTTGTGGGGATCTCCCCCGGAATTCGAGGAGGAGGAGCCGCTACTGTCCATGGGATCTATCGCCGAATACATGTAGGCCGGGGCGGAGGCCACGATCTGCTCGCCCTGCAGCAGACGCGGCTTGGCCAGGTGCACGTCACGCAGATCGCTGGGCAGGCACCATTCATTCGTGTCCGCCGTGGCGCGCAGATCGCCCGGCAGCGGCGCCACATAGCTGGTGAAGGTGTTGCGCTTGTGGTGGTCAGCATTTCCGGGGGAACTTCCTCCGCCTCCACCGCCTCCGCCGCCCGTGGCCATTGCTGGGGTGGAACTATCCGCCTGACCGCTGCTGTACGCCGCTGGAATATTCAATTATTCGCTACTTCCTGTCTGGGCGCGGGTACCGTTATGTGCGTGTCTCTCTCGTCTCTCTGCTGGAAAGAGGAGGGAGAGGAAGAGGGAGCACAGTGGAAATTATGCGAATGGGGCAAAACAAATTTAGAATTATCGTTTTTTTTTTCGGGTGATAAGTTTATCAGTGGAACGAAACTCACCGTTCGGATTACCACCTTTGTGTGCGTGTGTGTGCGGGGCAGCGATCGGTTCACCGTTCGCCGTTGTTGTTGTTGCTCCTCCGAATTGCTACGGGTCAATCGTTGCTTTTGGGGTCATCCGCTGGGGTCATCCAAGTGCACCATCTGGCATCTGCACACACGGGCCGCCTCGGTCGCAATGTGCATTTATTTATTTATTTTTATTTTCGCTGGTCGCCACAATTCATACGACACACAAACACGCACGCACGCACACACACACGCACGCATGACTCTCGGTGCAATCGGGGCAGTGTTGGGAAGTGCTCTTGTTGGTATTTTCGGTACTGTTTTAGGGATGGTACATCGGATAGGAGCTGCGATGAGTAATATTAATATAAATTTTAAAAAAGTTTAATGTAATTTGTTGATAATTCTAAATTCTTTTTAATTTTTTCCATACTATTAATTTTTTATATATTTAGTACTGCTTAATTTCGCTTCCTCGTTTTTAACTCTAAAATACCTAAGAGCCCCAAGGCTTTGCTGATCAAAATCAGAAATATATATATATTTACTTTACTATCGGTAATAGTAAGCGTGACAACCCTACTCTTTGTTCCACCCGCAGGACAAACAGCTGTTGTGATCCGCCGGATATCGATTGACGATAGGCCCGCTATCGATACAGCACGCCCCGTGGTTTTTGATTAATATTATTAATATTAATTTCGAGTAGCCGGCAGGAGTATCCCTGCCAATACGAGGGAATCTTGACAGGAAGTGGATTTTTCAGTGGCCAAGCCGGTTTCAGGGAGCAACCCTACTCTACTCCCCACCTGGCAACTCTGCAGCTATTTGCTTGTCGAATTGGCAAATCCATTTCCCCGGATTAAATTCAATCCCACTCCAGAAGCTCGCGGACTCGCATGTGTTGGCTGCGACACAGCGCACACTTGCTCAGACGAATAAGCTTGCCATTCCAAGTCCAAGTGCGGAGACCCATTATTCAATTAGCCGGCGGTGGGAAGATGACGGACCAGGTCAAGTATCTGGACACACCCGACAAGTCGGAGACGGACAAGAAGCTGTACAAGTGAGTGGGGTGACGGGTTCAGTTAAGCAGATCATTAATTTCCCTTCCTCTATTAGAACTTTACTCCTCGGCAATGGCCTGCACGCTTTGATTGTCTCGGATCCCAGCCCAATGCCCCACGATGGCTTCACCACCTCGGAGTCCTCGTCGGAGAATGCCTGCGAATGCGAGTCGAGCAGCGAGTCGGTGACCACCAGCAGCGAGACCAGCAGCTCCTCGAGCTCCTCGGACAGCGGCAGCAGCAGCGTGGAGTCGGGCAGCGAGGCGGAGGGCGACGAGAAGCTGGCCGCCTGCGCCCTGATGATCGACTATGGCTCCTTTGCCGAGCCCAAGAAGTACCAGGGATTGGCCCACTTTCTCGAGCACATGATCTTCATGGGCTCCGAAAAGTACCCGGAGGAGAACATCTTCGATGCGCACATCAAGAAGTGCGGCGGTTTCAGCAACGCCAACACCGATTGCGAGGAGACGCTCTTCTACTTCGAGGTGGCCGAAAAGCATCTGGACTCGAGTTTGGACTACTTCACTGCGCTGATGAAGGCGCCGCTGATGAAGCAGGAGGCCATGCAGCGCGAGCGCAGCGCCGTTGACTCGGAGTTCCAGCAAATCCTGCAGGACGACGAGACGCGGCGGGATCAACTGCTGGCCAGCCTGGCCACCGAGGGCTTTCCGCACGGAACCTTCGCCTGGGGCAACATGAAGTCGCTAAGGGAGAATGTGGACGATGCGGAGCTGCACAAGGTGCTGCATGAGATCCGGAAGGAGCACTATGGCGCCAATAGGATGTATGTTTGCCTGCAGGCCCGCCTGCCCATCGATGAGCTGGAATCGCTGGTGGTGCGTCACTTCTCGGAGATACCGCACAATGAGGTGAGGGCCCCGGATCTCAGCAAATTCAGCTACCGGGAGGCCTTCAAGCCGGCCTTCCACGAGCAGGTGTTCTTTGTGAAGCCCGTGGAGAACGAGTGCAAGCTGGAGCTGACTTGGGTGCTGCCCAATGTGCGCCAGTACTACCGCAGCAAGCCGGATCAGTTTTTGTCCTATCTGCTGGGCTACGAGGGGCGTGGCAGCCTGTGCGCCTACCTGAGACGCCGCCTGTGGGCGCTCCATTTGATTGCGGGCATCGAGGAGAATGGATTCGACACCAACTCCATGTACGCGCTGTTCAACGTGTGCATCTACCTCACCGACGAGGGTTTCCGGCATCTGGACGAGGTCCTGGCCGCCACCTTTGCCTATGTCAAGCTCTTCGCGAACTGCGGTTCCATGCGCGAGGTCTACGAGGAGCAGCAGCGCATCGAGGAGACGGGCTTTCGCTTTCAGGCCCAGCGACCGGCGTTTGATAATGTTCAGGAGTTGGTGCTGAACTCCAAGTACTTCCCACCGAAGGATATTTTGACTGGCAAGGAGCTGTACTACGAGTACAACGAGGAGCATCTCAGGGAGCTGACTGGCCACCTCAACGAGCTGAAGTTCAACCTGATGGTCACGTCGCGCAACAAGTACGAGGGCGTCAGCGCCTACGACCAGACGGAGGAGTGGTTCGGCACCGAGTATGCCACCATTCCGATGCCTGAGAAGTGGCGCAAGCTGTGGGAGGAATCCAAGCCGCTGGAGGAATTGTTCTTGCCCGAGCCAAATAAGTTTGTCACTGAGGATTTCACGCTGCTTTGGCATTCGGCTGGGAAGCCGGAGGTGCCTGGTGCACCCAAGAAACTGCTCAAGACGGACACGTGCGAGCTGTGGTTCCGCCAGGACGACAAGTTCGATTTGCCCGAGGCCTATATGGCCTTTTACTTCATCTCACCGCTGCAGCGACAAAGTGCCAAGAAGTAGGTGGCTTAAATTTAAATCTCGAATCTCTAATTTAATAACCCTTTCCTCTTTTTCCTTTTAGCGATGCCATGTGCACCCTCTACGAGGAGCTGGTCAAGTTCCATGTGTGCGAGGAACTCTATCCAGCCATCAGTGCCGGCCTTTCGTACACCTTTAGCACGGCCGAAAAGGGTCTGCTGCTCAAGGTGAGCGGCTACAACGAGAAGCTGCATCTCATCGTGGAGGCCATTGCCGAGGGAATGCTCCATGTGGCCGACACGCTCGACGAAAAGATGCTGGCCGCCTTCCGCAAGAACCAGCGCAAGAACTTCTTTAATACTTTGATCAAGCCAAAGGCTCTCAACAGGTAATGTATTCTATCCAGGGTTCGCAAGATAAGACACTCTGTAAAAAACTTGTGTTATTAACATAAGTGCTAAGTTCAAAAAAAGTTATTGACATGTGTGTAAAAAATTTTAGCGTACACATGTTAGAAACATAAATAACACACACAGGTTATTTGTGTTATTTACACGATGCGTTATTAACACGGCGTGTTTTTTACACAATGACATTTTTTGACATTTAAACGTCAGAAATATACGTTGAGCTGAAAAATTTGAAACGGTTAAAAATAACAATTGAGATATCATGGTCCAATATTGATTCTTCATGCTCCCTTCGATTCGTTAATGTCCATAAAATGTAATTTTCATTTGTGTTAAAAACACAGTGTGTAAAAAACACGTCTTGTTAATAACACATTGTGTAAAAATCACAACTGTAAATCACAATTTTACATGTTTTTAACAAGTGTTTTAAATTCCGAACCCTGATTCTATCACAAGGTGTATTAAACTTATATACCTCGCTCGCTCTTTTCCAGGGACGTTCGCCTCTGTGTGCTGGAGCAGATCCGCTGGCTGATGATCGACAAGTACAAGTGCCTCAACGATATTACCCTGGAGGATCTGCGCGAGTTTGCGCGCCAGTTCCCCCAGGAGCTCTACATCCAGGCTCTCATCCAGGGCAACTACACGGAGGAATCGGCTCACAATGTCCTCAACTCGGTGCTGAGTCGTCTCAATTGCCGGGCAATCAGGGAGCAGCGCTATGTGGAGGATAGGACCATACAATTGCCGCTGGGCACCAATGTGATCCGGTGCCATGCTCTCAACGAGCAGGACACAAACACGGTGATCACGAACTTCTACCAAATCGGACCCAATACAGTGCGTGTGGAGAGCATTCTCGATCTGATGATGATGTTCGTGGACGAACCGCTGTTCGATCAGCTGCGGACCAAGGAGCAGCTGGGCTACCATGTGGACGCCACCGTAAGGATCAACTACGGCATTGCCGGCTATTCGATTATGGTCAACTCGCAGGAGACAAAGACGACGGCCAGCTATGTGGAGTGTCGCATCGAGGTGTTCCGCGCCAAAATGCTGCAGATTCTGCGCAATCTGCCGCAGGATGAGTACGATCACACGCGCGACTCCCTAATCAAGCTGAAGTTGGTGGCCGACATGGCACTGAGCGCGGAGATGGGTCGCAACTGGGAGGAGATCATCAACGAGGATTACCTATTCGATCGCCGACGTCGGCAGATTGAAGTCTTGCGCACGCTGCAAAAGACGGAGATCATTGAATTCCTCTTGGGCATCGATACCAATAATCTGCGGAAGCTGTCCGTCCAGGTGATTGGACATCGTCCGGCAGATATGCCCGAACCTTTGCCCGGTTCTCACCTTGCTAACGAGGATAAAGTCGAGGAAGAAGCCAACGAGGAGGATGATGATGGCGATGAGAGTGGAACCGAAAAGGGCGATCACGAGGATGAGGACGATTCATCCGAGGACGAGGACGACGAGGATCTATTTGCGGCCCTGGAAAACAAGCTGAGCGTCGTCTTTCTGCCCGAAGTGGGCAATCAAAACACCATCCTCGATATCAACGAGTTCAAGAAGGGCCTGGACGTCTATCCCAAGCGAAAGAGCCAGCAGGAGGAGGAGGATCAGCAACGCGCAGCCCTCATCGAAGATGCCCTGGGCCAGGCGTGAGATGGCCAAACTCCAAACATTACCTCTCCCCCCATTTCACTTTGTTCAACTAGCCAAAGGTAGAAGTTTAGTTTCACAGAATGCCAGCTCTTTTACCCTGACCAAGTCAGCCAGTTTCTCGAGAATTCATTTCAATTTTCACACACAGACCTGCACCCAATGACAAATGCATTTTTGGAGTATTGAAAACACCATATACGTTCGTTCGATCGCACTGTCTTTCGTACTGATTTAAAACAGAAATAAAAATCAAAATTTAAAGTAACAAAGTGGGGTTTCTTTTTTGAGGGATAAAAATTATAGCTTGAGTAAATATATTTTATTTATTTTAAGTAAAGTAATAAAAACACTTGCTTTGCATTTTGCCAGTATGGGGATTCTCCTCCGAATCTCTCGTTTTATTCATATGTACATTAACAATGCGTTTTGTATATAAACTTTAAAGTTACATATAAAGAATGTCTTTCGTTTTGTTTGATGCTTGTGCCCAATTGTTTTACAAGTGTACGTCCTCCTGCGATTGCACAACTAAGGATTAAAGCCGATATGGGGTCAAGTTGTTCGATGTTCGTCTTTTGGATTGGATTTCATTTGATTTATTCTTCCTTTTGTGTTTTTGTGGCTATATGATAATGCGTATTAACAATAGGTAACAATAGTTCAATGATGGTTGATGTCTGGTTTTTGCCTTTGTTCCGTTGAACTTAATAATAATATTTAACTTACAATCGTAACACAAAAAAAATAGTTTGTATAGAATAATAATAATAATAATAATGGTAATTATGATAGGCATAATAGAGCGGAAAAAGAGGAGTAAGAAAATTATTGTATAAAACAGAAAACTCGTATAAATGTTTAAAGTTTCTTATTTAAAAAAAAGGGGAAAATAACAAATATGTTGTAGAAAAAAGGGACGGTGCGAGTGCCGGTCTAAAATCTATTGTTTTTAGACGGCCATATGTATACAACAAAAAACCCTGGAATCAGGAGTACGATTACATTTTCGATTTATCCCTTAGATCTAATATAGAGTTTGTAACTCTCGAAATAGGAAAAGATAAGAAGGCGACTCGGTAGTTCAAAAGGGAGTACTTAAAATATAAATTAAATATTTTGTGTTTGAGCTATATTTACATACTGAGCACACACCTTCTTTATCTTTTGCCCATGTGGGATTTACAAAATCATATTAGACCCGCGAATAGATCAAAGATCCTACTGCCTATTCCTTGTCAAAAAACAATCAATCTGCAAATATTTACACAGGTCTTATAATTCGCTCTCTCTTACTAGTTCAATTTAAAGCCCGCAAAAAGAATTTCACTGAAAATTTGTCGTTTTGAGGTCCTCGGTTGGATTGTGTGGTTGCGTTCAGCTTCTGATCTCTCACAGCTTCTGCAGTTCGGTGCTGTCGCTGGCATGATAGCGACTCCTCACGATCTTGGTGCGCCCGTCGTACTGCTCCTCGGGATCCAGCAGTCCCTCCTCATGCTTGGCATTCGGCGAGCTGATGCCCCCATTGCCCTGCATGAAGATGCGCGAGATGAGCGAGTTGCTGGACCGCTTGAAGGCCAGCCTGCCCCCCTTTTCGGGCAGATCGTCGAGGCCGCGATGAAGGGAGAGCTTGTCCAGTTCAAACTCAGAGCCACCTGCCCGTTCCGCCGCCAACTGCGCCTCGTACTCCGCCGTGCGCAGCGTCTTGGCCGTCGGCTTGCGGTACATCTTCAGCAGCAGCGAGGAGCACACCACGCTCACTGAACTGGCGGCCATGGCCACGGAGGCCATCCACGGCAGCAGGGTGAAGCCGTAGGGGGCGAACAGACCGCTGGCCAGTGGAATGCCCAGCAGATTGTACATGCTGGCGAAGAAGAAGTTGTAGCGAATGCGACGCACCGTGCAGCGGGACAAATCCAGGCAGGCCACCACATCGAGCAGGTCGTTGCGCATGAGAACAATGTCGGAGGCCTCGGCGGCCACATCCGTGCCAGCGGCAATCGTTATGCCCACATCCGCCTGCGCCAGCGCCGGACTATCGTTGACCCCATCGCCCACCATGGCCACGCGGATGCCGCTGGCCTGGATGCGCTGGATCTTGGCCACCTTGTGCGAGGGTAGGACCTCCGCATAAACGGTTCGTATGCCAACCTAGGGGAAATAGGTTGATATATTAATTTATAAAAAGTATTAACTCAGTATTAACCCACCTCTCTGGCTATGCTGGCCGCTGTGTTCTTGTTATCCCCCGTCAGCAGCACCACATCGATGCCCATCCGCTTCAGCGTGTAGACGGCGAGATGGGCCTCCGGCTTGACCATGTCCGAGACGGCAAACATGCAAACCAGCTGCCCGTTGAGGGCGCACAGCACTGCGGTGTGTCCCTTTCGCTCCTCGTGCGTCATGCAGTCGCTAATCTCCAGCGGCACCTCGATGCCATTGCGCTGCATCCACTCGCGATTGCCAATGAGCACTAGGATCTCGGGGCCATCAATTAATGGCTGATCCGTGGTGAGTTGCTCCTCCGTTTCCAGTACCAAGTCGGATAGCAACTGCTGGTTGTTCAGTTCCATCGACTTGCGCACGCTGTGCTGCGGCAGCAGATGCTCGATACTCGCTCCATTGTCCACTGGGACCGATTCCAGCGGACTATTGCGATGCAGATTCTCGTAGTTGATGATCCGCTCGGCATTGCAGGCCTGTCGCAGCGTTTGCTCGTAGTTGGAGACGGTGACGCGGATGCCACAGCCGGGAACGGCCTGGAAATGGCTGCTCTTGCCGAAGCTACCACCCTGTGGAGAAGAGCCCACATTCAGCATGTCCTTGGCAAAGTGCACAATGGCGGAGGCAATGGGATGCTCGCTGTTCTGCTCGGCGGCGCCCACAATCGTCAGAGCTCGAGCCAGGCTGCAGACTTGGGCGCGGACGAAGAGGGTGACCTTGCTGGTCATCGGGGTGCCGTGGGTTATGGTGCCCGTCTTGTCGAAGACCACAGTCTTCACCTGGAAGCGAAAAAGTTGATCAGTAAGGTAAGTAATGGGGTATATTTCAATTCAAACTAGAGCCAGAAATTTCTGATTTGTTTAATTCAATTTTATGTGAAAACAATTGAATGTTTTTCTAATTTATTTCGAATTGAATGAATGAATAAGTTGTATGAATTTTTTGAATTATCCTGATTTTTGTTGTGCTTTCTTTTGAGAACAAAAAGTATACAAAATTTAAAGAAAAGTTTTTCTAATTGAATGAATGAATAATTTGTAATAAAAAAATCAGGCAAATTCAAGAAGTTCATAAAAATTTTTACAAACTTCTTGAATTTGCCTGATTTTTTGGTGCTTTTTTTTAGAACAAAAAGTGGAAAATATTTAACAAATCAATGTTAGCTGCTTGGAAAATAAAATTCATGCAGATTTAATCACAAAACGATGGCCCTTTCTTCTTTAAAGGAAATTAACGTTTGAATTATTTCGGAATTCATGCCATTCATTCATTCATTTAATTCTATTAAACTCAAAATTCCAATTAATTTATTCATATAAAACAAAAAATTCAAAAAAATTCATTGATTCTAGCTCTAATTCAAACCTCACCTTGTGGGCATTTTCCAGGGCGGTGGCTCCCTTCACCAGCACTCCGTTGATCGCTCCCGTTCCGGTGGCCACCATCACGGCTGTGGGCGTGGCCAGGCCCAAGGCACAGGGACAGGCAATGGCCAGCACACTCAACGCACACTTGAAGGCATAGCTAACGATGATGGTGTTCTGGTCCATGTGCATCTTGTGCTCCATGGCCACGGGCACCAGATTCGGATTGGCGAAACCGATGATGATCCAGGCAATCAGCGTGATGCTGGAAACCACAACGACGAAGGGCACAAAGTAGCCGGCAATGCGATCGGCCAGCTGCTGGATGGGCGCCTTGCTGGTCTGCGCCTCCTCCACCAGTCGCACAATCTGCGCCAGCGTCGTATTCTCTCCGGTGTGCGTAGCCTCCACCAGGAGCACGCCGTTCTGGTTGATGGAGCCGCCGATAACCACTGAACCCTTGCGCTTGGCCACCGGCATGGATTCGCCGGTGATGAGCGACTCATCGCAACTGGAATGGCCGTAGAGAACCTTGCCATCCACCGGGACTTTGGCTCCCGGAATCACCTTCAGGATGTCGCCGCGCTGCACATAGTCCACGGATATCACCTTCTCGCTGACGATATCAAAGTCCGGCGAGATCTCCACCAGCAGCGCATCGGCCGCCTTGAGGGACAGTAGCTTGGACAGCGCCTCCGAGGTCTTGCCCTTGGCTATGTGCTCCAGCCAGCGGCCCAGCGAGATGAAGATCAGCAGCATGGGCGGCGTATCGAAGAAGGTAAGCGGTGAGCTGTTCTGCTCCAGCAGAACGGCGGCAATCACCACGGCCACGGAGTAGACATACGAAATGGTCGTGACCATCGAGATCAGTACGTCCATGTTGGTGGTGCCGTGCTTGATCGCCCGATACGACTGCACGTAGAAGTGGAAGCCGCCGAAGAACTGGACGGGCGTCGAGAGCAGGAACATCACCAGGTTCTCCATCGAAAGGCCGGGAACGAGGCAGCACATGTTCGCGTGGCCCTTGTCGCTCATCTCCAGCATGAAGTAGATCATGGCCACCATGCAGGGTCCGCCGAAGATCAGCGAGACGAGGAAGGCGTTGCGCCACTTCCGGATCTCCTCCTTGTGCTCCAGGTAGTTGTGGGCCATCTTGTCCCGCCCGGTCATCAGCTTGGCCTCGAAGCCCAGCCCCTCGATCGCCTCGCAGATGCTCCGGGGTCCCGTGTCCTCGGTGATGTACCGGAATTTGCCTGCAGGGAAATAAGATGGAGAGGAGTTTGTTGTAGTTTTTGGGTTGTAAAGGTTTCTTTTTGTGAAAATACAATTTTCGCCAATTTTCACATTTTGTTTAATTTTTTGCGAAAAATTTAAAAAAAAAATAAAATGCCCAGGTTTACATGCCAATCGTTAGGAAATTTAATAACGAGTTCAGAAAGGTATGACAGTCCATATTTGGATCTATAGTTCCATTGTTTCGGCCAAGAAACTAAATATTTTTGCGTGGAAAATTGGGATCTGGGTTTTGGCAAAAAATTGGCCAAAACTTGGCCAAAAATGGTCCTACACCAAAAATACATACTGTTTTGAACAGATAACAAAATTTGCAATAAATCCATAAAACTTTCCGTGTAATTTTGGGAAAATAAAATTTTCGCCAATTTTTAATTTTTTTATAAGGGGGTACCCCATGATTTTTTGCGAAAAATTCAAAATAAATAAAATTTCAAGGTTTAAATGCCAATCGTTAGGAAATTTAATAACGAGTTCAGAAAGGTATGACAATCCATACTTTACATCAGTATTTGCTTTGTTTTAGCGAAAAAACCGATTTTGTTTTTTTTTTTTTAGTTCGGGATTTCAGTTTTTGACAAAAATTGGAATTTTTTCTTTTGGTTTTTTTGCTGTAACTTGGCCAAAAATGGTCCTACACCAAAAATACATACTGTTTTGAACAGATAACAAAATAATAAATAAATCCATAACACTTTCGAGTGATTTTGAAAAATAAAATTTTCGGCATTTTATCATTTTTATAAAATTATCTCCGTTATTTTTTTTAATATTGCCCTCAATCAAAACCAAGTTAATTTACATTGGTAGTCCTAAAACTTGTTCTGTGTGTAACGATTACAGAACCAGTAATACGCAAAAAAATAGAGAAAGCTGGCAACAAATGCAGGTAAATATTCACAGAGGATTCAGTTTACAGTCTGGGTCATTGAAGTGGTTTGAAGAGAAAGCTAATCACAATTGATCAGTGCTTGCTGATCTATAATAATGATAATAATAGTACTATTTCGACACGAAAAAAAATGTATCTAAAATTACAAGCCAATATTCACTTAAATACAGATACATAAAGAACTATATCAGTACAGAATTCGACCTAAATGAAAGTGTATAACTTGTATCTGAATGCCATATCAATTTCATCACAGTTTCTCGAGGCTGCTATCACTTTTATGGCCGCTCCTGTCTTTAAACCAGAACCCCAGAGAAAAGTGTAGTAGAAAGGCAGACAATCTCATCATATAGATAGGGGCAGCGAGGAAGAGGGAAGCTTTAGAGGTTTTCAAATGAAAATTGTTTGTGCTCGTTAATGAGTGGAAAATAATGCCGGTTCTGGTATTGAAATTGGAGCGGGCAACCGGTTCGATGGCGACAGATTCAGATTCGAATGGACTCGATTGCAAAATCGATTTGCAATGGCAAACTGGAAATTTTACATCAAATCTAAGTTTCTTAGTTAACTTTTTATCTAGTAAATATGCGGAATACACAATGCATGCATTTTTTTTTTCTAAACCATGACTATTAACAATTTAGATACATATATCAAACATGTGGTTAAAACTTTCGCATGCAGACTAAAGGGAATTAAATGAAATCCCTACAGCTTAGAAGCCCCTGGAATCTTGGGGGCGAAATATCGCTGGTGTTGCTGTAGGTTCATCGCACCCCCGATAAGATAACTATTCAACTTTTTGTCGAATGTGTAAACTGAATCGCTGCCGTTCTTGATTATTAGCATGTCGCCGGTTACCCAACAACTAGAAATAGAAATTTCTGATATTATTGCCATCTGCTGTGCATGTTTTTCCCCCCAGAAGGTTCCCATTCCGATTCATCGTGTTATTGCTTTTCCCCGGTATCCGATCTACGATCCGAGAAAATGACGAAATCAGACATATTTCATTATTCGTTTTACATATAGGTAAAGAGGGGAACACTTTGTTCCCTTTGGGGTTCATTGATAAGAAAGTAATCGCCTCTCAGGAATTGTATATGTATTGTTTATATGGCAAATCAATTAGAACAGCGAATGCATTATCTATATTAAGCTAATCACCAGGAATATAGTTTTGTATATTTCATTTTCATAACTGTATTTAATTTAACAACTTAAAAAAATATGAATTCAAGATGACTGTCACTGTTTAAAATTTAAACCCGTCATCGTAATAACCTCCTTATCAGACGTGGGAAAAGATGATTCTGTAACTAGGTAAATTTACTTTTAGATTATAAAAGCGGTGTGTTTACTTAATAATTTATTAGTCTCCCTTATTTTATCCTAGGATCAACAAGGTTTGCTTTTATTCTATAAATCACTCATCAGACAAAAAAAAAGAAGATTGAAACCAAGTAAAGTCTCTTAATTGACGACAATACTATGGAAAAAGTCCCCACAGTCATCTAGAAAAACACTCAAAAATTAAGAAGAAGTACACTATTTCCAAGCCCTGTGAATCACTTAAGCTACAAGGGAAACAAAGGGAAATAGTTGACCAAACACATGATATCGTTCAGAATTATTATTTATCGTTCAATTAGCGGGTCATTAAGTGAAAACCAAGCGGGTGGTGTGCAAAATTGAGGAAGGATTGGGATGGCATAATGCTTTGATCACACCAAAGGGTGACAATTGTTGCTAATTATCGATGGTATCGATCGATCTTTGCCCAGGTTCCCCCAATTGATAAATGATGGGGGTGTCGTGTGCGTGTGTACACTCCACATTCTATAGGAAAGACCTTTATAAATTTTATTTCCTCTAAACCAATAAAATATTTTATATTTATAAAAAACAATTTATAGGTTTATCGAGTTATAAACGTTCTACTGTTGTCAAAATTCCTCTTCTAGGGCTCTCTATTCTATTCTCTATTTTTTTGTTTGGCTTGCATCTTATCGCCCGCGATTCGTTGTTACAATTTTAGAACATTTTCAATTTGAATTGAGATTGCCCGTAGTTGTTGCTGTCGTCGTCGTAGTGCACTTATCGCCGGACGATAAGAATCGGAAGAAAACATATGTTTTGCTCAACAGTTTACACTCCCAATTCCGACTACCGATCGGGCGAACAAACCTAAAACAAGTTAACAAGCCAATGTTCCGGTAACAAATGAGAAACTACAACTTTAACTAATTTAATGAGAGTTAATGGAAGAGTCCGAAGTTGAAGTTTAAGTGCTAATTGATTTAAAGATAAGAAGCAGTGTGGAATTAGCCTAATCCATATGTTTAAAAGTCAACCATATAAAACCAAGACTTCTATAAATTCTCTTATAATTATTGTATTTAAGTATTGCTTATAAAAACCAAAAACCAATCCAAGTTTATGGAATTAAATTCAATAGAATACAAACTATGACTATAAATATAATATATCACAGTATTTTTTAGAGATCTTGAATACTATTCTATTCTAGGAATTATTTCTAAAATTCTAAAAAGCTAATAACAATTTAGAGATCTTAAATACAATGCATTGCTTACAACCTCCTACGATTAATAAACCCAAAATAATGTTCATTTGATATTATATTCAGAATTAAATTCAAATGCATGCGATTGTATGGCCTTATATCTTATCTTACAGATACAACTGACTGACGTTTGCAATAGGCCACCATTTTTTTACCTTATTTAAATCAGAAATATTTTTCAGTGTCATATAATCGAAATAGTTTCATTTGCTTTTCTTCGTCGTGTGCATATCCATGTCGAAAATGCGAAAAAAAGCGCAAAAGGCAAGTGAACTGAAACTGGAAACCAGTTTCATTGCAATCATAATTATGAAGCTCTCATTTATGCATTTTATATTGCTGTTGTATTTCACTTTTTCAAACGGTGCACGTACGCAAGGTAAATCCAGGTATGCAAAGTGATTTTTGTGAGTAAGCTAGAAGTTAAAACCAATGTGTGATCAAACAAGGGTCGAGCGCATTTTATTGCATAATAGCAAACTAATTTCAAATCAAGATCTGCGAGACCAGAGCAGAAATATTTAAGCAACCAGAAAAAAAAGAGCACAGCTCTAAATCAATGTGAAGGTGAATGAAACTGGAAATGCACAACGAAAAAAATTTATTGGTTCATTTAAAAAAAGAAAAATATTAAATGATCAATATGAAAATAAAAAAAAATTTTTAATAGGTACTACAAAAATGAAATACCTTTACATTTTTTTTGGCACCCTTGTATAATTTTTATACCCTTGCAGAGGGTATTATGATTTCAGTCAGAAGTTTGCAACGCAGTGAAGGAGACGTTTCCGACCCCATAAAGTATATATATTCTTGATCAGCATCACAAGACGAGTCGATCTAGCCATGTCCGTCTGTCCGTCTGTCCGTCCGTCTGTCCGTCTGTCTGTCTGTCCGTCTGTCCGTCTGTCCGTCTGTCCGTCTGTCTGTTTCTACGCAAACTAGTCTCTCAGTTTTTGAGCTATCGGGACGAAACTTTCGCAAAAGTCTTCTTTCTATTGCAGGTAGTATATATGTCGGAGCCGACCGGATCGGACAACTATATCTTATAGCTCCCATAGGAAGGATCGGAAGAAAAAAACTTTAAAAAATTCTAGCTTCGGTGTTTTTTGAAATATTACCTTCTACTTTTGGGGATGTTATTTTTTAAATATATCTGAATTTCGAATTAATTATTTAAAAAATCGGACTACTATATCATATAGCTGCCATAGGAACGATCGGAAAATTAATGGAAAAGTAATAGGAAATAAATTCTAGCTTCTTTGATTTTTATTGTATTATCTTCTACTCTAGGATATGACTCTTTTTAAATATTTCCGAATTTCAATTTTAATTTGATCAAAATCGGACGACTATATCATATAGCTGCCATAGGAACGATCGGAAAATTAATGAGAAATATTAGAAAATTAACATTTTTGCGATTTGTTAATTAATAGGAATGATCTGCAAGGGTATATAAGCTTCGGCTGGCCGAAGCTAGCTTCCTTTCTTGTTTTTTATTGAGTTATGAATTTAATAAGGTTAATTTTGGTGTAGAATTACGAATTAAATAAAAAATAAATAAATATTTATATATAATATGAAAATATAATTAGCATCTAATATTTTCTCCCCGTGTAAAATGTGGAAGTGGACTGGAGTTCGTGGTCACGCATGCGGAGCAGAGAGAGCCAAACTGAAAAAGAGAGAGGTCTCCCTCTTTCCAGACAAAAGCGAGATTAATTCCTCAGTTTTGCCTGCGATCGTGGGTATATGCTTATATATATATTTTTATACATACATATATATTTTGGGGCGTGTATTCGAGCTCTTTCACTTTTGTTTTGATTTTTTTTCGTGCCCAGGCGGACTTTCAGTTTCAAGGCTTAAATGTTGGTTGGTAAAGGCCTGTCCATAATAACTCGATAGTCAAATTATATTTTATGCAAACAAAGAGCCAGCAATCACAACTCGTCTTTTGTTCTTTAAATTCCTCTTTCCCTTTCTCTCGGCTAATCTTATATGGGTACTTCCTGAACACTCGCAGAAAATACTCTATATCTATAAGAATTTTCCTATTGATTTAATTAGAATTTCATAATAAAATGAAACTAATAATAAACCTTGTAAAATCTAACGAGTGCAAAATGTTCTAATCTTCCGAGTAAATTTCCCTTAGTTTTATGTGCATTTTTATGCATAATCACTTTCTCGCGTTTCAGTCTTTCCACCCCCCCATTAAATTCCCCAACTGTTCCAGATAACTTTACTGCCCACGCACACAGGCGCAGATCTAAGCACTTTAATCTAGTTGCCATTGCCATTGTTTGCCTTAAGCATAGTGTATGGTGTATATAGAGTCCCTCTTATCGTCGGAACCACTGTTCCCACCCTCCCGAATGTGAAAATATAACCCCCGGGCCATGGAGCATAAAGAAAACCGAGTATATCAGTTACAATAAACAATTGCTGGGCCAGTTTTGAGTTGTGAAAAGTGAACAAAACACTTTTTGCACCGATTCCAGTCGATGATCTCGAAGCTGGGAGGTTAATAAAGAACAGCTGTTGCTTCTTGCTAAATCAGGGAAAAGTTTTAAGTACCCTTGATATAAATATTTATATTATTAGTTCTAGAAAAAAAGATTCTTTAGGAATAGGGATCTCATTCTGTATATTTGTAACCCTAAAGTTCAAGGGTATACAAGATATAGGATCATTATTTAGGCCGAATTTCCAGCCAGCTGTTAAAAACATACGGCAGCAACAGGTGCATATCGGTTGATGGCCTGGTTCCAGGTGTTTATTCTAAATGTTGCGTAACACTTGTCACTTGCACTTGCGGAATGCTAGATTCGCGATCCCATTGTGTGACCCCGCCCGCGATTCCAGATAGTCTAGTCACATATTCACATAGGTATTGTGTTTTGGATAGCAACTGTTTGGTGATTTAAATACTGAGATCGAGTTTAACTCTGTTAAATGATTTAAATAAATATTTCCTCTAAATAAATACACTACGATTAATCATTAAAAAGCTATCTTATATCGTAAATACAATATTCCAAATTATTTCCAATTATTTCACTTAAATGGCTAGCTTTGATTTCAGAAAAATACTATATTTTACTACTAAATGATTATGGAAATGAATTATTTTGATTTCAGAAAAAAGACAATATTTTACTATTAAATAATTTTGGAAATGGATTAATTTGATTTCAGAAAAATGCAATATTTTGCTAGTAAATGATTATAAAAATATATTAGTTTGATTTCAAAAAAATACAAAATTTAACTACTAAATGATTATGGAAATAGATTAATTTGATTTCAGAAAAATTCAAAATTTCACTACTAAATGATTATGGAAATGGATTACTTTAATTTCAGAAAAATACAATATTTAACTACTAAATGATTATCCAAATGGATTACTTTGAGTTCAAAAAAATACAATATTTTACTACTAAATGATTATGGAAATGCATTACTTTGCTTTCATAAAAAGACAATATTTTACCACTCACCCCTTTTCGTTAGCAGTGTAACGGAGGCGCTGGTCACGCCCTTTATCTTGAGCACATGGCTCTCGATCTTGTTGACGCAGGAGGCGCAGGTCATGCCCATGATCTCCAGCTCCACCTCCGCCTCGCCGTTGTCGGGCTCATCGATGAGTTCGGTGGGGAAGCCGAGCTCTGTGATGGATTTGGCTATATTCTCGGCCGTCACCACGTTGGCATTGAACTTGACCTCCGCCTTGGCGGCCAGCAGGGCCACCAAAATGGTGTCCAGGCCGTAGATCTTCTTGCAGTGCTTCTCGATGGCCGCCACGCAGCTGGCGCAGGTCATGCCACGGATGTGCAGGAAGCACTTGGTCAGCAGCTCCTGTTCGATGGGTATGGCCACTGCGGAGCCATTTTGTGCAGCCGGAGGAGTTTCCCTCTTCCTGGGCGACGAGGCGGCGGGTGAGGGAGACTTGGATTTGGAGGTAGTTTCCCAATCCGCTGGCTGCACGCTCGCCTCGAAGCCCATGTCGTCGATGAGCTCGGCTATCTGGGCGGGATCATGCTGGGCGGGATCATACTGGACGCGGGCATTCTTGGCCGCCAGCTGCACCTCGATGCTGTGGATGCCCGGCTTGGTGCCGATGTTGCCCTCGATGTTGCGTACGCACGACTGGCAGGTCATGCCCACCACCCGGATGTTGGTCCAGGCGGAGGAGGAGGAGGAGGAGGATTGCTGGGTATCCGTAGGATAGCTGCACTCGAAGCCCATGTCGTCGATATCGCTGGCTATCCGCGAGGGATCCGTTTGCCGCGGATCGTAGTCAAAGTAGCCCGCCTGCTCCTCCAGGACAACGCGAACCGTGATTATTCCCGGTTTCTGGCCAATCTGCTCCTGGATGTTGCGCACGCACGACTGGCAGGTCATGCCCACAATGGGCAGGCGCACCGTGGACATGTCCTCACTGCTCCTCTGCATCCTGAATTTGCATTATTTTTTAGGTTTGGAAACTCTCGAGTTGCCCCTCGCTCTATCGCCGTCCCTGTTGCACGCTCGCCGTGTCCCCGTATTGTGTCACTAACTGAACTGCAGCTGCCACCGATTTGGATGTGTTGTGCCGGAATAGTCGCCTCCAGCTTCGGGCAGCGCTTTTCACTCGCCCAATCGCCACACGAAACTCACAATTTTGCGTTTTTGTGTGTTTGATTTCCCAATTAGCAGGCAACAGCTGCTCCGCTCCCGTTATGTTTTCGCACGGCACGCAACTGGCAGCTATCGGTTGGGGCACTCGCACTCCGATATGCGAGTGCTGTGCAATCGGAGAGCCTATCGATAGCTCCCATTTATCGGTATTTCGTGTTACAAAACTATCGCAAAAGTATTTGTTTAAATGACTTTAGAAATTACATATTCGGCAATTTTTGAATCCTCTAGTTATCAATTTAAAACAAAAACTTTTTTATGTATTTATACTAGAAACAATTGGATAAAAACTAAGCATTTTGGGAAGATTACTCGTGAAATGTAAAAACAAAAAAAACAAATAGTTCCAAATTATATTTCTTTATGCATACCGTTATCAGGGTTAAAGCGTGATCGTAGGAACAATATCGAAATTTGATGTTTTTCAAAATAATTTCAGTTATTATATTCCTTTCCCATTTTCAATGGTGAAATCTGCGAGGGTATTAAAACTTCGGCTTGCCGGAACTTTTACTATTCAAAATGGAAGAATTTTGGCATCAACTATCGTTAGAAATCAGTGATCACTGATCCTACTGTGACTTTCACAGACTAGAATAGCCCAAATGGAACACAAACATAAATCGAAAAATCGACCGACTATCGATGACTAGTGGCCGTGCGATTTTTGATTTTGACATTTAGATTTGTTGTCCTGTCCCGTCTTGTCGAATTGGAATTTCCGAAAGCATAAGTTTTTACAGTTTTGAGGCCGGATCTGGAATCTCCAAATCATGCCGGTGGTGGAGCTGAGCGTGGACCGCAGCCTGGTGTGTCCGAGCTTCGATGGCTACAAGCTGTCCTTCGATCCGGTGCCGGTGCTCCGTCAGGACCTGGATAGCGATCCCCTCGTCCAGGAGCCGCACGCCAATCAGTACTCGCTGCTGCACGTGGAGCTCTTCGGCCGGCACAATCACCTGGTGGCGGATCCCTGGCGGCGCCACTGCAGCTACTACATGACCGCGCGCCACCAGCTGATGCAGTGCGACTACGATCCGCAAAGTGGTCAGGCGCTTGGTCAGCGTGTCGTCTTCTCGCTGGAGTACCGCGACCAGGGCGACGGTCATCAGCATTTGGCAGGCGACTACAACTACACGATCGCCTTCGTTTCGGAGCGCTTCTGTGTGATCTGCGATGGAATGACCTCGTACCACCTGGTGGACACGGGCGATCGATCGCGTTCCGGGGCGCAGAACTGGGAGCGGATTGCCCGAACGCCGGTGGATCAGAGCAGCGATCAGCGCGGCTTTGCCCTGTTCGATGCCCGGCTGGATGTGGTGCAGGAGCGCAAGCAAATCTCCCTGGTGGCCGGCCATGTGGCACGAAGGGAGGCTGTCTCGTCGCGGCAGGATCATCAGACGCATGTCTACTACATGGCCCTCACCTGGGCACGCTGGTCGCAATCGTCGGCTGCCGGTGGCGAGTGGTCATATGCCGTCTGCCAGCGTCTGGAGACCACGGGCTCTGTGCACTATTGCGCCTTTGAGCCGCGCGCCGAGTCCCTGATCCTGGCCAGCAATCGCGAGGTGCAGACGCCCGAGCAGCGACAGGCGGCCGAAGAAGCCGCTGCAAATGCCCCACCTGCAGTTCCTGCGGATGAGCAGCTGCAACAGCCATACCACTTTTCCCAGACGGCGGACAAGGTGCTCATCCGCTTGGAAGTGCCCAGCGGTGCCTCCAAGGACGAGTTCAACGTGCGCTGCACGCCCAGCAGTCTGGCGGTGGATTATGCGGATCAGGAGATCTTCAGCGGTGAGCTGTACGCCAATGTCAACGAGGATTTCATCAATTGGTCATTAGAGGAACTCCTGGAAGTGTCGCTGTCCAAGGCGGAGCAAAAGGAATGGCCCAGATTGCTGGCACAGAACGAAGGCGAGGCAGCTGCGCCGCTGCCCATTCCCAATCTAGAGGATCCCATCGAGGAATGCGATTTGGGGCTGCCCGACGAGGACTTTAAGATGGGTGAGTGGGTTATATAGCTACACCAGATCATATCTAATCTTAATCTCTGACAGTACGCTTCAATCTGTCGACTGGCAGCATCACGCACACCATTTTCCTGGGCTCCACACCGCTGCTTTTCTCCGCCACACTGCGTCCCGGGTTTCCGGCCGCCTTTGCCACGCGCCAGGGCGTCGATGCCTCCATTTGGCTGCAGATGCACCAGCCCAGTCGCCCCGACGAGTGGAGCGTCCGGCACGAGGGACAACTGCACGCCTTCGGCTATGTGCAGGCCTCCAAGGAGCAGCGCAAGTTCACCGGCTGCTGTCCGGAGCTCGAGTACGTGGCCATCTGCGAGAGCATCCGGCATGTGCTCGTCTACCGGCCGCGCCACGACTCCGCCGGCGGTCTGCGCAAGCGCAACGGTCCGCCCGTCACCGTCGGCAAGCAGAACCTCATCACTTTGGACTACACGGTCGGCGAGATCCTGGGCATGTCCACGGCCAGCAATGTGCTCACCATTCTGACTAGGCACGCCCTGCTGCACCTGCAGGTTTAGGTTCGGACTTTTCTATTTTTACTTACGTTCACAAATTTCCCGTTGGGCGGACAATAAATGCATTTCGTTGAGCAATCAATGCCCTCTAAATTACAATACTGAAATGTACTTCAGGGAATTGTTTTCAATATATTTTGAAAAAAATTTAAAAATTATTTTAAATGAATTTTTGGTGGATTTATTATTTTAAAACTACAAATATTTGATAAAAAAAAAAAGAAAACAAAAGAAAAGTACACTTGTTACTATTTATTAATAGTAATTTAATTAGTTAGCAGTTTAATTTATAAGTTTTTTTTATTTTCAATGGTGTATTTGTGCATTGTTGTTTATAAATAAATAAATTGAATTCAATTTTGGCGCCAACGAAGCACAGGGTGCCCTAAATTTGTATATCGGTCTATCGGCTTATCGGCAGTGCTGTACAGCGGCGAAAAGAGTGTTGACACGTGTCAGAACATTCGGAGCAATCGCAGAACGATAGGCAAGAACGCCGCAAGGGCTATCGATATCACATCACAAAAAACAAAAACACGTCACGTAATCCGGATATCAATATCACCGGAGGCTCGGTGAGTACGAAAGGGACGAAGTGGGACAGCTGGACACCCGGCCAGGTGGCATCGCAGAGTCGCCGAATCTAGTGACCCAGTGTTTTCCCTTTGCAGCTGGGCAATCGCAGGCGGTGTCAGCAGAGAGAGAGAATCGATAGCACAGAGTCCGCGGACGTGGAGCCCCCAGCGAATACCAAAAAGCGAGAGAGAGAGAGAGAGCAAGAGGAGAGCCCAAAATGAACACACAAATCGCAATCCTTGTGGCGGCCCTCATGATGCACTGCATCCAGGCCGTGGAGTTCACCTTCGACCTGGCCGACAACGCGGAGGACTGCTTCTACGAGGAGATCAAGAAGAACTCGAGCGCCTACTTCGAGTTCCAGGTCTCCGCCGGCGGCCAACTGGACGTCGATGTGACGCTGAAGGATCCGCAGGGCAAGGTCATCTACAAGCTGGAGAAGGCCACCTTCGATAGCCACCAGTTCGTGGCGGAGACGACGGGCGTCTATACCGCATGCTTCGGCAATCAGTTCTCGGCCTTCTCGCACAAGATCGTCTACGTGGACTTCCAGGTGGGCGAGGAGCCGGCCCTGCCCGGCGTGGATGAGCACGCCACCGTGCTCACCCAGATGGAGACCTCCTCGCAGGCCATACACAAGGGCCTCAACGACATCCTCGACGCCCAGACGCATCATCGGCTGCGGGAGGCGCAGGGACGCAAGCGGGCCGAGGATCTCAACCAGCGGGTGATGGTCTGGTCCTCCCTGGAAACGGCCGCCGTCATCCTGATCGGCCTCGTCCAGATCATGGTGCTGCGCAACTTCTTCACGGACCGAAAGCCCAGCCAGGCGCACTACGGGCGGCTCTAGAGGATCGGATTGATCTAGCTTTGTGTAAGAAGCCCTTCGGAAGGGAAGGGAACCATCCAAATCCCCCCAGAAAAATGTTGTCAATCTCGTCTTAGCCACAACGTATTCATTCCCCCCCCCCTCCCCCTCAAGGGCGTTTTCTTTAGGGGAGAAAAAAATAACCCCCCCTAAACGACATGTAATATTTTTTTGTTAAGACCCCAACCGGAAAAACAGAATGGTTTTTTTTTTTATTAAATACATGCAAAAGCAACCATAACTCGATAGCTAAAGGTAAACACATTGAGCGTTTTAATAGGGGGTTTAAGTATATTTTAGAAATATTTTTAAAAAATATATTACAAAGAAAGGTTTAGGAAGTATACAAGAATCCTTTTTTAAGTTCGGTTTAATAGGGAATCATTAGTGTTAATATTTCCGATGGCGTGGCTTTATAGATATCGCCAAGATCTGTCCCAAAAATTCAGCTGAGTCAATAGCAAAGAACGTCGGCTGTTCGAGAAGAGTAGAAGAATTGTGTTAGGCATGGTATGATTAATTGAGTAATAATTTTAACGATAATGAGCGAGAAAAACTGTCAATTTAACGGTAGAGATATGATGATATGACTCTGTGCTGAAACCCATAATAAAGTTGTAGTTTTTATAATTCAAAAAATAAAGCAAGACTACCAATTTAATTAAATTATAAATAAATACAAAAATTCACCTGATATCATACAAAATATGATAACTAACGACACGTACTTATCAAATGGAGTTAAGGGAAAACCTTATCTCCATTGATTTCCATTAGTGTATTAACCAGATTAACAACTATCTTTCTTTGGGAACTTGGTCAAATTTTCTTCACAACTGATAAGATATCTTAGGTTCGTGTTTTTGCATTTCACACCCATGATATATGAAAAGGTAATGCGATTTCGAAATCGTGACGGATTCGGGTTACTAAACGACAATTATGCAAACAAAATTATTGCCACTGCTAAGATAATGCCCCATTGAAATGCAATAAATCTTTTTAACTGTTTTATGTACGGCCTGTCATCTTTTATTCGCTGATCTTCATTGAGCGACTTTTGGAATTTCGCAGATCTTTTGTCAATCGCGATGGCATTGCCAAATATGTATGTCCAGATATAAAATGCGATAAATGGTATGCAAATATCGTCGTTTGTCTGTATGCCAATTAATAGTATTTAAATCAGTCCAAGACAATGACAGTGACACATCGTTGGTAGTATGTTTATTGCCCCATTCATGACAAAGGGCGCTGAAACGAGACAAAAACGATTTGGCAAAATTTTAATTTTTATTTATCTGGGATATTGTTAGAAATACATTTAAAGTTTTATGGGATTACTTTAAAATGTTGTCAATAAATTACAATACATTTTATAAAAACCCTAATATTTTATATTATAAATACAAAATATTTTAAGAAATAGCTTATAATTATTAATTAATATTAACAGTAATTATTGTAATATTTTCTCAATTTCTTTAACATTCTGTCATAAAATATTCTTTTTTTTACACTTTAAATTTTCTGAAGAATTTACAGGTTTGTGTTTTTTTTCCCACCGCTTTAATCATTTAGTTGGCTGGCCCTAAAAGATGTTGGCCCGAACTGAACTTGGCAACAACAGATGGCCGGCAACTTTGGGCCAAAGTGAAGGGGAAGACAATGCTGAAGGACATGTGTAAATGAATTGTCAGCGGATCGATTGATCGATGTCAAAATGGGGTTAATCAAACGTCAACACAGTTTGCATGCTAATTATCCACATTTATAATGATAATAATAACGCGAGTAATCTTGGGACACACGTGTCAGAGGTTAAATCAGTCCATTAGTCATTCAGCTAAGAAAAAAAGCGGAATTAACCTGACTTAAAATTTAAAAGTATTTATTAGGTACTATTTCTATAAAATATTTATAATATTTTTGAATTTTTAACCTTTTTAATTATATTTACTTTTTCTAAATATAGTCCATAAAAAAACTGAGAGATACCTAAGTTTCAAGTTAGATAATTTCTTCGCGTGCAGCAATTATTTCTGGAAGGACAGGGCATGGATAATATTGGCCAGCAGGGGTAATTAAAAAATCAAATTTCAAAATCCATTCAGATTTGCATGGCGTGGCTCAATAGATAATGGCCAATCAATGAATCGTCACTGCAAAGGCCCCCAAAACAAATAAAGCGAACACGCCCCGAACTTCCTGAGGCACTCCACCCTTTTTTTTTTGTTAAACCATCCTCTGCCGTCGTAAACCCCTCCGATTCCCCCTTTTTTTTGGGCAAGAGGTCGCCGCTTTGGCTGCTGGAGACCTCTTCAGGTTTTATGTATCAATTAGTAGTTCGACGACACCGGTTCCATCCGTCAATGGGCGATCTTCGTACGGATGCTGCGAGGGCTGCTTAACGAGTTCATAAATCTAAAAGAAAATTATATTATATTATATATAAAATCGTAAAAAATTGTCCATCCTTGAAACAATATGGGGAAATTATATTAAATATATTTCATAAATTTCTAAAGAAATTTAGGAACTTATTGATCCACCCACTGGACAAACGCATTTATCCAATCGATTCGGATTCGGTTTCCCTTTTCTTTTCGTTTTCATTTTCGTATCATGTTTTTTGTGGTAGTACGTTTGTTTATCTTTATCGGCTTTGCCAAATATTTTAACGACAGAGAAAGAAAATTATTAAAAATATTTAGGATAAATGGAAAAAAGTTTTTTTTTGTTTTTTTGCTGTAACTTGGCCAAAAATGGTCCTACACCAAAAATACATACTGTTTTGAACAGATAACAAAATAATAAATAAATCCATGTAACTTTCCAGGTGATCTTGAAAAAATAAAATTTTCGTCAATTTTAATTTTTTTATAAGAGGGTACATCATAATTTTTTGAGAAAAATGTCAAAAAAAATAAAATACCCAGGCTTTAATGCCAATAGTTTGGAAATTTAATAACGAGTTCAGAAAGGTATGACAACCCATATTTGGATTAATATTTCCATTGTTACGGTCAAAAAACGAATTATTTTTTTTTTGAAAATTGGTATCTGGTTTTTCGGCAAAAATTTGCATATTTTTCTTTCTGTTTTTTGCTATAACTTCGCCAAAAATGGACCTACACCAAAAATACATACTGCTTTGAACAGATAACAAAATAATAACACTATGCAGCATCAAAAATTTACCTCGATGGATACTATATTTTTGGATTTGTTACGAATTCCAAAGTTAAACTGCGTTTTCCAAAAAGTTCCCCGACGCAAGGATTCTTAGCAAAAGGACCTCAAAGTTCGAAAAATTCCGAAATTGGCCAACTTTCCAAAGCTCTCAGAGGCAAACGGATTCATGGTTTGGTTAGATGCTAAAGTTTTATAAAAGATACACTCTTTATCTTTCAAATCCCATACTTAGAATAATTTTAGGATTTTTATTAAGGGAGAAACAAGTTTTAGAAAACATAGTCAAAAAACATAAAAGTATACAGCTGCGGTCAAAATAGTAGTAGTGTTGCCGTCATGTGTTTTTAAAAGTTTTTTGTTGTCACTTTTCTTATCCAATTAGTCTAATAGTACAATTATAATCAATACAATATCACCAGAAGAAGATGAATTACAACAACAAACTTTTAAAAACACAGGGCGGCAACACTACTACTATTTTGACCGCAGCTGTATGCTTTTAAGTTTTTTGACTATGTTTTCTGGAATCTATTTCTGCCTTAAAAAAATCCTAAAATTATTCTAAGTATGGGGTTTGAAATATAAAGAAGGTATCTTTTAAAAAACTTTAGCATCGAATCAAACCATGAATCCGTTTGCCTCTGAGAGCTCCCGAAAGTTGGCCAATTGCTGCATTTTTCGAACTTTGAGGTCCTTTTGCTAAGAATCCTTGCGTCGGGGAACTTTTTTGAAAACGCAGTTTATCTTGGGAATTCGTAACGAATCCAAAAATATAGCATCCATCGAGGTAAATTTAAAAAGCACTAAAAATGCTGCACAGTGTAATTAAATCCATGACATTTCTCGTGTGATTTTGGAAAAATAAAATTTTTGCCAATTTTTATTTTTTTTTGTAAGGGGGTACATCATGATTTTTTGCGAAAAATGTCAAAAAATAAATTGTCCAGGTTTAAATGCCAATCGATTGAATATTTAACAACGAGTTCAGAAAGGTATGACAATTCATATTTGGATCTATTATTTCCTTTGTTTCGGCTAACATACTGATTTAGGTTTAGTTGTTAGTTGTTAGTTTTTCTTTCAGTGTGGCTTTACTAAATTGCGGCTGCAACCTGTTGCTGTTGTTGTTACTGCTCGTATATGGCACAAATTTAATATTGATAAATATTCCAACTATATGCATAGCCAATAAGTATGTAAATCGACCTCCAATGGCCCACTAATGGGAGGCGATGTTTGTTAATGTGAATATATATTTTTTTACACATTTTCACAGAGAACCAGAAAGGGAGAGCGAGAGGAAGAGAGCGACAGAAAGAGAGGGAAAGTGAGCGCGAAATTAAATAATTAACAAGCCAGGCAATATGCATATCAAATCATTTAGTTATGCCAACAAACTGGAGGGGAACTCTCATAAATAATTAATAATGTATCTCAGATGCTAATTCGGGTTGAGCGGAAATTTATGGCACGAAAGAATTGAGGATTGGGCCTACAAATTCCGGATAGAGTTACAATCAAATGCATTTCATAACTTTGGAAACTATCCCTAAAATGCTTTAATTAATAGGGTATAATTACATATTACATATATGGTTTTAAAATTGATTAGATTAAAAATGAATTATAAATCGAAATTCCAAATTTATTACATAAATTGCTTTGCTGAAATATTTTGTATAATTATTTTGGAAATATTTTCTTCAAGTATGGGTATTGTTTTCTTCAAATAACTTTAAAATAATATTTTCTAAGTTTTGACCTTACATTTAACTTTTGGAAATTCCATATAATTATGCAACGCCCAAAACTTCAATAAATGCGATCCGAAATAAACGTTCACACATTGTTTTATTTAATCAGTTAATAAGTATCTGGGCCCTGGGACCCTTTGATTTTTGTTTGGCCAATATTTCGATTCAATTCAATTCGATTCAATTATTTGCATGTCCCGCCTTTGTTGACCAGCTCGTCTGAATTTTTCACCTGCCGGCCTTTTGTGTTGGCCAAGTTGTTAGCGATCGTTCGGCATTTTGTATGCATTGGCCGGTCGGTGGGCCAAATATGCATAAAGTATTTAAGCCAAGATGGGTCAAGGTTTCTCGATTCGAACATTGGCGAGGGGGGAAACCCCCCAGAGGCGAGCGCCATGGGAAAATTACACGGGTTTCTGCGGAAAACCAAATGAAAGATGTCGCTATAATGGTTATACAACGTTATTTGTTTAGCTGTGATTTGTATCGATCGGCGGTGAATAGAGTCATGTTTTATGTGTTTTGGTTTTTTTTTTAGATAAGCGAAGCGTAAATAATCCGATTTTTGGTAAGCTTTTGGTAAATAAAAAATATTTATAATTTTATTTACATGTTTATTTTTATATAGAACTAAATTTAAAATTATTAAATGCTTAGACATTTCCTATGCTTACTTTTTATCACTTACGCGTCTTTCAAACATAATAAATAATAAAATACTGGTTTTAAAAATTAACATTAATTTTGAAACTGTTTTCCGTCAGAAAAATAAAAAAGTTAACAGCTAATTGGAAGTCATCATAAACCTGCGACCGAAGTTGCACAAGAATCCACAAAGATATCGGCTAGCAGGTGGCATTATTTGAGGCAAAATTCGAGGCGGAGGTGAGGCGACATGCTTATCAATGTTTAATGTTTAATTCATGGCCCAAAAAAAAAAGGAAAACAAACAAAAAATAGCCGACACGCATTGCTAATGACAGATGTAATAATTTTTGGCAATGCCAGCCAGATATTTAGCGAGCATTTTGCGAAACCCAAAACCAAAGCCGAGAGCCCAAAGCCCCAAACCCGAAAAGCCGATGCATATGCAAAGCTAATAACAGGAAATCCAAGACACCCGATAACGAGGCGGATTACGCAATCCGGACGGAGAACACACGGTGACTGATGTCCGATGTCCGAAGCTTGAGATATTTTTGGGAGCATGCGTATTAATTACATCCGCCCAAAGCACACGGGATCGGGAATTAGATGGAATACACTGGTAAATATTGGGGAAACTTTAAACTCTGATTTCACTTACGATTATAAGGCTTTAACCCAAGTTTAAATTTAAGAAGAGATCGAGAAATTGGGCCAAAGTATAAGCTACTTGTTATAGGATCTTCAGATTGATGCAAAATGGTTCTCATCTAATATATAAGTTTTATATTTGGATGGAAACCAAAAAAACACTAATATAAATTGTTATTTATTAAATTTATGAAATTTATTATTAAGACTTACTTATGACTTATTATAACTTTTAATGCATTTGCATTTTATTTAAGAACGAATGGAAATGGCATGGAAAGTTAAAATCCCTTTTCTAATCATTCACTTTCCAAGACATTGTAAACTAATATCTATTCTACAATTTGTTTATTTCAAGATATATTTTCCAGAATATAATAAATATGTATTTAATATTTTCTTTAAAAGGTATTTAAAAAAGTGTTTCTCAGATCAATCTAAAAACATTTTTGATATAAGTCTTTGATATTCCCTCAAAATATGTACATTTTCTATACTCATCCATTAATTACTCACAAATATATCTAAGCTACTAGCCATGTTATAATGGCAAATACCATCTAGTCTATTGGTTTTTCTGGGTGTACGGCTAGTAGTCAACCGGCGATAACTCAATAAGCGGAATCTGCATTTTCGAGCGAAATGCGAACAAAGTCGAAGCGCAACTATTTGAAAATGTTGCGCAGCATCCAAAATCCGAAATCCCAAAGTAACTATAAGCCCAACTAATGAAAGGCCCCCTTTCTGACCACCTTGGAGTTTGGCGAAAGATGATGATGGAGCATTGGGGTTTGGGGTTCGGTGTTCGGGGGAAATGAAGATGTCGATCGCTGAAGATGCGACCGACTAGTTTTCGTTTTCGTTTTCGGATCGGATGGGCCCTTGTATAAAACGCGTGGCCGGGTCAATCGGGGCATCATTGATCGGTTGGACATCGAGGGCTCAGGCACGACCACTGTGAAGATGAATGTAAGCAGAGAGGCTAAGGATTACCATTAAGCCATATATTCATCCCTATAATATTATAATCGCTGATAAGTGATTACCTTAGCTACTTTTTTTTTCTGTGACTCAAAAACTGTGCTCTTTTTTTATTCGCTTCGTTCTCGGTGAAGTTCTTTGGCGCCCTTACCGCGCTTTTCGCCATCTGTGCGCTATGTGGATTAACCCAAGCGGATATATCGCTCAAGTTGCAACAGCAACAGCAGCAGCAGCAACAGCCGCTGATCGTCAAGGAGCAGTACTACAAGACGGGCGGCGGCTTCCAGGAGAGCAACTACGGCAATTCCGGCTATCAAATCTTCGAGGTTCACAACCACTTCGCTGGTAATCATGGCAAGGGTCCCTCTTACCTGCCTCCCCAGGCTCAGAGTTCCAATGGTCATGGTCATGATGACAGCTTGGATTTGTCCTTCCTGAACTTTGCCGATGCTCCAGCTTCAGTTGCTCCTGCTTCTCCGATTCCTGTGCCCTTCCCTTCGAGCTATCGGCACGATTTCCAGCAAAAGGCTCAGGTTTCCAGCTCGGTGGGTTACACTGGGCAGGCCTATCTGCCGCCCAGCGCAGCCACGCCCATTGTGCAGCAGCAGCAGCAACAGCAACAGCAAGTGGTGCAGCAGCAACAGGTGCAACAGCAAGTGATTCCACAGCAAGTGGTGCAACAAGAACAGCAAGTAGTGCAGCAGCAGCAACAGCAAGTGGTGCAGCAGCAACATGTGCAACAGCAACAGGTGCAACAGCAACAGGTGCAACAGCAACAGCAGTACAGCCAACAGAGCTACGAGGCACCCGGATATCTGCCACCCACTTCCGCCGCTCAGGTTTCCCAGCCAGTGTCCAACTACCAGGCCTTCCAAGGACCTACCTACCTGCCACCTCAGCAGCAGCAGCAGCAGCAACAGCAGGTTCAAGAGGTGCAACAAGTGCAGCAGCAACAAGTGCAGCAGGTGCAGGAAGTCCAACAGCAGCAACAGCAGATTTCTGGCCAGGAATACCGGGCTCCTGGTTATTTGCCACCTGGCTATGACTTCGCCAATCCCGACCAGCTGCCAGTGAGCCTGGGTGCGAGTGTTGCCACCAGCTCATCGGCTCAGAATGTGGCCACAACCCAGCAGGTTGCAGGCGAGTATCGTGCCCCTGGCTATCTGCCACCCGGCTACGATGAGCCACGTCCTCAGGCACCCAACCAGATCGCCTACCAGCAACCACAGCAGCAGCAGCAGCAACAGCAGCAGCAACAGCAGGTGTATGTTGCTCCCACACAAGCAACTGTCAGCAATCCCGGTGAACTTCCCGATGGCTATGACTTTGTGAAGCCCGAAAATGCCGAGGCAGCGATCGCTGAGCTGCACAGTCTGCAAACGGCCACCAAGCTGCTGAAGCAGCAACAGGAGCAGCAATTGCGGTTGCAGCAGCAGCAGCAGCAGCAGCAGCAACAGCAACACGCAGATATTGTCTACGGTCGCCCCAAATCGCAGCAACATCAGCAACATTTCACGGCTCCTGGTTATCTGCCGCCCACAAACGCTGTTGCGGCTCCAGTTGCAGCTCCTTCTCCCGTTTCCATTCCAGCTCCTGCTCCCTTGGCTGCCCCGGCAGCAGCTCCTGTCGCCGTTGTCCAGGCAACAGCAACATCCAGCTCCCACCAGCAGCAACAGCAATACAGGGCTTCTGGTTATTTGCCTCCAGCTGTGGCGGCTCCTGCTCCAGTTCCTGCTCCTGCTCCTGCTCCTATCCATGTTGCAGCTCCTGCTCCCGCTCCCATCCATGTTGCTGCTCCTGCTCCCGCTCCCCTTCGCCTGGCCACTCCCACGCCCATCCATGTGGCCGGACCAGCGCCGATAGCCATCTCCCTGCCTTTGCCAGCTCCCGCGCCCACCCAGGTCACCCACATCCACTCGCTGAGGAGCTACATGAACACCGTGCAGCCCTTCGCCCGCTATGCGCAGCAACATCACCAGGTGCAACATCATCAGCAGAAGCAGGTGCAGCAACAACAGGTCGTCGAGGTGGCGCCCATGTACCGTGAGCAGTCGAAGAGGCCTCGTTTCTATGCCCCCGCCTATGTGAGCAGTGCTGTGGTGCCCCGCCAGCAGCAGCAGCAGCACCTGCACCACCACTACCACCACCGGGTGGTGCAGCAGCAGCAGCAGCAACAGCCCACTCTAAACTTTAAGGCCCAGCAGTCGCTGCAAAAGTTCATGCCCAAGGACGTTCAGGTGGCGGTGAATGTGGCCATGGCCGCCACCGCTCCGGTGGTGGCGCCACCCGCCCTGCGTGGCAGCTCCCGGGTGCGAACCGTGCAGATCGTGAAGCCCAATGCGGCGCCGCGGACCTTCAAGGTGCTGGAGCAGCTGGATCAAAACGGAGTCAAGACCATTAAGATTCTGGGGGCCACCAGCGAGCAGCCGCAGGGACGTCACCAGGTGGTGAAGGTGGTGACCCAGAATGCGCACAGTGGGGCCGAAAGTCATGTGCAGACGGTCAAGATTTACGATGCAGTGCAGCAGCAGCCGCAGCAACAACCACTGAGATTGCAGCCCATTTTGAATCTTGGCCAGAATAACGCCTACTTGCCGCCGGCTCGTCCCAGGTCGCGAATTGTGCGCCAGGCCTCCAAGCCGCTGCGCCTCTATCCCGTTGCCACCCTCTAAGGGGTTGAAGTCCGGGGTCAGGGGTCAAGGTCAACCAGCTCCCAGCACTGATTAGTTGTTAATTTCATCATCCCAGCAGCGACTATTATTTTTTTTCTACCTCATTTCGCATGCATTTCTGCCAGCAAATCGAAATCCAAATACCACCACACAAATCGCATTCGAAATCAAATCATTTGCATGCAATAACAACCGATTCGAATTTCTTACCTAATAAATTTATACTTACGTAAAATATGTAAATAATTTGACTGTTTAATTTCGTTGATTGGGAGTTGGGATTCGGGGATTACTCATTTTATAAAGTTGGACCTTGAATTTGGAATGCGGTCGGCAAATGGGTTGCATTAAATCTGTGAAAAGATTGACGGAAATCGCAGGTATTCCACATTTAATGGGATTTAAATTGGTTTTGATTACAGTCCTCACTATATTTATTATTTATATATTTTATTTTTTTTTTTGAAGAGTTATAATAGATGATAATAATAGTATTGTCTTAACTTTGAACATATTCATAATACAGTAAATCATTTGAATTAAAATTCAGCTCAAGTTATAAATCTTCTTTTATGGTTTCAAAATAAGTCATATAAACAACTTCGCAAGAGTCCAATTTCAAATGATCTCTATGATGATTTAGACGATGTCTCTGCTTTTTGATTATTCATCCCAACCCAAAGGCGTGTCTTCCCCTTCTCAAACGTAAACTCAAACCAAAAACTCTCTCCCAACGCGTGACCTTCGTGGTTTCGTTTGGGGGTTTTGGGTTTTTGGGTTTTCGGCCTGTGGGTTTTGACGGGTCTTAAATTTGTTTGCTTCCGCTCTTAGTAACTTAGTAAGAGGCGCATAGTGAAAGGCCCGACCGGATTTACGGGCCTACACGTTTCATTTTCTGTTTATGTGTTGCTCGATGACAATTAATCGCACCTTACTCAATACTAAATATCTTAGGCTTCCCCTCAACATAAAACCGATTGATTAGGCAAATAGTTATTAGGAAACCATTTTCCCACCGTATGAAATATAATAGTAAATGTGCTTCCTAAAAAATGTTATAAAAAAAAATCAAATTCTTTTAATATTAGTTTATTATATTTACTTTTTATTTTATATTTTGCATTTTTTGGCAAATAGTTATTAGGAAACCATTTTCCCACCGTATGAAATTTAATAGTAAATGTGCTTCCTAACACGAAAATATTATTATATAAAAATAATCAAATTCTTTTAATATTAGATTATTATATTTACTTTCTATTTTATATTTTGCATTTTTAAATTTTCTTTTTTTGTTTTGAACTATATTTTGTTGAGTGTATTCCATATAAATGCATTCAATGCCTCCGCCTTATTGATATAAAACCAGTGTTTGGACACCGCCCGATGACATAATTCCCAATCGAATGCAGCTAAGCCCTCGGCCTAACAAAAGATGAACCACTCTAATATTTATTGAACCCTCGAGACGAACAAAAACATCATTGAAAACTAGTCGGCAAAGCCCATGCACAAGCGAAAAATAATATTTGGATTTAGAAAGATATAAAATATGATTAAATATTTTTAGGTAATAAACAAATAAAAGCAAGAATATCAATGGTTTCCTTATGACCAAATTATTATATCACTTTATTTTATTTCTCGTTTTAAAGGAAATACTTTCTACTTTTATACACTCCTTAGGATTTCATATTTTTATGGGGTTTCTTTTTGGTAAGTAAATACTTTTTAAACTAGAACTTAAGAATTATCGATATTTTCGATGTTTTTAAAATAGCGACTCGATAATATTGATGTTTTCAAGGAAAAATACATTAAGTATCGATACATAGCAAACTGTCGATATTTTTTCAATCCCTCTTCCCAAGGATAATACCAGATCTAATTTCCAGATCTTCCTTTTCTATCGATTTTTTAGATTTTCTAGCCTAGACCTTTCGTGGTTTAAACTGCAGCCAGATGCCGCCCTTGTGGACGCCCACAAAGATGACGGGATCTATTTGGGTGCCGTTCCGGGTGCGAGGACTGACCAGGACCTCGAACCGCTGGACAATGGCCGCCAGGGCGGCCTTCGCCATGGCCAGGCCCAATCGCATCCCGACGCACTGACGAGGTCCGTTGCCGAAGCCCAGGAAGATGCCCTGCTGCTTGAATCGCTTCAGGCCACCGTCCAGGAATCTCTCGGGTCGAAATGCCTCCGGTTCCGGATAGAACTCGGGATCGTTGTGCAGGGCATAGATGGGCACCATCAGGTTGTCGCCGGGTCGCAGCTTCAGCGGTTCCGCATGGTGACTGCCCCGCAGTTCGAACTCCTTGGTGCAGGTCTTCGAGGACCAACCGCCGGCGGGATAAATGCGCAAGCTCTCTGGAAAGATGGGATATATATATTCTTCACACAAAAAAGCATGATCCCGTAAAATCGATATGGCCATGTAAATTTCATGCAAAGCGCACATCTTTTTTACATGAAATACTCTTTTTGATTCAATTAAAATTGATGTTCAATAATGTAAAATCGATCTACGATTCATATCGATTTTTTACGAACCATTGAAGCAGGCACTCAGGTAGGGCAGGTCGATCAGAGCGTCCAGATCGGGCAGTTTCCCGTCGGGACTGGACTTCTGGAGCTCCTCGAACAGACGTCGCTGGCAATCCGGATTGCGACCAAGCTGGAAGGATTTGTAAGATAAAAAAAACATAAACCCATATCGTTTTTACATGAAATACTCTTTTCGACCAGGTCAAATCAAATTAAAATTGATCTTAAATAATGTTAAATCGATCTACGTTTCATATCGATTTTTTTTGGGTGAGAACTCTTAACTCACCAGCAGAAGACAGTGGGCAATGCTGTTGGAGGTGGTGTCCAGGCCGTCGAACATGAAGGTCATGACATGCGAGGCCATGTCCTCCTCGCTGAGATCGAGCTCCCGCTGCATCTCGAGCAGATGGTTGATAAAGTCGTTCCGCTCCTGCCGCTTGGAGCGGCGCAGGCGCAGAGACTCGCTGATCAGCGAGGCGTAGAATTCATCGTGGGATCGGGGAAACACCTTGGGTCGCAGGCGGCGGGGAAGATTCGGGAAGAGACCGCAGGCGGCACCGGCGATGGCCAGACCGCGATTCTCGGCGGACATCACCTGGTTTTGCCGGACAACCGGCAGTGGATTGTCGCTGAAGGTGCGCGCCTGGATGCCCAGAACGCAGTCGAACAGGGATTCGCCGGTAAAGCGGAGACCGAGCTAAAAAATATTAAAATCGTTACAAGAGGAGTTTTGAAATCGCCCAGAAAAGGTGTCTAAAAGTAGGCTTTAAAAATAGGACTATCAAAAAAAAGAGTAGCATTCTTTTGGACAGCTTTTCAAAGAGGTTTTAAGTCCTAAGATACCCACATCAATGCCATCCAGTTCCAAGCCGCCGACCGACTTCCTCGCCACGAACTCGCAGAGATCCCCACAGACGCGCTGCATGATGGCATGGGTGGTGCGGATGCGTCCGTTGGTCAGCAGCGTTGAGAAGACCGCCCGCTGGCGGCGCCACTCATCGCCCTCGAGCACAAACGGATTGAGGGCCACCAGGCGATCCTTGTCGATGTCGATCATCTTGGAGGCATCGTTGTTCTCGAAGTGACTGAAGGCGCTCACATAGATCTCGTAGACGAGGCGGGGTTCGAGGACAAGCAGCTTGGGGGCGCGCAGCAGGAAGCAACCCACAAAGCTGTGCGTGTTGCGGTAACGCCTGAAAATGATATTTTTAAAATATTATTGGGTTAATATATATTAAATATCGAGTATCCTAACACTAGAGCTTGCCAAAATATCTAAAGTTTTCTATTTCTAGATATTTAGTTTGTGTTTTTAATCGAAAACATCGATATAATCGAGCGAATATTTCAAAAATATCGAAAATATCGATAATACCCACATGTAGCTTGCAAAAATATCTAAAGTTTTCTATATCTGGATATTTAATTTGTGTTTTTTCTTGAAAACATCGATATTATCGAGCGAATATTGCCAAAATATCGAAAATATCGATAATACCCACATGTAGATATCGCGCATGTCCATGGTAAAGTGCTGGCGTGGCCACACCATATTGGGAAAGGAGCCGAAGAGCGGAAGAACCCGGGGCTCCGTGACGCCTCGTCGCCTCCAGTGGCCATAGTTGGACACCAGAAAGACGTAGATCCCGCCCAGCAGCGTGGCGATACCCAGCAGAAGCGATCCAAGCATGACGACGATGCAAGCGAAACTGAGTGGGTGAAATTGAATCGGATCTGCGAATCTTGGGGGCACGAGGAGATCGCCTCCCTAGCGTGCTTCTATTCTATATTTTATTTTTCAGCTCGCAATGAGCTTATGCAGGTTGGCGTGACTCTGGAATGATGGGGTGCCATTATCGAATTAACCGGCGACCTGCGTCTATAACAAAAACAAATAAGGAGCTGCCTTAAACAGTCGACCGTTGAACTTTTATAATGTGAAGTAAGGCGACAAATCAAAAAAATTATTTATAATTTATGATTTTTTTTAAATTTAATCTAAGAAGAATATGGACTGTATGTACACTAATAAAAAAACTCATTTAATAAAAATTAAATTTAACATTTTTTTTATATGAAATTTTTTTTAAGGCGAAAATATTTAAAATAAGTGTGACTAATATTTTATCAAATAAATATGATATAAATATTACGTTTTTTTAATATGAAGATATTTATTTACTCTCTTTTCCTCTCCAAATTGTAATACACATTTTTGTAAAAAGTAAATAGCCTTGTTAAAGAAATAAACCCTTATAAAAGGTCATAGGTCAACAGATTGGGGATAAGCTTAAGACAACCCCGTTGGAAGCACTGCCAACAGCCTGGCAACCCTGAGCCAAAGCAAAGTCACCGCACAATGGGAACACTTAATTCAACAAAAGAGGCCATTGTCGAGTGCTGCGGTGCGATATTCATATCATTCATATTTGGCCACAAATATTTATTTGTCCTCGGCTTCTGGAAGAGGAAAAAGTTTGGCAAATCTTTGCTCACTAGACGCACGAAGCCCAAAAACACTTGCACTTTCACTTGGCTCCACGGCAAGTTGACATCTTTTTGCCTTTGAACTATAGCGAATGACATTAGATGTGGTTTCTGGCTTAAGCCTACACTGACCTAATCAATCAACCGAAACATCGAGACTCTTTCAAGGGATTTGTGCAGTAGTCGACTTCTCCATCAATCATTAATGATTGTACAATGATTGATGATATTATGCTAACGAAATGATCTAATAATAAACTACAGAGACCAAATATTTATAACATTTTATAGTTTATAAAATCAAACAATAAATCTAGAAATCTGTGAAATAATTTTAAAAGTACTAAGTAATTATATTATAGCTATTTTATAAACTTAAGATTATTTTTTTAAGTGTAGTTCCACTTTCCACTGGTCAGTGACATTGACCTTGTTTTGCCAGACGATTTGACCTCGTAATGTCTGCAAATAAATTAAACTAGATTTAGAGTATGTTTGTGGGAGAATAAATATGAAGAATACGCCCTAAGCCATAATCTTCTATCTTATAACCCTTGTAATATTTTCTACATATGTATTTTTTTATCAACGTATATTATAGAATGGCGAAAAAAGATTTTAATCAATTAATATCATCAAAGATAACATCCTTTTTTCATATTTCTAATATTTTCGGTATAATTTTTAACACGTATTAGAAATTTGATAATTAGAAAACTTTAAATTTTTGCACGCACTTTGTATGTTCTTTGTTATATAACCAATACCAAACATTGCCAATCTTAGAATAAAACAGAACTATCAAACAGAGCCCACATCTGCATGAGATATCGTACCATTGTTTCGGAATTTAGACAATTCTTTAATTACGCGTAGAACACTAACCCTCGGATTGGGGTTTTGGCAAATAGTGCCAATTATGTGTCTGGGGTGAACACGAATTCGGATTCTAAGCGTGTTTTTCGGCAAATATCGAAAGACAAAGCAACAAAGGCATAGATCTGGAGACCGGAGAACGAGGAGATAAAGGTATTTGCTCGCGACAAATAGAAATCCATTTTTCAGGCAGTTGGATGCTGACTGGATGTTATTGGATAGCCACCTATAAAAGCCTGTTCGAAATTCTTCAGAAGGCACAGTTTAGAGCTCCACTGCCCCCGCACACAACAAGATGCGATTCTTCTGCGTACTGATCCTCGCCTGCCTTTTGGCGGTGGCCCATGGCGCATCGACACCTGCATCCTCCTCAACGCCCACGGCCAGCACCTCAACCCCCACAACCAGTACGTCCAGCTCGTCCACCCCGGCATCTTCCTCATCGTCCTCATCTTCGACAACATCGGACACATCAGCGACAACTACCACAACTACAACTACCACTACGACTACCACTGTGGCACCCACCACCACCACCACGGAGTCCTCCAAATCCAAGAAGGAAAAACACACGAGCCATTGGAAGGTCGTGAGGAAAGGGGCTGGTCTGAGGAGAACCAAGAAGACCAAGAGGAGCAATAAGGACACGAAGGACAAGAAGAGCAAGAAGACGAAGACCACCAAGACCAAGACCAGGAAACTCAGGCGCACCCGTCGCAGCGGTTAAATATTTAACACTTAATATATGAAAATCCAACCCACCTATTCCAGCCAAAACAATGATTGTTTCGCGACTTCATTTTCTTTTTTTTAACAAATAAAGCAATTTAAAATAAATATGTTTTTTTGGTGTAGGACCATTTTTGGCAAAGTTACAGCAAAAAAACAAAAAGGAAAAATTCATATTTTTACCAAACCCAATTTTCCTCAAAAAAAATTTGTTTTTTGACCGTAACAATGGAAATATTGATCCAAATATGGATTGTCATACCTTTTTGAACTCGTTATTAAATTTCCAGTCGATTGGCATTTAAACCTGGACATTTTATTTTTTTGACATTTTTCGCAAAAAATCATGATGTACCCCCTTATAAAAAAATTGAAAATTTGGCGAAAATTTTATTTTTTCAAAATCACACGGAAAGTGTTGTGGATTTATTTATTAATTTGTTATCTGTTCAAAACAGTATGTATTTTTGGTGTAGTACCATTTTTGGCCAAGTTACAGCAAAAAAACATAAAGAAAAAATTAAATTTTTTGGCAAAAAATCAGATCCCAATTTTTAACAAAAAAAAAATCGTTTTTTGACCGTAAACAATGGAAATATTGATCCTTTCTGAATTCGTTATTAAATTTCTAGTCGATTGGCATTTAATTCTTCTTGGCATTCTTATATCACCCCCCACAACAAAATCCTAGATCCGCCACTGCCAAAACCTATTAAAAACACAGTTTATTTTGAATTTTTTTAGTTTATGCATTTATTATATTATATGGTAAGATCAATTCTAAAATCGACCTTTCAAAATGAATTCTATGACACTTTCGGTTATACAAATGAATTAAAAAAGTTTTTTTTTTTGTTTTTTAAGCTTTTGATTTGTGTAACTTTCGATTAACTAAGGGGAAAGGCATGCGACGACATGAAATGAACATCGGGATAAGATGCCACATATATGTAGGTATATATACTCGTATATGTAGATATAGGTTTTAAGTAAACTGTCTGCCAATTTGCGTATCTATATGTAGTGTGTATATATATAGGTATATATGCGAAGTCATATCCGTAGACTTAGTTGGCTAAAAACGTTTTGAAAATCGAAACACAAAGTGAAGACGATAGTTGCAAGTATAAAAAATATGTTTATGTCTGTTTCTCCTTCCATATAAATCTTCCATCCTCGCTTCTGTTATATAAAATCTTCAATCTTCTATATCCACAACCTCAACCTGGCCAGCAGTATGCGTGTGTGTGTATGTTTTTTATCTATGATTATTTTCAGCGACCTCAGTTTTCTTTTCTTTCATATTTTTCTTAGGTGGAAACAGGAAGCGGCAATGAGAGCAAATTCTCATTGCTTATCTGTGATTGATTTTTGATTATTTTCGGGATGGGATTTTTCAGTATGCTCATCTATAATATATAAATGTGTAGATCATCGTTCAACGTTTATAAAAATATATATTTATGCATGTTTCGCCATGAAGTTTGAACTGTTTTCTTAAGACTTTTGTTTTGGGATGTCGATAATGCACCAATGTGGGAATAATATTTATACTATAATTAGTATTTATATCTGTAAATGGATATGTTTCATTTTTCTCATCTATTTCGGCAACTTCATTACTGATTCTACGTTAAGGTTTGCGTGTGAGCTTTTGATTTCGTATTTTGGAATGAATTCTTGCTTTAGAATCGAAGAACTAACAAAAGTGTGAATGCTGAAGGCAGAATTAAGACTTGGAATTCGTTAGCTTTACAGGTAGCTAAATGTTAGGGGATTTCACAACTGTGGGAGAGGAGGTCTGTGTACACATAATAATTGTTTAATATTAAATCATTCCCATTGAACTGGACTTCATTGGTTTACATAGAAAAGTATACAAAACTAAATTCCTACTTAATTAAGGTACAAAAAAATTGGAAAAATAATCAAATCGAAAGAAGGTGAAAACTTTCTCGAATTTGGGCTTAAGGAGCTTTTTCTTCTTTAGTCTAGGGTAAGTAGATGGAGTTTCTATGCTATTACATATTTCATATTTTGTGGTTCATTGTGTTTGCTTTATGCGCCTTTCGATCTCTAGATATATATATATATATTTTTAATATTGTATTGTATTTCGCCTCTCGTTCGTTCTACGCTCCTCTTTCATTTACTTTGTTTTTTTTTTTTTTATAATTTTATTTTAAATATCACGGCATTCAGCTGAGGTCTGATCTGATCTATTTCTTATGCTTATATATCTTTTCACACGAATTTGTTTACTTTTTTATTGCATTGGCATTTCACATTTTAGTTTTTTTTTTTCAAGGGCGGGGCTTTGTGTGGTTTTGTAAAAATCAAAAAAAGATGGCTGCAGGAACGCTTCCGGATATCAACTATCGACTACTTGGACTTAACAAAACAGACAAAATTAAACTACAATAGCTCGTCAGAGACACAGATACAGATACGAATACCGAGGCAGAGGCCCATGGAGATACAGATACAGAGAATGGGTAGAGCAAGCACCAAAAGCTAAGTCTAGGGATCCTCGACGGCGCGCGGACTGAAGAGCTGGGCGCAGATGCGTCGCAACTGGAGCTGGCCGCCCAGGAGGCCCGCCCTCTGCATTAACTCTCACAAATTCCGCCGGCCCAGTTGGCGATCCTCCCGCTCATCCTCCTCCGCCTCCTCGTCGTCATCGTCCTCTCTATCCACCTCGAAACGGGCTCCTCCACCACCGCCGCCGCCTCTCTGCGGCACTCCAGTGGCAGTCGCACTCTCGCTGAAGTGCATCAGATTGGTGTCCATCAGTTGGCCGTTGGTCAGGCTGAGTGGAGGCGACGATTGCGACGGCGGTCCCTCCAGCGAGAGGCGACTGTTGGTGCTGATGCTGCTCAGGCTCAACTGATCGTCGAACACCTCGATGTTGACCACCGTCGAGAGTTCGCCGTGATCGCCGAACGAATGGCGAATGGGATAGTCCCCGGCATCTGTGACCTCCGGCTTCTGTTGGCCCTTGTTGTTCGGCATCGCATTGGGATTCATCGTGTTGCCTTTGGTTGGGATTATGTTGTTGTTGATGTTGTTGTTGTTGTTGTGGGCCAAGCCATCCAGCTGATCCGTGGTAAAATAGGTGCCTAAGAAAAAAAACAAAATATAGTTAGTCATATAGTTATAAACATTTATCTATAGGTCTAAATTTCACTTTGAAATTATTGAAATATTTTAGAGTTTTTAATTGCGAAATATTATTGCTTTAGTCCCTTACAATATAATTAATTGAATAATTCATATTCATTAAATTTTGAAGATCCCAATGAAACCATTTTGCATATTAAAGATCCAAAAACCCAGTAAGAACACTTTTTAGCCAGCTTTGTTGTTTTAACTAAAATTGCATTTATTTAATCATACATCATTTAATTAAATTAAATTTTAGTGTTTAGCGATTTCCTTGCCTCCTTTTTTTTCATCCATCTCTCAAACGTAAATCATAAATACTGCGAGTTAGATATAATTTTTATACGATATACATATATATACAGAAAACAATTGATTTCCTCACTTTTTACAATCTTTTAAATAGAAAAAAACACATACACAAGAGACAATTTCTAAAAAGTGTAATAAATTAACAAAGAAACAAAAAAAAATAATAAAAAATTTTAAGAAAGGAGACCTTGAGCTTGAGTGTGGGAGAAACTAGAGGAAACCTGAACGAGTATGGAGAAAACTTAACGAAAGCAAAGCCTAAAAACGAATTCAAACAATTGTGACATTGGACAGTTAGTACTATAATTATAATCAGTGTGGTTTAGTCATCAGATGCTTTGCAATAGGTTACACTCAGTTGGATTTTGGGCAGGAAAGTGTGTGTGTTTTCTTGGGAGAATCGTTCTATGGATAAAATTGGGGTTGCGTATTTATTTAACCATTAACTTCCAACTGTGTGTCCTGCAAGCTTTAGCTGCATATGTGTGTGTTTGTGTGTAAGCTAGGGGGCAGGATTTCAATTTTACAAATTTCGATTTCCGCACTGAGCGAATTTTCGGGCGCCTTTTATGTACAATTTGAGAGCATTAGTTGATACATTATCTGTGTGCTTACGTTTAGGCCACTTTCTTTCAAATATTTATATATTGTAATATATATATATATATATAAATGGGTGTCGTTTATATATAGGTTCTGTTGTATTCATATTTTCTAGAAATGTATAGCTAACAATATAACTTTGCACTTAAAAATCGGTTAGTATTTAAATATTTTTTGTCGCTTTTCCTTTCATTTGTTTATATGTATGTTTTTTGTCTAAACGAACAGCTACAGTCGTTTTGTTTTTGTTTTTGTTTGTTTTTTCGCTTTAAATTAATGCATTATAACTAACTTTTTGTTTTTCTTTTCGATAAATCACAATTTTTTTTGCAGAGTTTTGTTTTTTGTTTTGTTTTTTTTTTTTTTGTTGGTTTTTGTGGTTTGTGGTTGGTTACTGAAATGATTTACTTCTTGCACACAGCTAAAAATTAAGAATCTAGAGTCATCTTCTGTCGTGGTTGTTTTCCATTGGTTGTCCATGGATTTCGAATTGCTGTTGCTCGTTTGCTGCTGTCCTACTTCACCTTCTGATCAGCTTCCTCCTGCTTCAGGATGCGATTGTTCTGGCTGTCAGCAGGTTGTCCTGGCTGCTCCGATACTCCATGATCCTCCGGCTGCTGCTGCTGCTGCTGGAGCGCATGGGCAGTGGGTGCTCCGTCCTGCCGATTGGCGTACAGATGCCACAGCACCACCAGGCTAAAGACACACAGCAAACAAATCGCTAATTCTTATCTCTTGCGTCGCTTCGTCTTCTTCTTTGTGGCACTCGGCGGGCTGGCCACGCCCACGGAGGTAACGCCTCCTCCGCCGCCGCCGGCAGCATTTAGAGCAGCAGTCGTGGCAGCAGCAGCACCCGTGGTCAGGTTACCAGAACTAGTTCCTCCGCCGGGCGAATGGGATTGCAAACCCAAACCCAGACCCGTCGAATCCGCCGGATGAACCGTCGTCTCCACACTGCTCTCCTCCGCCGAGGACGTGGACGAGGAGGTGGCCGCCTCGATGGCCGCTATCAGATTGATCTTGTGCTCCAGCTTCTTGGTCTTGAGCTTGTGCGGCGGTGCGGCGGCGGCATTGCCGTAGACCACGTTGTCATCGGATGTGGTGGCGGGCACGGGTCCTTCGCTGTCCTCGCTGGTGGCATTGGTGGCCACGCCACTGCTGCCAAAGTGCAGCAGATCCTCGGGCAGTGATTCAGGTTGGGGTTCGGGTTCGGGCTCCGTCTCCTCAACATCGCCTGCCTCATCCTCGTCGGCAGCTGACCTGGCAGGCTGTTCCAGCTGCGAATCGCACATGCTGATGCTGATCAGAGGACGCAGCTCCTCGTCGTCGGGCTCCCTTTCCCGCTCCCTTTGCTGCTGCTGCAACTGGAGTTGCTTCAGTCGCTTGTGCTTCTTGCTCAGCTTCTTGACGGGCTCCTCCATGATGACAATCTCCTCGGAACCCGAGGAGTTATTCGATGTGGAGGTGGACTTCTGCAGGGACAGCGTATCCAGGGTAATGTACGCCGGTTCTGGTGTGGCTACCACCTCCAGATCTGCTTCCCTTACGCGCTCCTGTTCGTTTTCGTAGTGCAGGGAACCGCAGAGGGCCAGGATCAGATTTTGTTCGGTGAAGCCGCGCGGTGGTGGGGATATATTTCGCGGGATCGCCGACTTCTCCTGCAGCGGACTCTCGAAATTGATCAGGCTCAAGGTTTCCTTCTTCGAATCGTCCTTGACCTCGAGGGGTTCGAGAGCTGGAAGCGGTGGCAGGGCCTCCAGTGGCTTCAGGCCGCTCAGGAAGTCCTCGAAGGTGTCCTTGACCTCCTCCTTCGGGGGAGTGGTGAGACCCGGCAGCAGCTTCTCATCCCGCTTCTTTTCGGGACTCGCCTTGGCGGGCTTCTTGCCCAGGCTGGGGTAATCCTGAACGGCGGGCAGCTTGGTTGGAGTTTCGTCGGCTACTCTTCTCCAGGGACTGGTCACCGCTGCCGGGAGGGGGGATTCGAGGGTCTTTTCCTTCTCCTTCACTTTCTCTTTCTCCGCCTTCTCCTTGAGCTTGGCCTCTCTTTCCTTCTCCTTAAGCTTGGCCTCTCTTTCAAGCTCCTTGAGCTTCTCGGCTTTCTCTTTCTCCTTGAGCTTCTCCTCTCTTTCCCTTTCCTTTTGCTTCTCTTCCATTTCCTTCTTGAGCTTCTCTTCACGCTCTTTCTCTCTGAGCTTCTCTTGCCTTTCTTTCTCCTTGAGCTTCTCTTCTCTCTCCTTTTCCTTCTGTCTCTCTTCCCTTTCTTTCTTGATCTTTTCTTCCCTTTCCTTCTCCTTGAGTTTCTCTTCCCGTTCCTTCTCCTTGATCTTTTCAGCTCTTTCCTTTTCCTTTAATTTTTCTTCCCGTTCCTTCTCCTTGATCTTTTCTTCCTTGAGCTTTTCTTCACGCTGCTTCTCCTTAAGCTTCTCTTCGCGCTCTTTTTCCTTGATTCTTTCTTCTCTTTCCTTTTCCTTGATTTTTTCTTGCCTTTCCTTTTCTTTGATCCTTTCTTCCCTTTCCTTCTCCTCCTTCAGCTTTTCTTCCCTTTGTTTCTCCTTGATCTTTTCCTCCTTTAGATTTTCTTCCCGTTCTCTTTCTTTCTTTTCTCTTTCTTCTCTTTCCTTGAGCTTCAGCCTTTCTTCTTTTTCTTTCTCCTTGAGCTTTGCTTCCCTTTCTTTCTCTTTCTCCTTCTCCTTCTCTTTCTCCTTTAGCTTTAGCTCCTTTTCCTTGGTCTTCTCCTTTTCCTTGTCGATTGTCATGGTGGCTACTGCTCCTCCTGGCTGTTGCTTCTTTTTGGCCGCCTTTGGAGGCTCCTCCTCGGTATCCCGCTCCTCTTTCTCTTCCTCTTCCTCCTCATCCTCATCCTGGGCATCCGGCGCACTCATCTCCACATGCAGACTCAATCCCTGGGCACTGGCACTGCTCACCATAACGGCCGCAATGCTGCTCTTGTTGGCCAACAGACTGTCTGCATGATCGGATTCCGCTTCGGAGAGCTGCTCCTCCTCTTGGATTTCCACCTCCTTCATAACCTCCTCCTTCTCCTTTACGATCTTCTCCTGCTCTGGCTTTCTGGTCTTTTGCTTGTTACTCTTGGCCTTCTTCGCTGATTTTGCGATCGTGGCATTGGTGGCCTCATCCTCGGAGGTGCCACTACCACTCTTCTGGCTGGCAGTTTTATTGTTGTTATTGGTGTTACTTTTCGGCTTGTTGAGATGCGAAAGCTCCGCGAATCTCTGCGCCTGCGCCGCATCCTCGGCAGCTGCCAAGGATCGTAGGTTCTTCTGTTGCTGCTGCTGTTGCGCCTTTTGCGACTTCTGCGACTTTTGCTTCTCCTTCTGGACGAGCACCTCGTCCACCTCCTTGGCAATCACCGGTACAATCAGCTTGTTAACCAGCACCACAGGCGGTTGGCAACTGGCCTGCTGCAGTTCCAATTCCGCAGCCATAGCCTCGTCCGTCTGGGGATCCTTTTTCTGCAGGAGCTTCTGCCGCTCGACGGGATCACTGCAAAAGATGGCCACCACCGGCCGGAAGAGAGCCTCGTCGCAATTCTCATGGATCACCGTCTCCTCGGCCGCCAGTTGGCCCACCACCTCGTCCAGCATATCCGTCTGTAGTTCACCGGAGATTCCCGCATTTAGATCCGTTACGGTGCCCAGCGGATTGACCATCTTCTCCACGCGCGAATAGCTGCAGATGTTGGGCAGAACGGAGGCCAGGGCGTTGATGGAATCCATCGAGTGCAAATGCGTATCCGTATCCGGATGATGATCCTCGGCCACCTCGTCCAGATCGTTGAGACTCTCGTGCTCGGCGAGGGCATCGTAATAGCAGGCATTATCACAATTCGAGGACGAACTTCCGCCGCCGCCGGCGGCCAGGAGATCCGCTGGCGATGGCGAGGAACCGGTGGCCAGGTGGTGCTGATCGCCACACGGAGGCGGAGCTGCGGGATCTGCGGAGGCAGCTGCGGGCGGGGCAACAACGGTGGGGCACACAGGATACACAGAATACAGAGCGGAGAAAAAAAGAGAAATAGAAGAGAAAACAAATTATGAGAAAAGCGCATTTTGGGTTCGTACAGGAAACAGAAAACAAAAAGCCAAAGGCGAATTTTGATTTCGAAATTGATTCGAAGTTTTGAAAATGTTTAATTGGAAAATACATTTTAGCGTTATTTTCTATTTGTTGCATATATTTCTTATTTTTTTTTCTTGAATATTTTAGCTAAGCTTGGTTTTTATTTATTGGCAGTGAAATATTATGAATATTGGTATTTTTTCGAGCAGTTGATCGATCGAAAAGGAAGCGGAAAACACTCAAAACAAAAAGGAAAATCGAACGTGGAACAGAAAAGTATAACTTTGTAAATATATATATTTGTTTTGGGCAAATTAAAAGAAATGAAAAACGAAAATATCTGTCAGTTTTGTTTTATTTGGAATTTTTTGATTTTTGTTTTAGTGTGAAAACGAAAAGAATTAAATTAAATTAAAGTTAAGAAAATAGCGTGACATTGATTTTTTTTTGGGAAATAATAAAGAAACTGGAATATTGTTTTATCGTGAATTTTGAATTGCGGTTTCGAAATTTTTATGGCTTTGGCTTTTTATTAAAAGATTCATGTAGATTAATGTGCTTTCTCCTCTCAACCGTTCTCTCTCTCTCTCTCTCTCCCTCCCTCGCTTTCTTCCTCTCTCTCCATCTCACTCGCCCCCAATCAGTCTATGGCTTTCTCACTCGCACGTGCAATGAAACTTTTGGTTCACAAATTTCCTTTCGTCATTTTTAGCAAACGAATATAAAAATCAAAAGTGTATTAAACGAATCACAAGAGACAAGGACGAAAAGGGGCAACCGTAAAAGGAGTGAAGCAGAAGAAGAAGAAGAGGAAGCGGCGAAGCACCGAGGTGAAAAGTGCATAGAGGTGATTAAAATGCAACCATGTGGTGAAAGATTCAAGAATCGAGGTGCAAATTACACAAAACGTGGTGAAGAGAACGCGAAATTTATGGTGAAAGGATGTGTGGTGAAAAAGCAAAACAATGGTAGACAATTTTAAAAAATAGTTTGAAATACTGAACTGAAAAATAATAATGATAAGGGTTAAATGTAATAAGAGGTGTCCAAAAAGTATAAAAAGTGCGGAAAAGATCAAAAGTATGGTGAGTTTGATAAATGATTTGCTGTGCTGCTTCGTGGTAAGAAAAGCTGTAGAGGCAATTTTGTTTAATTTTTTTTCAGTAGGGGAAATCAGACAGGATCGGGATTAAATGTAAATACATTAATCCGATCAGTCCGATCTCATCCCAGGGGGTTAAGTGCACGACAGGATTAACAGCGACCAATGGGGCAAAGAAGTGTTAAAAGTAGATGTGTAAATATAATGTCTTGCCGAAGAATTCTTTTGGAGGTAGGTAGTATTGGTGGGTTTTTCTTTTGGATAGGGGACTCTGCTGTGACAAAAATGTTGTTAGCTTAAATTTAGTTGTCATTAAAATTGAAATAGATTAATTTTAGTTGTATCTCATTTTACGGCTAAACGAAAACACCAAAGAAAAGTTCATTGTTAATTTGCATAAGCGATTTTTGTGTTCCGGCTGGAAAAATAAAAATTTCAACAACTAAGGATATAAAAAAACACCAACACACTTACACCATTGAATACACACGCTCACACACACACATATATATAGAGAAAGGGAGATATGTAAATGGATGAGGAATGAGGAGAAAGCTTAGTGATATGAGAGAGTTGAGTAAGAGGATCATGCAGGGTGAGAGGTGGGAGGGGATGGCTATAACATCATCATCATCAGCATAATATCATCATCATAGTTCATCATCATTATCAACAACCAACAACCAATGCCAATTTCGTGGTGTTTTATAATCAATATATTAAAATACACATCTTTTTTTTTCTTCTTTTGTTTGACCACCAAAAATATTTTGAATTAAACATTTTCATTTTGAAAGCGTTCGAAATAAAAAACGTAAGAATATATATATATAAATATTTAAAAAACAAAAAAAACATAAAACGTTTGTATAGATCGTAGACAATTAATAAACAGACTTGTGAAGACATCGAGAATCGGCTAACGATCAAGGAGGATGCCTTTGATTCCGGGTATCCACTCGCTGGCATGGTCAAAACGGAACGCTAATCCCGTCCAGAACCACACCAGCAAGCCACTCAACCCAGGATCATCGGTTAGCATTCCAATCTTGTCTTGCACAACATGCGATATTTATGTGTACATCTATCCAGGACGATTGAGGGATAACGATTAAGTAGCCACTCACCCGAAGTCTCACGTCGCGCCGCCGCCGTGGATGGGGACTCTCGCATGGCATCCGCCAGATCCTCCTTAAGACGAGTGTCGCCATGGCCGTAGTCCGAATCCAGGTGACCATGCCGGAAGCGATCCATTAACTTGGGACTCTGCTCAATGCTGCCTATTTTTGTTGCATACAAAACTCTAGTTAGATCAAGTAGCTATATCTATATCGTATTCTTACTGTATGATCCGGATTCGATTAGAACCGGTACTCCGGCACCGCTGCGTCCCGTCACCGCTGAGCTGCCGATGCCCGATCCTCCCACCGAAGTGGCTGCATTCAGCGGCATGTTCAGCGGACTGGAGCGATCCTTGCCGCCTCCCAAAACCGACGAAGCGGCTGCCGTCGAGGGCAGCGTGGTGGTCGTCGTCTTGGTGACGCCAATCTCCACCGCCTCTGCATCGACATGGTTCAGATTTGAACTGGAAGGGGAAAGATAAATTCGTTATAAACTATAAGAAATATCTAAGCTATAGATCCTCCCTCACCCGCTGGGCGTATTGTAGTTCTTGAAGACAAACTGCGGACCCATCCACAGCCGGCGGTGCGGACCCGCGTGCGTGATGATCTCCACCTGCGCCAGCCAGCTCTCGGCCCGCTCGTCCGGCTCGTCGAAATGATGGGTGCTGTCCTGCAGCAGGCTGCCATGGCGATCCTTGATCAGCCAGTTGTCCAGCGTCAGCGGTGGTGCGATTTCTTGAGATCCATCCTTGCGCCGCCCCAGATTCCACTGGGCGCGGGCCTCCACCTCCAGCTCGATGGGCGTGTCATCACAAATCTTCTCTTTGGCAACATCTGCAACGTTTCGATATTTAGTATATAAACAAAAGAGAACGCTATAGTCGGGTTGGTGTCCCGACTATCTAATACCCGTCACTCGGCCAAAGGGAGTGCGAGGGAGATGGATATATAACATTTTTGATTGGGTATAACTTTTTAATGAATGGTCCGATTTGAAAAATGTCTTCTACATTTCGATAGGTATAAATATATACAACAAAATTGCATTTATACTTTTCGGAAATCTTTAAAGATCGTTAGTGGATGATTGTGGGCGTTAGAGGGGGCGTGGCGCTCGGCTGAAATAAACTTGCGCTGCGTAGCAAGCCCAAGAATATGTGTGGAAAATCTCAACCTTCTAGCTTTTGTAGTTTCCGAGATCTCAGCGTTCATACGGACGGACAGACGGACTCTACGCGTAACGGGTATAATAAAAGCTCTAAGGAGTAACTCACGTGAGGCTAGCTTTGTGTCCAGATCGTACTGGATGAGCGCCCCGTGTCCGGCCATCACGAAGAGCGAGTCCACCGCCTTGCGCTGGACGCGATGCGGCTGCTCTCGTGTCGCCATCGGTGGCTCCAGCAGCCAGGAGCGCGATTTGGCGAAAATGGAGCAGACGCTCAGTGGTTTCCCGCTGTCATCGGACAGCGAGGAGAGCCGCTGTCGCTGCCTTTGGCTGCTGCTGCCCACGCCAACGCCTCCGTGGCCAACGGAACTCACTCCGCTGCTCATGCCACCGCCGCCGCCCACGCCACCACCACCGCCCAGGCCCGCCGATCCTGGCGGCGAGCCGAGCGTGAAGGGCTGACGCAGCTGGGCCAGTGGCTGCACCACCGACGGCCGCGGATACGGCGGCAGGGTGGGATTGTGATACGGCTGCAGCGACTGCACAAACGTCGTGCTCTCCGAGTGCGAAATGGGCGAACTGGAGCGCCCGTCGGCGCCCAAACCGGCACTGCGATGGAAGCGCGACAGCTTGTTGACCACATGCAGCGAGGTGTGCGTGCGAACGCCCATGGCGCCGCCGTAGGGCGTGATGGGGAAGACGTGGGTGGTGCCGCGCAGCGTGGACACGGCAGCCCAGCGCGAGTCCAGCGAGAAGGCGATGTGCTGCACCTTGGCGCTCGTATCGCCGCGATGCAGCACGTACAGATGGTGGACGGCGGCCAGGCTGGGGCCAACGGGATGCGGCTGAATGCGGAACACATGGAAGTCGTGGCCCCGCCGATCGGCGGTCAGGAGCAGCATGCCGGAGCTGTCAAACTCCAGGGCCACCAGAGCCTCGCTGTGGGCCACAAAGTGGGCAACGATGGGATCGCCGCCGCCCTGCGAGCCGCCCGTGGAGCTCAGCGGAGTGCCCGACGTGGGACTGTAGTCCTTAACAGGATGCTGTAATAGGAATTAGATGAGTTTTGGGATCCAAAGAGGGAATTTCAGCGCTTTAACTCACCTTCACATCGATAATGGTGACCACACCCGATTGCTTGGCATCCGGACCGCCGCTGGCCGAGTCGAAGCTGCTGCTCTTGGAGCTGCCGGCGCTGCCGGCGGTGGTGCCCGTCAGTCCGGCGGCCACCTGCTCGCCCAGCTCCCGCAGACCCTTGCCCAAAGATTTGGCCGCATTGAGCACGGTGGCCGTGTAGCTGGGAACGCCCTCGCCATCGCAGCCGCCGCCGCTGCGCTTGGAGTGCAGCAACTTGTGCTCCGCATAGGCCAGCCAGCGCGGTCCCAAAGCAATGGGATTGGGATTGATCCTGTCAAGAAAAAAAGTTATATTTAAAGAATTAAAAGCTTCTAGCTTCACTCACCCCGGACTGGGATAGCAGGTGGTGATGGTGAGGCGGTCCTCCAGCGTTCGCGCATCGAAGACGGCGATCCGTTCGTGGAACGTGATGACCACCGCCGATCGATTGGCCTGAATGTCCAGCACGGCGTTCTTGAACTTGATCGTCTTCACCTGGACGCCCGTTTTGAGGGACATGAAGTTCACGGCACTGAATTGGGCGGCAGCCGAAACGCCAGCTCCTCCAACGGATCCGCCAACTGTGGGGATTCCACCGCCACCGCCGCCTCCGCCCAAACCCAATCCTGGATTGCCGGAAAGTAAACCACTCGCCGCTGCACTGCCTCCATCGACGAACGCCACCAGGGGACGCTTCTCGGCAAAGGCATCCACCGGCTCGTCCGCCCGGCCATTCTCGTCCAGAGCGGCGGCCGTGGCCGGCGTGGGCAGCACCCGGAGGGCAGTGACGACGCCGTGACGCCAGGATAGCACCTCAACCGCTTCGCCATTCGCTGGGATGGCCCACACCTGGACGCCCAGGCCGTAGCCGAGGATGAGGAGCAGTGGCGGCGCCGCATTGCCCTCCAGTTCCCAGTCGTCACCGAAACGCGGATCGCTGACATCCGCACACGTTTCGAAGCGGGCCCAGGTGATGGTGTCCTTGGGATCCTGCACCGGCTGGTTGGCCAAAGTCACATCGTTGATGAAGCCAATGGCCGAGTCGAGAATCGAGCGATCCGAGACTGTTTGCGGTGGCACAATGGCGGGTACGGCGGTGCCGGATTTGCTGCTGCCTCCAGCGGAGCCGGAACCGGAAATGGATCCGGATGTGGAGCCCAAACCGGAACCGACCACGCCTGAGGGATGGCGGCGTGGCGAATCCGCGGACATGATGCGACGACGACGGCTGCGGGAGGGGGGGAGATGGCCGCTCCTGGAATCGCTCCTCCTCTTCTAGCTGCTACCACAGCTGCTGCCAATGATGCAGTGCCTCCACACTGGACTGGTCAGTGGACAGAGGGGCGGGGTGGGGCTGGCAGTGGGCAGTGGGTATATGCTACTGGAGACACTGCGTCTGATCGGTTCTTGCTTTCCCCTGCTCTTTCGCTCCCGCTCACTCTCTCGCTCTCTGTCTCTCGTTGGCTCTCTCTTGTTGTCAACTGCAAATAGAAAGCAAAAACAATAAATAAACAAATTGAACACTCTCTCACTTATGCAGCTCCCCCCGCTCCCATCACTCTCTTTAGGGTGAACCCAAGCTGGCGGACAAGAGACCTTTGACCGAATGTGTGGAAAATTAACTTGTGTGTACATAGTTTAAAGATCTCTTGATGATAGTTGCCTTAGCCTTTTGTTGTCTTTTCTGCATGTCATTATTATTTATTATGTGCGTTGACTCATTGCACAACACAGCTAAAGTAAAACAACTTGAAATTCACCTTAAAACTGGTTGTAAAGGCAATAATAAGATATAAGCTTGATTTAACATTTTAAAGATAGAATCATCATATGACATGTATTCCAGATTATTTTTATTAACATTAATAAAATAAATAAATGTATGGCAACATGTCGTATGCGTGATATGATAAAGAACCCCGTAGATTGAACATCGAATTAAAGTCCACCCTAATTTCATAGTTTCTTTTGGTCATTCCATTTCGTTCCGTTTTCCCTTTGTCTCAATCAAAATGCTTTAATCTTTGGACAGAGCCACCTCCCACCACCCACTGCCACCTCCTGCACCACCCCCTTCACCTTTTCGCTCTCTTGTTACCAATTTATTAGCGCATTACGTGTATTTTTCGCTCTACGCCTTGCTTTTATTTTAATTTTACTTTTTCGGTTACTTTTTGTCCCCCCCTTCGCTTTTGTCAATTTCAATTCCATGGGGCGCAAATTAAGTGCAATAAAACAACAACAAAATACGCTTACAAATTGAACGTATCAAGAAAAAAACAATATTTGTTGTTGTTTTTTTCACACTGCAAACACGAAACCAAAACAAGCTCCACAAACCCCAACAACAAACCTCAAAGTCACGCAGAAATCATCAGGCCATTTGCTTTAGCTTCTAGTTTTAGTTTTCTGTTCCGCTTCGCCAGCAAAACGCAATATGCAAACACCACACAAAGAAGCTGTTCTTCTTCTTCTCTCTGTCTCCCCTATTTATTGGAAATAACCGTTTAAGCCAAGCCAAAGATCTTTCTCCCCATTCCAATTGGCGAATCGAAAAAGGAATTGAGAGAGAAGAGGAAACGACGATATTGCAACAATTGTCCAGAAAAGGAAAACTTATTAACCCACATGACCCCGAAAAAATTTAGAACTGCGAATAATATTTTAAAGAATTTGTTAGGCCTTTATAATTAACACTTTAATTGTTATAAAACCAATATTTTGATCAATTTTAATGTTAGCTGTAATATGTATTTGTATGATTTTAACTGAATAGGACCCAAAACTCTAATTTTTAAGGCCTACACAACTTAATTTTTTTTTTAGTTTTTATAGAACATAATAAATACTTTTGAATTTTCGACTTTCTCCACTACAGTCATTCATTAATTATTCAACCTGCTCAGAGGACAGCGGGGGTGAACGATCCCTATCGAGAGACGATTACTCAAATAACGATTTGCTGGGTATATGCAGTTTGCAAAACTTTTCCACGTGTGGTGGCAATTGATTAAACGAGTATTTCGCCACATATAGATAGAAATGAGGTAATTACATTCACTACATATATATTCATATATATGCACATGAAATATAGTATTCCGTATTGGAATTGGCGAATGATAAGACACGAAGTCGTGTTGTAAAGGCGTAATGATTCAATTAAACGCTTGTAAAAATTGCGAAATACCAGAAAGGATTTTCGCAAGGGGTCCAAATTACTTTGAAGTACTCGAAATTCTCAAGCGAAACAACATTCTTATATGTATGATGATGGGGTGGGGGATCTTAAGGGTTAAGCCCCAAAAAACGGTATCACAAAGCGGGGTGTAGAGGTGGGAAGAGAGCAGCTGCATCGCTGCATTCCTCAATTGGCTTGGCACACGCGCAACAAAAACAAAAACAATAACTGTAATAGCAACAAGCAATGTCACACACACACACAGAGGCTACTTGTGCGAGAAAGAGATGGTCTCCCGCCCCCTCGCTGTTCCTCTCTCCCTCTCACCCGTGGCGACCATAAGTAACGCATTTGTCTTTGTTCAGCAATAGGCATCCAAACGGCATTAATTTTGTGAGGGAGAAAGAGAAAGACCCCTCAATGTTAATACAGTCAAACTTCTAAAACACAAATCGGCATTAAAAATTTATTATGCATATTTAAGAATCTTTTAATTAAGATTAAGATTTAGGTGATGTTTAATCGTCCTAATGTTACCTAATATATTACTCATACGACACGTATGCCAGTTGGAATTAATAAAGAAAAATATATTAACAATTTATTCATTTTGTTGGAATAGTTGGTAAAAAAGGTGGAGCAAAATAACAAATGTTTGGTTAAAATCTACGCCATTAAGATTAAAATAAATTTTTAATCGAAGTCAACAGTACGTATGAGTAATAAAAGTTAGGGTCAATGCAAAGTTTAAAAAAAAATGTATTATCGAAACATGTAAAACCTTTTTCGATTTGCGTTCCAAAATGTTCAATTTTTAAATGTTCACTTGTCAAGATTACTTTTTTAGAAGTAAAACTGTACCTGCCCTCGCATTCGTTTACACAAATCCTTGACACCCGATCAATTCCAGAGCAAGTTCAAGCGGGAACTCGGCCACCGCATAAACGAATCTCAGGCTCAATGCAATTTCAACGGGCCAAAGAAATGCAGAAAGAGAATGCAAAAAGGAAAAGAGAAACCCCAAACGAGGGAGCATGTTTTTTTTTTAGGTGGGGGCCCCATTGTTTATGCTGCCCATTGCCAAAAGCCACTTGACAAAATCTCAGCAAGTCTTTTTTCCTTTGTTTCCTTTTACGATACCCAAAGATAGCCAACAATAGCTCACTCGCACACGATTGCAATTCGCGAACAGGTGTTACTATAAATACCAACACACACCGTTTAGATATTAGACATGCAATTTCATCAGTTCTAGTAATCAAAACGTGTTTTTTTAGGCTGTGAGTAACAGCAACTTAAATGCAACTAAAAAAATTAAATACCTGCAGTACAAAAACAAAAATTTCTTTTAGTTCACACACGAAATGATAGGATATAGATTTAGAATGTGCAATGTACAAGAAAAATATGTGCATTTTACGTGTCAATTTAAAGAAAAGTTTTTCAAATGTGGTAATTTTAGCATTTTTATTCCCCTTTGCTGCACGTACATAGCTACTTTATAAGGTATCTGTGAAACAGATTCTATATAGCACAAGTTCATCAACCCACACACAGCTGATTATTTTCACTAGATTACGGGCGAAATAATTTCTATTGAAGCAGATTAAAGAGGAATACAAATATCAGTCGCACACGCCCCCGTACACCTCATCAGATGATAAGGCTTCTGGGTCCCCGACCACGTCCCTCAACCTTTGGCAGTCCTTGGATGCGAACAAAGGAACCCCTTGGTCTAGAGTAGATAAAACTAACCTATAGGCCATATAGGCACAGTAGAACTCTTTCGAGATGAACTATCGTCTGTGGCACTAAAAAAACTGAAATGTAATGTTATAGGTAAGGGAGATCTCATCATTAAAAAAAAACAATAGTATCTGAAAAAAGACGTACTATACATTTTTGTAAATTGATAATTAGTAGTATTTCAATATTTTGCTGGGATCATAATGGAACCTTATATCAAGATTAATTTTTTTTAAATCTATTAATTTGTGGTTCTGAACAAAGAGCCCACTGTAGTGCTGACAGGCGGAATGCAATTTTCGCTTTTTTTATATTTTGTTTCTCTGCTTTTGTGTTTCTGCTCATTTTCAATGACACCCACCCACTCGGCCAAACATTGGCAGATTTTTTGGCAAACATTTCTATTAGGTAAAATCATAGAATGGCCAGGGGAGGCGGAGAAGAAGAAGAGCAAAAAGATACTGGGGGTGGCAATTGAAAAATGTCACTTTTAATGTGCGTTTTAAATTTGTAAATGAAGCGAAAACAATTTGTGTCATTCAAATATTTTTGTTATTTTTTGATTACACGACCAGTGGTGCTGTATTTGTTTTTGTTTTTGTTGTTGCCTTTAAATACAGTTGGAAAACAAAGAGCCAAAAGCAGAGCAATTATCAAAATATATACAGAAGTCGAAAAGCACAAGTGAGAGAGAGATAGAGATGGAGAAGAGAGCCGAAAACGAAAACAAAACTCAAACACACATCCAGATGCACTTGAATGCACACACAAACGCATTTGCAGCAACTCAGCTGCAACGAAATTTTGTTGTTGCTCTCTCTCTGCAGCGTCGCACAGTGGAATGTTTATTTAACATGTTAATATACTAAATAAATAATTAAAGTTTTTAACTTTTTAAAAAATACTGAAGATCTACAAAAAAAACCTGTTTTAAGATTTTTAAAAACGAAATGTTATAAAATATATAAATCTTCCCAATAAAATTTCAATTTGAACCACTGTGCCCAAATGTGTTCCACTATCAGTTCGTTTCGTTTCCACTGCTTTGTTGTTGCCCGTCTAATGCGCACATACACACACTTGTATACATATATAGGCGAGTGTATCTGTGTGTTTTTTTCCTTCATTGTTTGTGTTTTGAAATATTGTTTTTTTCGCGTCACAGCCAAAACAAAATTTCCACTACTTTTGACATTTAAATAACAGCAAATACTTGGTGGTACAAATACAAATTTTCAGCTCTCTCTCCCTTTCACTGCTTCGCCTCTTCCCCCCTTATTTCTCGCTCTATTCTTGGCCTTTGTTTGCACAATTTACACGTCTGTGATTTCGACAGAGCAACAATAAACAAATAGTTGCATAAATAGAGGTTGATTTTTCATATATGTATATACACGATTTTCTTGGCTTTTCGTTTGTTCGTTTTCCTTTTTTTTTTTGCGCGTCAAACAAAAACAACAACTAGGAGAAGAGGAAGAACTTACCACTTGCGTTGTTGTTGCTGTTCGTTGGTTGAATCTGAATCAGCAGCAGCTGAAACACATTCGCTCGTTCCACTTTTCTCACACGTTCCGCAGAGCGCGCGCAAAAACAACAACACAAACAAAAATCATATGTTTTTAGCTGCTCGCTCTCTCTCTATGTCTCTCTCGCTCTCTCTTGCTCAAGCTTTTGTTGTTGATTTCCTTTTTGGTGTGTTCTTCTTGTTGTTGTTGTTTTCGAGCTCCTCTTTTTTATTATCTTCGTTTGTTGCAGGCGGCAGCAGCAGCAACAAAAAAGTCAAGTCTCCAAACTGCGTCTTGCTTTTCCCCTCTCTTTCTATCCGCCCCCCTTTATTTTCTGGTTTTTTGTTGTTTTGCCACGCCCTCCAAGTGCGGGTGCTTAATTTTTGGGCTTCTACTAATTAATTAATAGCTCTCCTCGAAACGCGCAGCAAGTTCTCAACTGCGGAGCTCGGGTTTTGTTTGAAAAAACTGAACTTTTTGCTGCTTCTTCTTCTTCTGCCGCTGCCGCCGTCGACGCAGAGCCCTATTGCTGGCTCACTCGCACTCACACACACACACGCACACGCACCAATACAGACACAACGACTGCGCTGCGTCGTACGTTTTATTTTTTTCTACTTCTTTTTCGTCGTTTTTCGATTATGATTTTGTTATTGTTGCTGTTGTGCTGCCGACTGCCACTGTGTTTGTTGTTGTTGCTGCACAAAAAGTAACTGCGACATTAAATCTGCAATCGCTGGCCTTGTTGTTGTTGTACTCTCCCGTTAACTTATATATATATATATATGTGTATCGATTAAAGACGATTTATGCGTCGCAACAGAAAAAAAAAACAGAAAATAACCAAGAGAGACTGCTGCCAAAACGAAAAGGAAAAAAAACTAGTGCTAGCTGGTCAAAAACTGCTAGCGAGCGCCTGCCTTTATTCGGGTAATATCGTTAGCGGACACTTAGTATTATTAATTGTTATTATTTTGGTTGCTGCGCTGTTTCTGTCTCTGTTTTTTGTCTCTCTTCTGGCTAGAGGTGGTGGGACGTCGACAGGCCCACCGATGATATTGAGACATTTGCAAATATCGATGTTTGCCCATCGCTAAGATGTTAGTTATACCAACACGCCATCTACATTTTTTCTGTTACAACTCTGTTAAACATCGATGTTTTCCCATCACTAATGTTAGCCGCGACACCCTCCCGAGTGTGACCGTCCAACTTAGCAAGGACACAAACCCCCGCTTTTAGTGGGACCGCTCGTGCCGGTGTTTTCAGAGCAACGCCATCTGGCAACGCTGGGGCCAAAAAGCATTAGCGGCAAAAAAAATAAATTTTTTGCCTTTACGTTGGCGTAAAAGTTCTGTCGCACAACAATTACAAAGCTCGGCCAGCTTGGTTGGTAAGCGTTCCGTTCGAGATCCGCTAGTAATTCCGGGAGCAGTGCGATCCTGTCTCGCTGTCCTGCAATATTTTTGCAAAACGGCACATTGTTGTGTTTGTTGTTTTTCGTGTTTATTTGCGGTTGCGCCTGTGTGTGTGTGTGTGTGTGGTAGGTTGTGTTTTGGTATCCAGAGTGAGTTCATCCAAAAAAAAAGCGAAAAAAATAGGAAAAGGAATGGAAAATGTTATATGTTGAAAATATTATATTTGGGTCAAATCTTTGTGTGCGTGTGTGGGTGTATTTAACACACTCTTTCTCTTCCTCCTTAATTTCCTTTCGCCTTACTTTCGTTTTCGGTGCTTTGATGCTTTGTTGTTGTTTTTGCTGCACGCGCTTCTTCTGCCGGCGCAACTAATTCGATTTATTTATAAAACGTAGATTTATACACGTCGAGATATTTCGCTCTAAACAAATGCAAGCAAAATAATACGAATGTGTGTGTGTGTGGTTTGACCTTCGTGCAATTTTCCAATTAGAAAGGGGGAAGATGACAAGGAGGACATGGACATGCTCCATGCTCCTGTGATAATCCAATCAGATTGCTATTGGTATTCTCCCCAGCCTTAACTCAATTTGCCGAGCAACAAGCACTTACGGTTTTAAAACAATTACCCTTGGCCACTTACAGTTTGAAAGCTTTTCAACCAGGCAATTTACCTTCTCCGTCTCTGTCTCCTTTCCATTTGTTGTTTTCTACATTTCCCTGTCACTTCTCACCTTTGCAGCACAGGAGCGGAGCGGAGGCGGCGGAAAACGGGAGAAAAACAAACCAAAAGACACGGCAAATCAGAAATCAGTCTAGTCAACAAAAGCAGACCAAATGAGCACGCACTTCGGGACTAACGAGCAGCACAAACTAAGCCAAAAATAAAGCTAAAGATAAAAGAGAGGCAGCAGAAAGCAGCAGGTAACACACACGCACACTAGCGCATCCCCCCTCCCCGTACACTGAGCGAAATCGAGGCGAAAATCGGCGGCAAGATGCGGGTGGTGGCCATGGTCAGTGGCGGCAAGGACAGCTGCTACAACATGATGCAGTGCGTCGCCGAGGGCCACGAGATCGTCGCGTTGGCCAATCTGCATCCCAAGGACAGAGGTGAGTTCGCGAAGCCCAGAAAAAAAATATCTTCATATTTCAAGGTTTACCATCCTCCAAAATCCTTATAAGCATAATTCGCAATCATTTCACTTCAAAATATCAAAGAGACTAGAAAGGAAAACCTTTTGGAATTCGGAAAATTCTTTAAATTATAAATTTCCAAGGGATACGTTAATTACGATATATCAAAAATAGTGCCCTTTATATTTATTTTTACCATCATATCAAGCCTTATCATATCTTAGGGTTTACTATCCCTAAAATCCTTATAACCATAATTCGCAATCATTTCACTTCAAAATATCAAAGAGACTAGAAAGGAAAACCTTTTGGAATTCTGAATATTCTTAAAATTATAAATTTCCAAGGAATACGTTAGTTAGAAATAGTGCCCTTACTATTTACTTTTAAATACTTTTATCAAGCCTTATCATATCTTAAAGTTTACCATCCTCCAAAATCCTTATAACCATAATTCGCAATCATTTTGCAGTTTCAAATATCAAAGAGAGTAGAAATATTACCTATTGGTATTCTAAAAGTTCTTTAAATTATAAATAAGATATATAAAAAATAGGGCCCTTACTATTTATTTTTACCTTATCTTATCTTAAGGTTTACCATCTCCAAATTCCTTTACGAGTAGAGAGTAAAAATATAACCTTTCGGAATTCTGAAAATTTATAAAATTATCCTCATAGAAAAACAATTTCTAAGGTATATGTTAGTTAAGATCTATTAAAAAAGAATAACATATCTTTAAAAACAGCAAAGCAATTGTGAATTATAGTTCCTATAATACCTTTTAAATAAGATATTTTCTCTTGCAAATAGAAAAATTCTTTAAAATATTATATATCATATTCAAGGATATTAACTCTTTACCGCTCCTGGAGGAATATTAAATATTATAAATAATTTTAAAATCCATAATATAATGTAGTTGACAATTTTAGATAGCCAGATTCTATCATCTTATATTATTGCCATACTTTGTTAGTATTACTATTTGCGCAATCATTTACCAACCGATTCGCGCTGCCATTTGATCTCTTGCCGCTGTTCCAAGTCTCCAGTCTCTAGTATCTAAATTGTTACTTTCCAGACGAACTGGACAGCTTTATGTACCAGACGGTCGGCCACATGGGCATCGAGATTCTGGCCAGCGCCATGGGATTGCCGCTGTACCGGCGCGAAACCAAGGGCAAGAGCACCCAGACCGGCAAGCAGTACGTGCCCACCGATGACGACGAGGTCGAGGATCTATATAGTCTGCTGGAGACATGCAAGGTGATTGATTGCTTAATGATTGTTGCCCCCTTCCCTTTCCCTCCGCAAAGCGAACTTAGATTAAAGTTGGTGATAAGAAAACCGGGCAAATCGACTGCAATTGCTATTAATTCCCTATTATTTCGGAGCCTTTCGAATTCCGAGTAGCAGGTCACCCAATACCCATTGAAAATCTCATATTAAACCTATGGGTTCCGATATGTTTATTCCGATTGTGCCTTCTGTTTACTCGGTATTGAAATTCAAACGTAAAACTGGCATTTGTTTAGCCTACCAACTATTAGTCTGGAAATCGATTCGAATTACTTGTTTATGTCTACCCGCAAACCTGTTTGTTTTCCTAAAATCGCAAATGTGCGTTATCAGATATAGTTATATCATATAGCTTTCGATTGAAAAAGTACTTTACCGCTGTTCTAGGTTTACGTACACAGAAAAATGAGAATTGCTTTTAATGATAACTGAAAAAAATCAAGGAGTTAGAGTTTCGAAATATTTGTTTACTAGAATACATTTATTCTTGAACTTAAAACCTGAAAAGTTATCAGATAGATTTTTTAATAATTAAATTAATTAATCATTTAAATCAAGAAATAGGGTATTATTTTTTGCACTGTGTCAATAAATATTTGTTTACTAGAATACATTAATTCTTGATCGATTTTAATAATTAAATTAGTTAATCATTTAAATCAAGGAATAGGGTATTATTTTTTGCACTGTGTCAAGTGTTTGTAGGGCTATCAGATCGGGGATTTCGGTTCGTGTATCCGCGCTTGTTGTGCCGTGTCCTTGGATTCCCTGGCTCGTGCCCACTCATCCTCGCTCCTCATCAATCAACTGCAGCTCGGATTGCAACTGCAACCACAAACCGCTCCGTAATTGGGTGGCACATCCACTTCTACATCCATTTGCGGTGGGAAGTCGCCGGGCGGTAATCTTATCGCGATGCCCGGCCAATCGAGACGGGACGAACTGTTGCCGTGCACGTGAACCAACCGACCGACCGACCGGGTTGAATAAAAATCATTAAAAACAAAATATTATAATAAAAAAAACGGCAGCGAAAAACCAAAACAATAACAAAACGAGTAAGAGTACCTATGTTTATTTACCCCTTGATATTGGAAAAAGAAATTTGGAACCGGCCTTATGATGATGATTACAGTTTGTCCGGCACTGGGCCTTAATAGCCGCCGGCTATCACAGTTGCTCGCAAACTGTAATTACATTTTTGCATTCCTTTAGCTGATATCGCAAAATGACTGGCTTTATTATAATTTCGCTTTATTTTTACTCGTCGCTTGCATTACAATTCGATCTGCCCTGAGCTGATAGGAAATTAATTACATTCGGAAAATCCCATGTATAAGAACTCGAGCCGTGCGTTGTTTTTTAAGAGCTTTATTAGCTAAAAATAAGTAGTATCAATGTTATAAATTATTTTTAAAGGAGGTTATAATTATGAAAAGGTTCTATACTTATTTCAAGCTACATATTATATCAGATTTCTTCGTATAATAAATTATCCTATATATACTAACTTATACCTTTCATTTACCTCCATTCACAGCACGAACTTCAGGTGGATGCGGTGGCCGTGGGCGCCATCCTGTCGGACTACCAACGCGTGCGTGTGGAGAACGTGTGCAGCCGCCTGAACCTGATATCCCTGGCCTACCTGTGGAGGAGAGATCAGACTGAATTGCTGCAGGAGATGATCGACTGCCAGGTGCACGCCATCATCATCAAGGTATTAAATGAGTCGACTATTGCCCACCGATTTCCATAAAGAAAACACAAAAAACACCTTCGATGGCTGGCATATTTGGAAGAAACTTTAGGATCTTTACAGTTATTGATGAGCTATAGGTTTCATAATCGTATCGAATACCATTTTCACGACCTGCTGAATTCCTCAGCCGAGTTGAGTTGTCGCTTGTGCTAAATTTAGCCCATCTAAACAAACAAACGCTCGAGTTGCTCAGCTGAAAATGATCTATTTCACCTGAATCCCACTTCACTTGCCCATATGCAACGTTTGTAAAGTAAAATACTTTGCTGTTTGCCCATCAATTTGAATCTTCGGCCTGTATTGTACTTGAATTAACATTAATAGCGTCGTAAAATTTGCTACTACTATTTATTTGCAAATGAAGAAAGAAAGGCTAGATGAAGAAATCATTTTATAATGTAGGTTAGAATGAGAAAGACTACTAAAATTCTATTTAAAATAATGATAGAAAAGAACTAATTGTTAAATGCATCCTACAAAATAGAGCTTGAAAAAAAATATCGACAGTTTCGCTTTAATCGATCCTATCGAATCAATATTGCCAAAATATCGAAAATATCGATAATTTGCAAGCTCTCTAGAATGAGAAATACTACTAAAATTCTATGCAAAATAAAAAAGATAAGAATTAAATGTTAAATGCATCCTACAAAAAAAGCTTGAAACAAAATCGACAGTTTCCCTTCAATCGATATAATCGAATCGTTATTGCCAAAATATCGAAAAGAAATCAAATCAATGATGAAAACTACTAAAATTTTATTTAAAATAAAAAGAGAAAATAATTAAATGTTAAATGCATCCTACAAAATGAAGCTTGAAGAAGTATAGACAGTTTCCCTTTAGTACATCGCTATTATCGAATCAAAATATCGAAACTATCGATTAGCTTTACTTCAAAACCCCCGTAAATCCGCCATCCCTCGAAGGTGTTTTCCATGTCACAATTTAGCCCCCGCTTAACCATCCTTGGCCAACGACATGCAACATCTCCCCCGATATCCCCGACACACAGGTGGCTGCCCTGGGCCTCGTGCCGGATCGACACCTGGGCAAGTCGCTGCGCGAGATGCAGCCGCACCTGCTGAAGATGCGCGACAAGTACGGACTGAATGTGTGCGGCGAGGGCGGCGAGTACGAGACCTTCACGCTGGACTGCCCGCTCTTCCGGCAGCGCATCGTGGTGGAGGACATCCAGACGATCATCAGCAGTGCCGATCCCATCTGCCCGGTGGGCTACATCAACTTCACCAAGCTGACGCTGCAGCCAAAGGAGGCGGCGGGCGCATCCAGCAGCGGCGGCGGCGGCGGCGGCAGCGAGGTGGTGTTCGTTAAGCGTTCACTCGACTACATTAGCGATCTGAACGAGTCGACGTACAGCGACCTCAGCGATCCGGACTTCAGCGAAACGGAGCTGGAGCTGATCGAGAAGGAGACGCGGCTGCGCGAGTCGCTCAGCCAGAGCGAGCTGATATCGCGCAGCAACTCCTTTGGCCGCCACCTGGCCGCCACCGCCTCCTCGCCGATACCCATTGTCACGAAGAGCGCCAGCGTCGACGAGCCCACAGGCGGAGGAGGAGGCGGAGGAGGACCGCCGATCTGTTCCGCCTCGGCCTGTGCCTCCATGCTGCTGACCACCACCGCCACCAACGCCGCCGACGGCCTGAGCAGCCTGGCCAGCTCGCAGAGCCACGGCGGTGGCCATGGGCTCGGCAGCAGCACGGCCGCCGTGTGCGGCTCGCTGTCGCTGGCCATCTCCTCGCTTGGGCTCAGCGCCAATACCTGCTGCCATCCGGGAGGAGGAGGAGTTGGAATCGGAGTAGGAGCACCTTTGGCCACCACACAGCCGCCCAGTCCGCTGAAGTACGAGCGGGAATTCCGTCCACTAGCCAACGAGGCCAGAGCGGCCATCAATGCCAAGGGCTGGATGTGGCTGGCGGGCATACAGGGTATCCGAAAAGAGTCTCTATAGCATCTCTAAACTATCTTTTCTTAAAAGCAAGGTGGTCATTTGAGACTAGAAATTAGATAAAATAAATTAAATTAAAATTGGATTAGTTGAGGATTTATATTTTTTTATTAATATTTTTCTTTAATTTACTCATGTTTTGGAGTAAAAGTGGAACTTAAACCTCAATTTTTGTAACTATTTAATTTTTAAATATTTTAAATTAGATAACATAAATAAAATTAAATTAAAATAAGATTTGATAAGGCATTATATTTTTTGTTCAATATTTTGCATTAATTTACTTATGTTTTCAAGTAAAAATGCAAATTAAATCTCCATAATTGTAACAATTTAATTTTTAAATATTTTAAAATAGATAAAATAAATTAAATTAAATTAAAAATAGATTAGTTAAGGAATTATATTTTTTTTTATTAATATTTTTCATTAATTTACTCATGTTTTGGTGTAACAGTGCAAATTAAATCTCGATTTTAGTAACTATTTAATTTTTAAATATTTTAAATAGCTTTTTTCAAGTGACCACCTTGTTTTTCAACCTCTTTGTCTCAACTACAACATGACTAATAACCCTCTACCTAATCCCTTTATAGGCTCCGGTTCGGAGGGCATTGAGCAGGGCATGCAGCAGGCCCTGGACACGCTGGGCGAGATGTGCCAGGCCAAGGGCTACGATCTGCAGGACCTGTGCTACGTCACGCTCTACGTGCGCTCCATCGGCGAGTATCCGGCGCTGAATCGCGTCTACCATCGCGCCTTCGACTTCCACAATCCGCCGACGCGCGTCTGCGTCGAGTGTCCGCTGCCCGACGGCTGCCACGTGGTGATGGAGGCCATTGCCTACCGCCAGCCGGTGGCCGGTGCCATTTCGAGTGCCGAGGAGCGGGACCGCGAGGGCGAGGAGACGGCGGCGGCCCTGCTCAACGGGCGTCGCAACACGATGCATGTGCAGGGCATCTCGCACTGGGCGCCGGCCAACATTGGGCCCTACAGCCAGTCGACCAGGGTGAGAAGAGTAGCAGTCTAGGGGATCCAGGGGATTAAGCTCTTAAGATTATACCAAAAAAGTTTCAAGTCAATCGGATAAAAACTTTAGAAGTTATGCTAAAATAAGTACCCTAACCTCTAAGACTTTAGGTGCGTAAGTGCATCTTTAAGTTGGTTTTTTGTCGAAACCACGTTTCGAAAGTCCTTGTTCATCGGCATTTCTAAACGGCTCAACCGATCGTTTTCAAATTTGTCGCATATTTTTCTGGGAAGAAGGTGAAAAACGCATTTTTAACTTTGGAATATCGAAAAAAATTCTAAATGACACCTAATAATATATAAAAGGTTTGAATTAAATCCTTTCAACCAGTTTTTATAGAAAAAACTTCAAAGTTAGTAGATTTTTTGGTGCCATTTTTCTATCATATTAAATAACTGATACTAATTCGTAATTCCTTGCAGATTGGCGACATCACGTACATCTCCGGCCAGATCGCCTTGGTGCCCGGCAGCATGACAATTATCGAGGGCGGCATCCGTCCGCAGTGCAAGCTCACGCTGCGCCACATCAGTCGCATTGCCAAGGCGATGAACGCCCACGGTCAGCTGCGGGATGTGGTGCACGGCATCTGCTTTGTGACCCATCCGGCCTTCATTGGGGAGGCACGTCGCCAGTGGGAGCGTCGCACCACCAATGCGATCATGGACTACATTGTGCTGCCGGCGCTGCCGCGAGAGGCGCTCGTGGAATGGCAGGTGTGGGCGCACACCCACAACGATCGTTTCGACTGTGAGACAGCAGAGAGAAATCGTTTCCCCATAGCTTACTATTAATTATTTTATAATCTCTCGCAGACGAGGAGACTGGCTGCTCGGTGGGTGACTACACCATCTCGATACGACGTCGCTGGAACTACGAGAACAACTGTGCGGCCATCGTTTGCTACGTATCCACCGGTTTGGCCTCGTCCACCACCCAACTGACCCAGCTGAGCGACGACATCCTGGGCAACCACTGCCGCCTGGCGCAATCGGTTAGTGCCGAGCATCTGGACGAGATTCTCACCTATGTGGTCAATCGCCTGCTGAAGGACTATCCGCTGGCCAAGAAGCAGCCGACGAATAATTCGGGAACACCGCCGGCCACGCCCACGCAGCCGGGCGGAGCGGGCGGAGATCAGCAGCAGCCTGTGCCGGCGATCCATCTGAAATTGTTCTACCAAGTGAACGCCGCACCGGCCACGGATCTGCTGCTCCAGGCGCTGCACGATTTCCGTGTGAAGTGCCAGGAAACGGCCGCCATTGTCTACACAGTGCTGCCCGCCTGCAGCCTGCACAACTTCAGTACGTTCCTGTCCATTTGCGGAGTGAGGCACGAGTAGGAGCCGCACGCAGGGAGTTGGAGGATGATGATAGTGAGGAGGAAAATGATGAAACAATTTGCTGCCACCGCACCAAGCAGAACACAGAATATATATATATATACACCACTATATATACACAGAAATATGTATAATGGATGGGTCTCCATTTCGCATTGGCAGAAAGTAATCTTTGGATAATTCCGAGCCAGTTGGCTTTTATATCAAATATTTATGATTTCTTTTAAATTCGTCTAATGTCTGTTGTCAATGGGAATTCTTTTCCAATTACAAGTTTTTCCCAGTAAGATATTTAACATGTTCAGGGCCAACTGCCGAGTATTATCCAGAGTTTGCTTACTGTCCCACCCATTTTCAGTTTGCAAAGAACACAAATAGACCCAATTAAATGTAAAATCAGCTTGCCCTTTGTTGATATTGTTAACTAGCAGATGATCCTAAGATCGAGAAGATACCGTAGAGCCTGCATGCTGTATCTGTATCCATAGAATAGCTCACTTCGTGTCGCAGTTTCGGACCAAACTCTCACAAAAAAAACCAAAACATTCAAAACGGATCTATGCAACTCAAGTGTTTCAGCAACTAGCGAAGGAAAACCAAGCATACAAATTCAATTTAAAGCAACTTTATATATTATATACGAAAAAGAAAAAGCAAAAGCAAACCATTTTTGTGCACTCTATTGCCCAAGAAAATGCAAAAGAAACAAACCAACAAACAACTGTAACTATACTCTTATACAAACTATTAACTATTAACCGTTTTTCGATGTGCTTTTCTTTACGCTCCGATTTTTTATATATATACATATATAAATGTACATCTCAGCGATTTTTCTTCATTTTCAAATAGCCACAAACTTTTGACCAAACAAAAAAAACACTCAAAAACGACAGCATTGTAAAGCAATTGATTTTTATATGTCGTTAAGCTTTAAAAATACTGTGGAGAGCAGATGATGTGGCCCATTCTTCGACCACGTCGCATCATTTTCATTATCAATAATCCGAATGTAGCAAATTCGCCATAGAGAACCTAGTTTGTATCATCTTTTTTTTATTTTTGTTTTAATAGATATCGAAATTACCGACTAGAGATTATCGAATGTGTTGCTTAAAGTACCACATGTCCATAGTTTTTCCTGCACAATCTGCGACAGAAAACAAACACGATTTTGGTTGGATTCCACACCAAAATTTGGTCAACATATACTTTTATAATGTAAAGTACGATACGATATCGATGGGGCGCTGAGCGGGGGAATGATAAAAAAAGATTATTACATGCTATTATGTATTGTTATGAAAAAATATATTGATATTGATTGAGTGTCATTACAAAAGTCGAAAAAAAACCAAAGAAACACTGGGCGTTTTTATTATATTCTCGGGCGGATGCGACCTGATAAGCTGAACGGCTCAAGAACTCGCTATATGTATGTGGAATACTGTGGAATCAGTCTTATCGGCAGTACACTGATTTATGGAAAATATCATTTCAAATGAAGATCGACGAAATGCCTGGAAATTGCCAGATATACGTGGACTTCGGGGCAACGCTTTAATGTGTAATTTGGACTAACCGAAATCTTATTCATGACATATTTTTGACACAGACTGAAGAATCTTATGCGTGGCTTTTCATTCCAAATGAAGATTGACGAAATTGCTGATTTTTTTTTAGATATGTATGGGTTTTATATAGTCAAGCCATTAACATTTTTAACAAAATTATCACAATGGATACTATCATTTTTAATGAAGATTATCTGAATTGTTGAAAACTGCGAAATATAATTGCTTTAAATTACCACAACATATTTTTCGTGTCGACATTCTAGAATATGCTCGACAAATCAAGAGTTTCAATATAATGTGGAATTTAACTTATCTGCATTTATGAATAATGGGTAAACAAATTTAAAAAAAAATCAGAATTAAATAAACATTTTTTATTTATTTTTTCCATTTCCGCCTGTGTTTTTAAATATACCAATATTAATAGCAGACTATTAATTAATTAACTATATAAAAAGGTTTCACTTAGATTGATGGTTTGAATATTTACATATATGCAATATGTAATATCCTAAATATGACAATATTTTTTGTTATTAATAATTAAAATGCTAAATGCAAAGACCAGAATATCATCAAAAACATTTCAAATAAAAATGAGTTTTTTTTTAAATTAAAAACAAATGCTAGAACAATTTTTTAGATTTTTGATAACCAAGGTTAATATTTAAAAACCAAGTATTTTTCATTAGGGTACTCTGTTTGCTGTTTAATAATAGCTTCGAAATATACATATATTTTTAGTCAGTACTTTAAAGTTTGAAGTACAGATATTTCGAAAATTGGTCAATAATTACGCCCCACTTAAGTAACGGTAAACATCCAGATCCAGCTGGAAGCTTAACGGTAAACCTGGGGCAACGTACACGTCAGTGGTCGCGTCTTTCTTGAAGCAAACACATATTTGCATCAGACAAACACCAAAAAAAGAAGGCCAAACCTCTTACTCTCTCCTCTCCGAAAATGTTTGGGTAAACAAATAGTGAAAAGCTCGGAGAGAGTGAGAAACCCCTTCGGTGGGCGGTACCACGTCAGTGATAGGGGTGGAGTATTTTTAAAAAACCATCGATTAAAATTTAATTTAAAAATAAAATCTAACAGTTTTATAGTAAAAAATAAAACAAAATCAAAGTTACCAATTGTTATTTGTATTCTTTACTTTTATAATATATAACAAGGCATGTAAATAATATTTGTTACGACATTCTTTAAACTAATTTTATTACACTAAATATATATTTAGCATTCTGTAATTCAGAATTAATTTATGTAAAATAAATGTACTTAAGGTACATATAAATATGGAGCTTCCAGTACAAAATAATAGAATTAAATATTATTTTTAGAGCCTTAAATAATATATAATATCTCCACAATCTTTTCTTACTTTTTTTCATTTTTGTTTACCCAAACTTTTTTATAACGAGATATTCTTGTTCGATTTATTCGATTACCAAGACCTATCGATGTTTCCAGAAGGGGAACAACATCGACACGTCAGTGGTACGTGGGAGCAAGAGCAATAAATAGCCGGGGGATGTAGCGAACTACGTTTCGAGAGCTGGTGTAATTTGTAGCCTACGTAGAGCACGCGCTGGTTCCGGCATGAGTTACCAGTAGAGGGGGGTCGGGGATAGGTTTTAAGAACGCTGCTACTTGCTCTATAGACGAACAACAAAATCTTATTACTTCGCGTGCTAAAGGGTACGAGGATCTCCACAGGACTAATGGACCGGACTATTGACTAGCAAAGGACAGATAAGGACGAACAAGGATGTAGTGCCTTTATGTCAGCGGTTGTTCAAGCTGACTTGCCCTCCCTACCATGATCACCATCGACCAGATATATTTATGGCGATCCCTAAAAGGCGACTACACTTTACACGACAGATAACATTCGACGACGCATGGCTTCCCTATGGACTCTACTCAACTTTAGACAACATTATAAATTTTATTTTTAAACATAGAATAATCCTATTAACTGACAAAATTTAATTCTAAACAAGAGCATTAGGATCCTAAGAAGTGATTAACATATAGATTGAACTTAAAATTGCGAATTTAATGAATAAAAATTAAATTTAGCGATCGCTGAATATTTCAGTGCTCATGTATATAACATCTAGCTTTTACATGAAATAATACAAATGTAGAGAGCGGGTATAATGGGTGTAGGTATGTAAAATTATGGCATGATATGTGTGGCTTAAAACTTTATATTATTGAGCAGGGAGTTGTGGTTTGGGCTTTATGGGGAGGACATTTTTTTGGAGTTTGTAGTTTCTTTAAATAAAAAAATTTTTTTTTTTATTACAGCATTTAAGTGAGGGGTGAATTTTTTATTTTGTAACAAGTTAAATTTTCTCTTTAGACTTTTGTTCTATTTAAAAAGGGTAGTTGAGATTCTTATGACATTAAATCGACTCACTTTGTTTTCCCACGAAGAAGCGCTTCTCGAAGGGGGCCTGTGAAAGAGAACCTCAACTACATAAGAGATCGCTAGCGTTACTCTCACTCGCCTTACTCGTACTCTACAGCGGTACGGTACTCTGCCGTTAAGACATGGGAGAGGGAAGGGAAAAGTACATGGGAAGACGGGACTGCTCAGCTCTAATGCATATTTTCCCTGTTATTGACCTACTCTCTTGATTATAACTATTCTCTTAAAACTACTTAAACTAAAATTCAGCTTCAATCTGCTTCTAGTGGCGTATAATGACGCGTAAAATTCGAAACTTTAAGTTTTAAATGTAATTCGAAATGATTTAGTATTTGAGGGGTTGATTAATTCATTTTTTTTTTGTCTTCTTGGGCTATATTTCCCTACGGCTTACGGATTGTATTGCCGGTAAATGGACCCTAGCCTAAATTTTGTTGGCTACTGGGCTATTCTACAACATATAAACGTAGATGTAGAAAGTAGAAAAAATATGTAGATAATGATAATAAAATATGTAGATAATAAATAAATCAAATTCTCGGCGCTATTGTCGCTGCTGAGGGATCTCGGATTCTGCTGCTGCTGCTGGTGCTGATTGATCGGTTGATGGATATATAACTTCACTCCTGTTGGCGCTTTTGTTCTCCAGACGCCTCTTACGCCCAAGCCTGGCTTTTGGCGGACCGGGGTTATGTAATTAGGTGCCACCTAAAAACATTACGGCGTTCAAACACCACTTTATCAACTTCTCGCACTCAAAAAACTTACCCACTAGGGGTTGGCACTTTAGCACTTGTGTTTTTTTGGTTTTTAAGCCACTTGTAACGGCGATTGCCGGGAATTTTGGAAATTTTGGATTTCCTTTAATTTGTGTAACTTTGATCTTTGCACTTGCAACTAACTTCTTCTTCGATCCACTGGTAATTTTGGTGTGACTCCAAACGAAATTGACTTCGGGTCGGGACCCTGAGTCCGACCTGTAGCTCAAGCCTACTCACCAATTTGGTGAAGTTTTGGGAGTTCTGGCTCAAGAGACTATATTTTCTACTAAACCATGTAGACCAAACTCTGTTGCCTACTTTTGGGCCGAAAGCAATCTTAGCCAAAAGACAAGCAATCCTACAGTTCCCCCCCACCAAAATCTCACTTGGGGTGAGCTATCGACACAAGGGAGATCCCAGCTTGTCTTATTGTCGCAAGTCTTTCGCGTGGTATTTGCCAATTAACCTTCCCTGGAGGTCCTCAATTTCATAATAGGCCAAACCCAGTTTTTTTCGGATCCTAGACTTTATAAAAACCGGTGCTAGCTTTGAGCTAAAACCCTTTGCGAAGTTGCTTTGCTGGAAGTTCCGGCGAAAGACCTCTTGACCCGGTCTGTAAGACACAATTCGGCTCCGCAAGTTATAAGCCCTTTCATTCCTTTCCCTTTGGGCTTCCATCGAATCCTGAGCCGTACGCCTTATTATGTCTCGCGAGTCATCCTTACTGAACTGTACATTTCTATCCTCTAGCAATCCTAGCTCCCTAATGATTTTATATGATTTTCCATCTACTACCATGTGCTGCCCAAAAACCATTCTGTACGGTGTCGTTTTTATGGCCGAATGAAAACTTGACCTCAACGCGCAACAGATGCTACTAAGTTTACTATCCCAGTTCTTTTGACTCAGATCTATGTACGCCTTGATGGCAGCTAACACCGATCTATTGACCCTTTCTGAGGCGTTGGCTTGTGGAG